AACCAGTATATGTGTTTTACAGCTTACCTTCAGCTTCTGGTTTAGTATTTCGGCATAAGCTTAAGATCAAACGAGCTCAAAGGCGAATGAGTGATGACAGATGTCAACATAAGTATAAATCGTTTAATAAACATTTATGCCTAATTTTTACATTGTTTTTTGATTGTATATCCTTGTTCCCGGGTCTAGAGAACATCGAAATTACAGATCTTATGCTGCCACTACGTGCACTTTGGCTGTCCCAAAAGACAGCGCTGTCTTTCAAAATTTATTTATTGTTACTGAGGGGTGATTATTTACTTTTTTGTGTTTTTTGTTTTTGTTTTACGAGTGACCCAAGAGCAATGTGAAAGAGCCACAATTGCGACAACAAGTCGAAAGAAGTATTTTTTATGAAAGAAAGCACACTGTTTTTAAACGGCCAGCGTTTGAAAGTATAGTTGTCATACGATTAGATTGCAAAATGGAAGCACCGTTGTGAATGTGAAAGGTTGATCGTCAAAAACTTGTCTCTATTGAGATCTCCAGATCCCAAGTAAAATACAAGCAACAATGAAAACGAATGATAAAGAAGTAGCGACAGTAAATTTTCTTGCTTTTGTAAGTCATTTGAATCAAGCGAAACGAGTATAGCCAGTATTCTACCAGGTTGAATTAGCACGTCCGTAAAAGGTGGTCACTGGCTTTGGAGGGAACAAGGAATCACGCAATATAGTTCCGAATTGTGTTGGTTGATCGAATGCTTGAATACATGTGGACATTTAGGACTCAAGAAAACGACGGAAATTGATAGACCCAGTAGACTATATACTGGAACCCAGGAGACGACGAAAGTTACCAGTAGGTTGCATATACGCATTGGTTATTGCGACGCCAAATTTACGAAGTAGCTTAGGGGAATATAGTCTCACGATCAGATTGTTGTTGCAGAATATGTGTATTGGGACCCACGATGAAGAAAATCGCGTACCAAGACCTTAGACATACGGACGCTGTGGTGAGGGAAAACCACAGAAATGATTGACTCAGAGGCCGGAATAACAGGAGTATTGGAAGCTGAAATAATAATTGAAGCTAGGCCCAACTGCAGTAACATAGCTAATGACAAGTCAGACTGACTAAGATCATAGGTAGGTAAGGAATCCATTAGAGAAAAAGAGAATTGTGAACGAATTTGTTGTTAACGGATGAAATCTCTGTCTTTTTGTTGGAATAGAAGTGGCAAATCGCTTACAACTTGAAAATAGCAGAGACGAGTTATGCCTAAAGTCATTTATCCCAAGAATAGGGTGGATATTTTGATGAAGAAAAAAACTAAAGCAAATAATAAAGGAATGGGATTGTGAGCTCTACTAATGATGACAAGATGGTTTTAACTAAACTTGAGATTTTTGAAAGAGAAAAAGAGATCGATTAGAGACCATACGCAAAAAGCTGTCAATTTCACATTTTTCAATAGTAGAGATTTTTTTAATATAAAGTACCAGGTGATTATAAAGAGTAAATGGGGGATTATCTACTACTACCGTGGTACAACTTGCAAGAAAAAAAAAAAAAAAAAGAGCAAATAATCTCGCATGAACACATTACTATCAAAGGCTGTCAATATCGGGTCAACATCACATTGTTCAATAGTAGAGAATTTTTTTTTAATCTAAAGTCCCAGGTGATTATAAAGAGTAAATGGGGGATTATCTACTACTACTGTGGTACAACTTGCAAGAAGAAAAAAAAAAAAAAGAGCAAATAATCTCGCATGAACACATTACTATCAAAGGCTGTCAATATCGGGTCAACATCACATTGTTCAATAGTAGAGAATTTTTTTTTAATCTAAAGTCCCAGGTGATTATAAAGAGTAAATGTGGGATTATCTACTACTACTGTGGTACAACTTGCAAGAAGAAAAAAACAAAAAAGAGCAAATAATCTCGCATGAACACATTACTATCAAAGGCTGTCAATATCGGGTCAACATCACATTGTTCAATAGTAGAGAATTTTTCTTTAATCTAAAGTCCCAGGTGATTATAAAGAGTAAATGGGGGATTATCTACTAACTACTGTGGTACAACTTGCAAGAAGAAAAAAAACAAAAAGAGCAAATAATCTCGCATGAACACATTACTATCAAAGGCTGTCAATATCAGGTCAACATCACATTGTTCAATAGTAGAGAATTTTTCTTTAATCTAAAGTCCCAGGTGATTATAAAGAGTAAATGAGGGATTATCTACTACTACTGTGGTACAAGCTGTAAAAGGGAGAGAAAAAAAGGGCGCGATGTAACATTATTTATAAGGATTCAGTGATGGTATTTTCCGGTAGCGACGGTGCCAAAAGCAGTGAGCTTTTTTAATATGTATATTTAAAAAAATGATTTTGTTGGTAGCATTTTAAAGATGGTAGAGCGTTCGATCCATGCATCCATCCAGCTCAGTTCAATTTTTTTTTTTTTTTTTTTTTGATGTTTTTTTTTATTTTTTTATTTTTTTCATGCATGGATGGATGAATGGATTAACAGGTGCCATATAAAACAAAAGGGATGGATACTTTGGCTTGAATGATGAAAGAGAAAATTACGTCCGGGAAGGTCAACTTCAGCGTATCAACCGCATCCATTAAAACCATGGTGACGGTGATGTAAATTCAACTCCCTAATGATAAAGCAAGAGATCATCAAAGTCTCGTACGATCCAAATGTGTACATATTGCACTACCTGATTTAGGAAGCATTGGCCTAACTACCGGTCAACCATGGCCAATGCCCTTTAAAAAGCGATTGATCTCTTTTGTCTGTAGCCAGATTTTTCAGCAATGTCTACTGAAGATACACTCATGTCACCGCTTGGATAATTCTTCGTTGTTATAGCTTGTAACCATAGGCTTGGAAAAGATGCAGTTTTTCCCTGCGTTAAATTTTCTTTATGGTAGGGATATGGCGCTAGTACGGATTTAGATGTAGAAAAGCGACAGTTGTGATTAATTTACAAATGTGATAGTGAGTACCAGACTTCAATTAATCAGCATAAGCTAACTATTGTTCATAAAAGAAAGAAGAAAAAAAAAAGTGTTCTGAGAGTGATTTTAAAGGAGATACAAATCCAGTAGTATACCATGAACGAGTAAATAATATAGTGCTTTTAGATGTAAGAAGCTAAATCGTTTTTTTCCTGAGCTTTTACAAAATGCTGTGAAAAGATAAATACAAAAGCTAACAGACAGCGACAAAAAGAAGGGATATTACTTGGTGATAGTTTTTATTATCTTTATGCATGATTTGATCCTGTTTAACACCGAACGATCTGTTGGTATATCTGCCACTTGAAGCACTTATATGAGAAACTATTAAGGATTATTACTTTTCAACTGCCCAGCTTAAATTGTGTGATTATCAGCAAGCTTTAGCTAATACATGGTGTCAAAAATCGTACCTACGCAAAGATACACAGCATCATAGGTGGGTATGATCAATATACTGGCAAAAATCCATCCAAAATCCGAGACATTTACAGTGAGATAACCATAAAAGTTTAAAAAAAGACGTCAAAGGTAAAAAAAAAAAAAAAAAAAAAAAAAAAAAAGTGGTTTTTATTGCTATAAACAAACAAAATGGAGACTCGCTAGCCAGTTTCAGTAAAAAAAATTGCCCAAGTGCAACTGCGAGGAAGTCAGTCTCCGTGTGCACTCACCCAATTTTTATTAGTTTTGATGGCTCTCAAAAAGGGCTCCTGTGTATCACCAAATTGTACGTCTCCTTTATACAGATTATGGGTTTTGAATGTCATTTGGTCCATCTTGATTTGGTGAAGCCAAGGCAATATATTTTGGTTAACAGTGTAACATTTTCATACTCTGTAACAAACACCCAAGTAAATAAAGGTGTCATTGAACAACTGACCGACGTTCTTTCATACATCAAAGATAATGTATGACGATTATTACTCACAGCACAGCGAACCGAATTATTTACACATTACTGTGGGAATCTTCTTTGGATATGAAAGCTCAAATTAATAATGCTCGAACTAAAAAGCATGTCGGTAAGATCGATAACCTCTTTGGTATAAGCCCCATAGCTAAATATTAATAACAGGAAACAAAAGTGACGTGGCCAGATATGTCGATTTTGGAGGATAACTGAAACTGAGATGATAACATTGAGGATGCCGACGACATTCATGATGACGAAAACCGTAAATATTACACAATAAAAACAAGATAATTATCAAACTTGCCAAAATTAACTTGGGCTTTATTGACCAAATAAAAGGAATTTTCATATACACATTATTTTAGACATTAATAACAACGGGCTGATGACGATCGTAGGTAGATTTATCCAGATATTACTCAGGTTTAAATCATCCATATTGCAATGATTGTTTTGACTTTTATTGGATCAAATTTCGTGTAGTTGTATAGCTTAAGTGAGCACCAATCCTTAAGGCAGCAATCCGGAAATTTTGACTCTTCTGAAAGTAAAGCCAAAACTGAAACAACAGCATCTCTTTATGATCGGTAAAAGAACTTAAAATAGTAAGAGATACGATGCGATTTGCATTCCCTGTAAAAGTAACTACCTACCATAACTTTATAAAATAAGTGGCATTCCGTTGAATCCATGCCAACCCTAAAATCGTTATTGCCGCAATTCATACAATTGGAGCTGACGGTAACTGTAGTTTTATATCTCGTGCCATTAAGGTATACAATGACCAAAATTAATAACTACTTGAAGGTCAGACATATCTTAAATACCACAATACTTTGTACAAGCCCATAGAAAATAATGGCTGTTGAATTGGAAAGAACTAAAAGGCGCAATTCAAAAGGAGTCGCCATGTCTTAATCAAAAGGATTAAATTCTATGGTTTAGCACCCTCAGTTGCTTTCAAGTGGTAGCTGACACAGTTAAACGCCTGTTAGTCTTTTTCTGCAAACTAGCACTGCACCAGCCCGGATTGTATAAAAATGAATAGATCTCATGACAATTTGTACCACATGTAGAAATAAATAATACACTCCACCAGCACCACCTTTTTTTGTATTCTCATTCTTTTTTTTTAAAAACCCTTCTTTTATTTTTACATGGATCCCATAGCGTTTTTTGACCATTTAGCAGCCAAAAGTGCTACTTCACAATCAACTCATGTACAAAGCCTGAGTTCAAATGAAGACATTGAGCAAAGAATGACTTTACGTCCATCTTTAGACACGCCTCGACAAGATGATTTTCAAGATAAGTGGATCTTGTTTGTAGAAGCCTATCGCACTGAAAAGCAAGGTACGCTTCAAAAAGCATCAGAACATATATTATAAGGAAAATTAATTCTGGGCATACGTCCAAAAAAAAAAAAAAAAAAAAAAAAAAAGAGCTGAGTGAACATTTAAAGGACCAACTGGTGGCACTGGATCAAATTGAACAAGACTTTGATCAGTCCAATCTAGAGATTCAGCACCAGGTAGGACGAGCATTTGATCGATTATCCAGTGACCTTCATCATCATCAGTCTCGTCTATCCATCGAAAGAAAACAATTCGAGCGAGAAAAGGACATGATTCAACGTAAGTTTTTTTATGGTGATATATCGATAAACAAGTGATTTAATCCCATCATTAGAGGTTCGCCAATTTCAGGACGAGAAAGTAAGCATATACATGTACACCAAAAAAAAAAAGTACTACGCTAATTCGATCCCATGATAAGATTCGTTTGAATGTGGGCGGACAGTTCTTTGAAACTTCATTAACCACACTTCGAAAAGATCCTCGTTCTAAACTGGCTCAGATGTTTAGTCCAGATTCCAACGTCAAACCAGAGGCAGATAATTCGTATTTTATTGATCGTGATAGCACCTACTTTCGATTAGTCTTGAATTATTTACGTGATCTTAAAGTATAAGAAGTCAGAAGAAAGAGAGTAGGATTCAAGCTCATCTTTTTTTTCTCATTAAATTAGATTCCTGCAGGAATTGTAGAGGACCCTAAAATGTAAAGGCTTAATTATTTTGGGAGATGTGTATATGTACTGACATTTATATTAGTATGGATGAGTTGATGCAAGAAGCAAGATTTTACGAATTAAACGGTAAAACCAATATTAAAAGATGATTTTCTTGAATTATCTGACACATACGCATCTTTTAGACTTGCTAAGACTAAAATGGGAGAACTTGCCAGTGATCACCCAAGGTAAATTAAAAAAAGAATTACACAGCAAATCAGCTAAACATCTTTCTTTTTTTTACGCCACGAATTTTTAGAGCAATTATACCAATTATACCCTCCTTTTAGCAAAACAAGGTTGTATCAACCAATCATTATGCGACTCACAGGAAAAAACCTCTCCAATCTGGATTTTTCAAACTATCACATTGATCCTCAATCGAATTTCATGGAAAGCAATTTAGAAAATGCGGATTTTTCTCAAGCCAAATTTGGTTTTGATTTCGATCATCAAGTGAATTTTACAGGTTGTTTCTTGTTAGGTGCTGTTTTCCCTAAAGAAGGTACAGCCAACCGAGCCTCTGGTAAATATATACATATCCCATGTTTGGTAAAATCATGCCCTTTTTTAACTTTTTTGTATTAGGCGTGCAGATGAAATTGGATGGTGCGATTGTTTGATTGGGTTAAAGAGGGGGACTGCTTTAGAAATTAGAGTGCAAAAAAAAAAAAGCCGCTGCCTAGCTTTTTTTTTTTTCTCTTCCTCTCACTTTATTTTTATACAGATATGGTAAAATATTAAATAAATAAGCAAGATATAAAATAACGTTGTTAAACATGGTTTTTTTTTGTACGTGTAGCCTCAAAACGAGCATATTGAAGAGCACATTAAGCGACATGGTCGTCGTCTCGATCATGAGGAGCGCAAGTAAGATCTTTTTTTATATATTAATTCTAGATCTGGATCTCTAATCATCTTTTTTTTATTATTTTTACTTGAACGATAGGCGTAAGAGAGAAGCCCGTTCTGCTCATAAGGCCTCCCAATACGCTCAAAAGGTTCATGGTCTGAAGGCAAAGATGTTGAATAAGAGACGTCATGCCGAAAAGATTCAAATGAAAAAGACAATTAAGCAACATGAGGAAAAGAATGCAAAGTCCAAGTCAGCCGATGCCATCCCCGAGGGAGCTGTCCCTACATATCTTTTGGATCGTGAAGGAGAAGATCGTGCCAAGATTCTCAGTAACATGGTGAAACAAAAGCGTAAGGAAAAGGCTGGTAAATGGGCCGTACCTTTACCTACCGTGCGTGGTATGGCTGAAGATGAAATGTTTAAAGTGGTCAAGACCGGTAAACACAAGACCAAACAATGGAAACGTTTGGTTACCAAGGCAACCTTTGTTGGTGAAGGTTTTACTCGTAAACCCCCAAAATACGAGCGTTTTGTTCGTCCCATGGGTCTTCGTTACAAGAAGGCTCATGTCACTCATCCCGAATTAAAGGCCACCTTTTGTTTACCCATTATTGGTGTCAAGAAGAATCCTCAATCGCCTCTTTATACCCAACTTGGTGTCATTACAAAGGGTACCGTCCTTGAAGTCAATGTATCTGAATTGGGTCTTGTCACCACAGGTGGTAAGGTTGTTTGGGGTAAATATGCTCAAGTCACAAACAATCCTGAAAACGATGGTTGTATCAATGCCGTCTTGCTTGTTTAAATCTTTTTTATCTTTTTTTCCCCTCCTTCTCCTCCACCACACTTTCTGTATATTTTCTCTCTCTCTCTTATAAAAAAAAATAAATATTTTTATTTATTTGTTGTGTAGTATTTACATTTATTGGGGTGACATATATATTTTTTTGTTTGTTTGTTTGTTTAGTGTGTACACATCACTCTAGCAAAAATAGCAGCTAGAGAAGATGTCGATCTATGAATGGCATTAGAAATTAAATTGGGCTTTTTATGTGTTGATTCGGAACATTTTTTATCGGCTCGTTTAAACGAAAGATCATCATGGCGAGTTGTCAGGGAACTACTAGAGAATAATAACCTCCTTTTATTTGGCGATAACGGCGGTGTACTTGTAGTGGCAGTAGCAAACGTTTCCCGTATAGAATTAAAGGACATAGCCTCCATATCCCCATCCTCCTCTTCTTCTTCTTCTTCTTCACTGTAGTATGGTTCATTTTGGGGATAGCCCAAACGGGATGATGGTGGTGTGGAAGGCATAGATGGTTGTTTCATGCTCACCGGTGAATCGGATTCTTGTTCCATTTCCTGATGTGAGAGTCGTTCCCTTGTTAAATGATAAATGGACAATAACGGATGATAGGCAGCAGGCATGGTCTGTGGATCATCGTAATCACCATAGGCATCATTATCAAACAAATGTTGTAACCTTGCCACATGATCAGCTGCAGAACGATAAACAGTAGATTTAATGATCATTTCCATCTTGAGTTGAATATCTTGAGCATTTCCCATATTAAAACCACGTGTCATGTGTTGAAGAATATGTGGAGCCAAAGGTGGAGAGATGGGTAAGCGTAAAGGCAAGTAAGTCTTGATGATCTTTTGATAACCTTGATTGACCCATGTGTGGCGAATGACATCGGCCAAGATGATACGTTTTGTGGGATCCGTGACAAATATCCGCGATAATAAATCTTTACATTCCGGACTTAGATGAGCGGGGTAAGCGACCAGACCTCGCTTAATTTTATCGTGTAATCCAGGCATAGATTTATCGTCAAATGGTACAGAGCCAGTCACCATCACATAAATGACGACGCCTAAGCTCCAAACATCGATTTCTGGGCCACGATAAGGAGTTGCGCTTAATAATTCGGGTGCAGCGAAATAGAGAGAACCACAATAGGTGGTGAGTCTTCTTTCGGGACAAAATAGGTTACTCAAGCCAAAGTCAATGATTTTGATGTTTTGACCATGTTTATCAATCAAGATATTTTCAATTTTCAAGTCACGATGCACAATAGAGTTGCGATGCATGTAATCTAACGCACTGAGGATCTGACGAGAGAAATGTCTTGCATGGGATTCAGATAGCTTTTGACGTTTGACGATATAATGAAGCAATTGTCCTCCATTCACATAATCCATCAAGATATAGAAATAAGGGCCAACAGCCACTAGGTTCTTTAATTGAACAATGTGTGGATGTCTTAGTAACATCATGATGTGTGCTTCTCGAATCGTACGCAATTCTCGGGTTTCTTCTTTGACTTTTTCCTTCAACATTTGTTCTTTTGTTCGTGGTTTGCCTTGTAAAGTGAATCCGTTGATTTGAAAATTGGCTCTTCTTACTATTTTTACTGCCACCTGCATTATCATATTTTTTAAAGGAGTAGGTTTTGTTTAATCTCCCAAAAAAAAAAAAAAAAAAAAAAATCCAACTGTATATCTTATACCTTTTCTCCCGTCACAGCATGAATTCCCAATTTTACTTTGCCCATACTGCCTTTTCCAAGGCTACGATGGAATTCATAATCATCAATACAAGACAGTGGTGATGTTTTTGCTTTTTGTATCTCGACTTGTTGAGACATACTTATTCTTGATGTTGTACTCTCGCCCCTTGATTCTTTTATATCTGTTTGTTAGAGTAATAAAAAGAAGAAGAGGAAATAAATAAAAAAAAAGAAAAAGAGGAAAAAAAAAAAAATAGGTGTGTGTGTGTGTGTCTGTGTGAGTGTCTGTGTGAGTGTGTGAGAAACCATTGTACAAGATTTTATTTTTTATTTTTATTTCTCCTCGCTTGCTTCTTCTGCTATTTCCCGGGTTCCTCATTTTTTTTTTTTTTTTTTTTTTTTTTTGAAATTCATACTCTCTTTCTGTGATCCCGCCTGACATTTAAAAGAATGAGAATAGAGTTTTAAAAAAAGGTGGAGACATCTTTTTAAAAAGCTAAAACGCATTATCGTTACTATGGCAACCCCACTTCATAAAATCTTAAAAGAAAAACGGCCCTGTATTTGTCTCCTATTTCATTCAATTGTCTTCTTTATTTAAAAAAAGGATAAATTAAGAGTGCACAATGCGCAGCCAGGAATAAATCATTCGATGGCATGTGATGCTGTGCTCATAAAGTGGAACGCTTTATTTAAAGATTTAGCTTTTTTTTTTTCCTGGTTTCACTTTTATTTTTGTTGTCATCTGCTTTCTCTCATGGCGTACAACAAATAGATCAAGCCTCATTGTTCGTTCCTCCCAAAACGCTCCGCCACCTTTTTTTTTTTTTATTTATTTATTTATTTTTGGAATGACACAGGCAAAGGAAACCTTGCCACGTCGTATTAGAGCGCCGCAAAGAAATTTTGGCAAAAAAAAATTAAATTATACGCACGAAATTCCCCTTTTTTTTCTTTATATAATCTAACTCCTCAATGTATAATTTGCAACAGAGAGTGAACGTAATACACATATAAACCTGACTACACGCTTCTTATTAACATTAAAAAAATAAATAGAATGTATTTTCATTTGCGGTGTCTGTCATTGGTACAGTATTGGCGGTCATTGCCTTGATTTCTGCCATCACCGGTTATGGATCCGTCACCAACAGCATCTCTGTCCATCCAGACAATGTCAAAATGTACAATCCCATCTTTCCATTCATGTATATAAATATATAAGCTAAGCAAACTCTTATATACGTAGTGTCACGCGTAGATATGGACCCGAAAATACAGATTACAGAAACAGTAAAAGTGAATTTGCCAGATTATCCTTTGATGTCGATGCTGGTAATAAAAGAAAAACAAAGAACACAGCATGTCTTCCCTCCCAGCTAAAAACACATACTTAGATTTCACACCCATGTTTAATTGGAACACAAAGCAAGTGTTTGTTACTGTTGTAGCAGAATATCAATCCAAAAACTTTGTAATAACAAAAAAGAAGGGGCCAGCCAATCAGAGATTTAACATATGTGTGTATTTAGGATAGAAACTCAGTTGTCATTTGGGATAAGATTGTGACAAGTAAGGATAAGGCTCATTTAAAGTTACGTAATGTTCGCAACAAATATGCCTTGATTGATGTCAGTCAACAGTGGAAGTAAGTGATGCATGTAAATAAAAAGAAAGCCTTACACGGTCTAAACTTTAATTTATTCAGCTATGAGAAGGCAAACTTGACATTGCATTGGGATGTGACACCTTATGTAGGTATCCTTCAAGCCGGTCAATCATTTACCAGCACTGGATTTATCTTGCCTCCCTTTTCTGCCCAGTGAAACCCCTCATCATTAAAAAAAAAGTTTTACATCCCTCACTTGAAACAGCTATTTTTTTTTTAGTGTTGAAATTTTTTTATGTACAGATTTTTTTATTTATAGAAAATGATTTGAAAATGATGTAATGGTTAGAAGAAAAAATAATTTAGAGTGTTTGATCATCTTTCAAAGTGACGGAATGATGGGTCATAGTGTTCTTAGCATCGGTACCAGTGGTTCCAACTTGAGCAACATAAGCTTTTGCCTTGACATATGTATTTTGAGCATTTTCAGTAGCAGCGGTTTGAGCCTTATGAATACCCGATTGAAGCAAGGTTTGACCCTTTTGGAATTGAGCATCGACTACTTCCTTATTAGAGATGTACAAGCGAGGGAAAGTAAAAGCAGAGATAACAACCATTAAGATAATATCCATGGTACTAAAGTGAGCAGAGATCTTCCAAATAGCGAAAAAGATGGACATCCACTTGACACTTGTCACGGTATCTTCGATAAAGATAATACGAGTAAGAGCACGCACCACAGTCTCAGAGAGTTCAGTCATAACAGTAGCATAATGGTTAACACTTCCACGATCAATCATACTTGTACGGTCATTGTCAATCACATCGCTGTAAGGATGCGTCGCTTCATGATTCGTCAACACCTTTTGACTTTGCAGGATCAAATTCACATAAATCAAGTTAATACCGATGGCTAAAGTAAGACACGTAGAACCAATTTGTAACAGCGAATACCACCGAGTCAAGACAATTGAGCCCACAATCAAGGCAAATAAGACACCAGAGCGCAAAGGATTTCTCCATTGTAAAACCGATAAGACTTCCGTTTCCATACGATGAGTAGTCTCATTACGACCACCATAACTACGGTGCTTTTGGCTGCCTTCTTCATTGAATGCAGAGTTGAAACTCTTCTTGTTGGGGCTGAGATTATCTTGATCATATTTACGAGTAGAGGGAATGCTACTGCTATGGGAGTCATTGAAAGGATTGCTGGCAGAGGTACTCGTGGGGGGTGCACTAGGAGCAGAATAACCTGTAGACCCGGAGTTTCTGTTGTTATAGGTAGAACTGGGTGCAGTAGAGCCAGTATGAAGACCAGTGGAACCAGAGTTCATACCGGTGGAACCAGAATGAAGACCAGTGGAACTAGAGTTCATACCAGTAGAACCAGAATTGAGACCAGTAGAACCAGAATGGAGACCGGTAGAGCCAGAATGGAGACCGGTGGAGCCAGAATGGAGACCGGTAGAACCAGAATTATACGTAGGATTCATGCCAGTGGAGCCAGATTTATAGGTAGGACTGGTAGTAGAGTTATAAGATTGATCCAAGCTAGTTGAATCCAAAGAGCGAGTATTAGTTGTAGGATGAGAGTTCAAAGAACCAGCAGATAAGCGAGCATTGGTGTTGGGATGAGTAGCCGAAGAATTAGAGTCAAAGGAGCCACCAGACAAGCGAGCATTGGTAGCAGAATGAGAATTGGTGTCTAAAGAAGACATGCTAGAGCGATTGTTATGATGTAAGTTCTCTTGTTGTCTTTGAAGATGAGATGGGTCAGATAGGCTATCCTTTTCACCGTAAGCAGAAGGGATGGTTGTAATACCACCGTTGGCAGTAGGAATGGTTGTGCCATGGACTTGTTCCTTGCTGTGATCCGTAGGAGGAGTGATAGGTCTTTGATAAGTATCCATTGAGTTTAGTTTTTAGTAAAAGAAGAAGATGATGTTAATGCTGAATAGAAAATGAAAAATCTTGACATATTTATAGTCTTTTTTATTTATGCATTAAAATTAAAACGATGAGGTCAGAATGATAAAATAAATGAAAGTCACAATCGTCATCGTGATTTTTTTTTTTTTTTTTTTTTTTTTTTGGTAGCGCGCCGCCAATGCAAAATTTTCTTTTTTTTTTTTCTTACTAAACCTTAATCGAAACTCCCTTAGCACCTAACAGGGAATAGATAAACAAACAAATGGCTTCCACTAGCGAAAACAATAGTATGAAGATTGAGCAAGTGAAGACTGCTCCTCACGAAAAGCGTGTTGCTACTCATTCTCACATTAAGGGACTTGGTTTACGTGCAGACGGTACTGCCGAACCCATTCAATCGGGTTTTGTGGGCCAAGAGAATGCGCGTGAAGCCAGTGGTATTGTCGTCGACATGATCAAGAGTAAGAGTATGGCAGGTCGTGCACTTTTATTCGCTGGTGCTCCCGGTACAGGTAAAACAGCCATTGCCCTTGCTATTGCTCAGGAATTAGGACCCAAGGTACCCTTCCGTCCCATTGTGGGTTCTGAAGTCTTTTCCAGTGAAATCAAAAAAACAGAAGTCTTGATGGAGAACTTTAGAAGATCGATTGGATTGCGCATGAAGGAAACAAAGGAAGTATATGAAGGTGAAGTGACAGAATTGACACCTGAGGAAACAGAGAATCCTTTGGGTGGTTATGGTAAAACTATTTCGCACGTCATTATCGGTCTCAAGACCATTAAAGGAACAAAGCAATTGAAGTTGGATCCCAGTATTTATGAGTCCATTCAAAAGGAAAAGGTGACTGTGGGTGATGTGATCTACATTGAAGCCAATACCGGTGCTTGTAAGGTATGGTTCTTAATTGGCATGACGAGACGTGTTTACTTATAAAAAAAGTTTTTTTTTTAATTGTATAACAGAGAGTAGGTCGTTCCGATGCATATGCTACCGAGTTTGATTTAGAAGCAGAGGAATACGTGCCCTTGCCAAAGGGCGATGTTCATAAAAAGAAGGAAGTAATTCAAGATGTGACACTTCATGATTTAGATGTAGCCAACGCCAAACCTGAGGGAGGCCAAGACATCATGTCCATGATGGGACAATTGATCAAGCCTAAAAAGACAGAGATTACAGATAAACTTCGACAAGAGATCAACAAGATCGTCAACAAATACATTGAACAAGGCATTGCGGAGTTAGTTCCCGGTGTCCTCTTTATTGATGAAGTACACATGTTGGATATCGAGTGTTTTACGTATTTGAACAGAGCCCTTGAATCACCTTTATCTCCTATTGTGATTTTTGCTACAAACAGAGGTATGTGTACCATTCGTGGTACAGAGGATGTGGTGTCTCCTCATGGTATTCCCGTAGATTTGTTAGATCGTCTCTTGATTATTCGTACACTTCCTTATACCGTGGATGAGATCAAAGTCATTATCACTATTCGTGCAAGAATTGAGGGTTTGACTGTAGAAGATGAAGCTATTGAACACATTGCCACAACTGGTATTAATACCTCTTTAAGGTATGTATTCTGACTTTTTTGTGATGCATATAACACTAACACATTCTGTTTATAGATACGCTGTTCAGTTATTGACACCATCCAGCATTCTTTCCGAGATCAATGGCCACACATCAATTACTTTGGACGACGTTAAGGAAGTGGATGACTTGTTCTTCGACTCCAAGAAATCTGCCAAGCACTTGATTGAGCAAGAGTCTCAATTCCTTGTTTAAAGACCAAAATCAATCATCCTCATCAAGCTTTTGTACAAATTATATAAAGAAAAAGAAAAAAACCTTATCATTCTATTATTATTTATTTATTACTACTGCTATTTCTAAAATTTAACAACCTTCTTCTTCATGGGAGAAGAAGAAGCGACAGGAAGTGATTTCTTGATGGCATCCATCTTCTTTTCTTGTCTCTTTTCCTCAGCGATCTTTTGCTTTTCCTCTGCAAAGATATGATAATCATCATCATCAGCGCCTTGATCTAAATTGATCATGCCGACAGAGGTAGTACCTGCTTCCTCCTTTGTCACAGGACAGTCCTTGGCATAATGATCGACTTGTTGACAAATGACACAACTTCCACCATTAGGGTATAATCCTCTCTCGTTCTTGGGACATTGGCCAGATAAATGGCCATCTTGGTTACAGACATAACATTTTGCATAAGGAAGCTCTCTTCCCTTTCTGGGTCGCTTACATTCTTTTAAACTATGCTCGGTTGTACCGCAATTATAACAAATGTTGGCATGTTCCTTGTTTTCGGGACATCGATTCACTGTATGACCTGGCTTACGACACGCAAAACAGACATCACCAGTTCTTCTCTTATTATCTCCACCTATAATCTTTTGTAATGAGTTGTTATGTTTCATATGTAATTTATGTATGTCCTTTATTACCAAAATCATCGTCTCTTCCACGTTTAAATCCACCAGCTCCACCTCCTCCACGACCACCTCTGAAGCCACCACGGTCTCCACCACCACGGCCACCTCTGAAACCACCACGGTCTCCACCTCGGCCGCCACGACCTCCACCTCTAGCTCCACCTCTAGCTCCACCTCTACCTCCACGATCGCCACCAAAACCTCCACGATCGCCTCCTGTGAATCCACTTCCACCGAAACCTCTGTCTTTAAACCCTCCTTCTTCCTTGTTACGGGGTACTAATGGTGTGACATTGAATCCACCATCGGACTTTTCAAAAGTCTTTCTTGACATTTTCGTATACCGAGTCATGATTTTATAAAAAATGTATAATAAAAAAAGAAAAAAAAAGGATCTATAGAAAAAAAAAAAAAAAAAAAAAAAAAAAAAAAGAAGAATATTTATTTTTTTTTATGCGGAGAGAGGAGTGGCTTAGACCCTGCTTATTTTCTCTTTTTATATTTCTACATGTGAATTAAAATTAGTTTTTTTCATTTTCATATTAGCAAAATGAAGAACAATTAAAAAAGAGACTACTTACATCCTCACTTTGGAGTCGCATGACAGGATCGATAGAGTTTCTTAAACCAGTTAAAATACTTTGAAAAGCACCCGTCAAACCAATCATGGGTTTAAGCACCGCCACAGGCACAGCTCGAATCACCGACGACGCATTCTTTTTCTTTGGGTCATCTTCCACAGGCACAGCAAAGATCGTATCTGCAGTCAAGCCAAGCTCAGTGTCTTCCACAACAGATGTATCCTCTGTTGGTACATCCACACCATAAATATCTGTAAACACAAAATGTTGATCCACCGCCATTGAATTCCTTTCTTCTTCATCCGTGAAACCCGTGGTGGAAGGAGAAGCAAAGAATCCATCGGCATGCTCCAATATCACTTGTGTACCCGTAGCCACTCTTGAGCTCAGTTTAATGGCTTCAATGGCTGTAGCTCTTGCAAATGAAGATGTACCGCGTTGTAAACCTTTGATCAATCGACCGTCTTTTCGATACTGTCGAATGGGTAACAGGACAAGATCTGCTACTCCGTTACTTAAATTCACAATGGATCGAATAGGAGAGACACCCGATACCATATTCGTGACTTGAGTGTTTTTTATATGTGGTAACCATTCTTGACCCAAACGATCTAATAATCCATCCATACCCTTGATACCGGTCAATTTGACATGACTAAGTGACATTTCAGCTCCATCCAGATGGAATAGATTCACAAGTTCAGCGTATTGACCTTCCTTGATATTGCCATAATTAATGTACTTTGGTTTATAATCAACTTTAAGAGTCATGGGATGAATATCTACGTATTGAAAAAACATGCCTGTCTCTTCTTTTTCGCTAAAGACCTTGTTGTTACGTGCAATGGCGTCATTGGCAGCAACGGTGGATAAAAGTAAAGATTTATCAAAGGTGAAATATTTCACCAGAAAATTCAATGCATCGTGATCGACGTAAAGACGCAAGGGTAACGTTTTGACTTTTAAGCGAAACTCTTCTTGCGGGTCATCGAGTACGGGTCTGAGGCTAATGAATTCGATATCCAGCATACAGGCATCTAATTCTCTGGGTTCGTCTTTGGTAGGTGGACGCATGTAGCCTAAAAACTTTTTCCAGTTGGAAGTCTTAATATTGTCAATGATTTCAATTTCTTTGATCGAGCCATGAAAATAAAGTGCTGTGCCGGGTTGTAAGGGAGGCAAGAGGTCAAACTCAAGTGAGATGGAATCCAATTTGATCTCCATATGGGCGTCATCCCTTGTCTTTTTATCTTCTTGTCCAAAGCCATCTTGTTGTTGTTTGCTTGCCATTTCTAATCGTACGTATTCCCATGTATACCCGTCGTATAATTTCCAGCAGAAATTCACATTGGATACACGAAGTGATAAAACGGCTTGGTTGATATCTACGGCGGATTTGGGTTCATGGACTTTTTTCTCAATGCCAAAATAATCTTCCACTATTTGAAAGGGATCTACCTCTTCAGATAGGTCAGGAGAAACCAAGACACGAATGATATCTTCGGCCGTGCGTATACGATGTTGTTTTCGACGAGGCTTGGTTGGAGGCCGCGAAGGTTGAATCAGGATGGAAGAAGATTGTTCTCCACCGCTCTTATAAAACTCTTCAACGTAGCTGAATTCCTCCATCTCAGGTGCCTCAATCAAGGTAGGTGGCGATATATTGCTACATGTAGGAGATGTCCGAAATGCATTTTCATCCAGACTGGCTAACAAATCACTCCCCGGTCTGGTTTGGTGAGGACGATAAGGAGTCTTTTTTGCAGCAGCAGCAGCTGCTGTTGCTGGTGGTGGTGGTGAGGAGCTATCGTCACGAATGTCTTCATCGCCGTGGTTTGCGCAAAAGGTCACTAGATTTAGCAAAGATTGAAACGAATCCGTGCTTGAATCCATGCCGATATCTGAGCTGAGTAATTCGATCTCTGTGGTGGGACCCACGGCATGTTCATCCAGTTTTAATTTGACAAAGACTTCGATATTGAGTAAAGTCAACAAGTTTGCAAATCCCAAGGTGGACCAGTATTTACGCGCATCACACGTTTTACCAATCAAACGTTCACTCTTGACGAGGTCCTTGGTGTCATCCATCATGCATAATTCAACGGTCTGAACACAGGTCTTGATATCGATAAAAGGCTGACCTGCCAAAACATTTGTGATGACCTGTACACCGTCCAAGATGAGAATAACGCGGGAGGGACTTTTGGCAAGATCGTAATCGATGGAGGTTTCCAAGATATGCGCAAAGATTTTAATATACTGTGTAGGAGGGTCAATAAAGACCATCTCCTGCGGCACCTTTTGAAAATCCAGAATGTGATTGATAAAGTCAATATCGGGCGTGGCTTTCCAACATAGGTTACAGGCAACAATGCTGGTTTCTTTTTCGATACGGTTAACGTCAGGGTACGATGTCAGTTTGGAAAACAATGAAAGCATGGATGATTCCTTCTTTGGCTGTATATTTATATATTATTTTTGTCGTGTGAGTTTTATATATGAAGGAAAGAAACTTTTTTTATGATAAACTTACATGGATTGTCTTTGGTAATGTTTTATAAATTAATGGAATGGGTTGTTTAGGGTCTGATATATCTGTCAGAGATAATTCTTCAATATCAAGCGTCGTCATATTCTCATTCATTCCTAAATGTTTGATGGCGGCAAAATAACGAAATTCCGAAAATTGGAAACGATAATGATCGATATCGGAGGTATGAATATCCCATACACCGTTGCTCATCACTGCTTGAATGGAAGCCAGCGTTTTCTGTTTGATGGGTTGTTGATGGACTGGAAAAGTATGAAAATGACGAGGTGGATGTAAACGTTCGTGACTTTGACTCATGATGGAGGAGGAATGCATCGAAGAAGAGAGGTCGTCCATATGATGTTGTTGTTGTTGTTGTAACAAAAACTTGGGTTGCCATAACAAAAGGTCGTTTTGGATGAGTTGGACTTTATCCCATATTGACTTTGTCAAGTTCATGTTGGTTTGAGGTAAATGACAGTTTATCACAAACATCTATTCATGTCAAGTAAGAAAAAAATAAAAGGTATGCTATATATATATATAAATTAAAAACTTACTGAAGTTTCCATGGTACTCTGCTTGAATATCATGGCAGACTCGGATTGATCTTCCATGGGTATATGTAATTTCTGTTCTCCATCAAAATTCTCATTTCGATTCAAGAAATGAAACAAATTACTGGGTATGTCCGATCCAGCGCCAAAATAAGTGGACCTTCGAGCAGATCCTGCGGTTGGATGGATACTATCGTTTTGCATGATGATGATTTCAATGGTGGGACAAAGCGCGCCCTCCGAGAAGAGTTTTTTACCTTGTCCCGTCTTTGCTGTAAACCAGGTCTCTGCCGTATTTCCTTGCTGCATAAACACATTGACATAATTCAGGTCCAAATGAATTTTTGTGGGTCTCATTTTATTCTCATGCTGCTGTTGGCCCAAAGGAGGTGCATCGGTGGTGCTATTAGAATAATGGGCCACTAGTTTCTTAACATCAATACTTAATTGACTCGCATGGAAGGTATCGTTAAATTCCTCTCGTGTGCTGCTTTGGCTCATATCGGGTACGAAGAGTAAGATTCGAATGAATGCGCACCGCACACGTACTTTCCGTTGCACTCCTTGTGTTTTAAAATCGTCAAACACAGATGGCCTTCGTTCCTTTTGATGATGATGTTGAAATTCAAATTGGCGTGATTCTTCTTTTCGTTTTTGAACGGCATTGATTCCATTCAGATACGAATCAAATCTATCAATGATACGTGGATCGATTTGTATTTTAAACGCTTGTATTTCAACAATGATCTCTTCATCCAGTGTAGCGGCTAATTAAAAAAATAAAAATAAAAATCAGACGTTATTTTTTTGGAAGGACATTCCTGTATCTTACGTTACCATTCTTTTCATGAGGTTGCTTTCTTTCGATTTTGATACGCACTACTTCACCATGTTGCTCCTCATGGATCGGCTGTCTAGGATCATAGCTGGGAAATAAATCGTCATCACGATAATAATACTTGATCCTGTTATCGAATTGAAGAATCGGGGTATATACCTCATACTGAGTTTCTGTCTTACCCGATGATGAAGCAGGTTTCTCTTTGGGTCGCTTAATCCATTCATCCAGCACAATATTTAGAATCTTTGTGTCCAATGTAGCATTCCCCTGTGGAAATTGCTGGATTCGTACATTGGTTCCCTCCATGGCAAATTTAATATGGGATCGATCCTTGTAGGGAACTTTCCAATCACGGACATGGTCATCGTCCGCCAAAATGTAGAGTTCGATTAGAGACAGGATAATTTTGATTTTTCGTTCAGGGTGAGAAAGGTCTAGTAAAGTGGGTGGGGTATAGGTTGTATAAGCATCAAGATCATCCAGTAAAGGATCGGTGGTGGGGTTGGCGGTGTTCTGTGGGCGAGCAGGTTGTCCGTCCAAGGACATGGTATCTAACAAATCGATAAAAAAAGCTACCTGTAACGGAGTTAGGGTGGCACGCATATGTGTGACTAAGAAATCAACTTGTTTAATGGGTAGTAAAGAGGTATCATCTAATGAAGGACGAAGTTTCATGCGTAAATGAGTTCGTTTATTCATGGTGGTGAATAAAAGCGCTTTATAAGGTGGTGATGGGTATCCCTTGGGTGTAATAGATCCACTCATCTCTTGATAACCATAAATTGAATCTGCCTCGGTATCAAAGAATTCGGTCTGGTTCAGTTCGTCATCATCTTCATCATCGTATTCTTCTCCAAGGGTCGTTTCGCTTTGGGTCTGTAATGTATATATGGAAGGAGAATAATGAAGCCAGATCTCTGGTGAAGTCAAGGTAATAAATTTAATGGTTTCGTTGTTGGTGGGAGGTAACAAGATGGAACTTTCTGCCATATGGTGTTGTTCGGCTGTAGTTGTTGTTGGGCTATTAAATTCGGGTGTTTCATCATAATAAGACAAGCGAGGAATACAAATATCAAGATGATACTCTCTTTCTAGAGGACTATCAGCGGGTACCAAGGGAACAGCTGATTGATGACGGATACGTATCAGAGTATCCACAATATCTATCTTTATTTTGGCTAGCATCTTATCAATGACTTTGGTCAAGACCTGAAGTCCCTCCATATCCGCATCTTGTAAATCCGTATGAAAGGATTTTTGGATGGATTCATGTAATTCTTGGGTTTGCTCTCCTTCAATCTCTGTCTTTAAGAAATCGTCAGCGAAATGTAGAGAAGAAGACATGAAGGGTTCTTCGTGCGTCGGTGTGGATGGACTTGAATCTACATGTTTTATGTATTTTAATTAGAGTATCACTACTTCTGATCTGCGTTAAATACCATCCATTTTAGGCTTATTCTTGATGGGCCTTAGTGCTAAATGTAAACCTTGGATCTTTAATGAAATATCGCCACTCCAAAGGGTTGTCCAAGGAATGGTAGCATTGATGCAAGCCACTTTTCCCTCTTCAAGTATAAACGGAGTATCATTTAAAAGCTTGTTTAAAGTCTATGTATTTTTTTTTTGAGATGGGTTTGTATTTCAATGACAAAAAAAACAGAAAAAAAAAAAGAGTTTCTACCTGTAAGTTCAAGTCTAAATCTCTTAATTCCACTGACCCATTCATGAGTCCAATGTCAAAGTTTTCGAGGTCAAGCTCGTTCTGAAGAAACTGGCCAATGGCTTTTCTTAATAAAAACTTGTATAGCCGTTTTTGTATATTATTTGGCAAAGAAAAGTTCGTCCAGCCAGACAAGTATTCCCAAGCTTTCATCTTTCTTTATAAAAAAAATATGTGATAAGAGAAAGAAAAAAAAGGATAAGAAGAAGAAAGGGTGAAATAACCCAAAGAAAGAAATAAAAATTAAACTAGTGAGGAGGACAAAGGTCAGAAGGTGGGAGAAGCATACGCATGATTTCACATTGCACAACCACATACATCGTGACGGTTTATGGGTTCATCATAAAGGGTTTTAGAATTTAGTTTATCAAGGCCATGTGAAATGTGAACCATTGTTTTAAACATGTCTTGTTTATCAAAGAGCTTGAGGCGTGTATCTATCAGTCATGACAGAACGTCCAGGACAACATTAACTCGCATGTTATTCTACGTCATTGGGATTAGTAACACTTGACTCATGGGCCGTTTTGGAATTTAAATTGATGGCGTCATGTGAAGAATGTGTGGAGGAAGAATAAGCTTTTTTCATAACTTGGCACACGAAATCCCAATCAAGGGTTGCAGGTATTGTAGCGTTTGACTTGAAGAATTCTAGTTGGCAGTGCTGTAATAACAAAAGCAACAAAGAGTAAATTATTATTTTTTATCTTTTTTTATTTTTTTGGTGATTTTATTAAAAAGAAATAAAAAAAACTATTGCTATGTTGTTGTTCTTGCTGTTGCTGTTGTTGTTGCTGTTGTTGTATGTAGGTTTATTGGAATTCAGGCTTAAGCTCCAATAAACGAGTGTGTGGATCAGCAGAATTATTACGCTTAGCAACTTTACGCAGCAACTCTGTGATGATTGTACGATTTTGATCATTGCTCTTCATACGCTTACGGAAATTCATCAGGAATTCCTTGGTAGTCATGGGACGTCCACGTAAAGTATCAATCACTTCTTGTTCGGTAATCAGATTATCATCTCTGCCTGTCTTTCTGTGTTTGACATCAAGGCTATTGATGACCGATGTATCCTCCAAACGACGTTTCTTACCGTGTTCCTTGTTAGGAGAGGAGGGTGTAGGTGAACGATGCGATGTGGATGCGTGACGTGAAGGTGATGATGGATTTAGAGGCGATGAAGGTCTGAGCGGAGAAGAGGAAGATCCAGCAGGGGACGCGGATCTACCAGCACCGTTAGAAGCAGTAGTAGGTGATCCTTCACGCTTGTTATAGAGTGATGGGGATCCAGGACGTCCGATAGGTTTCGACATGCCTTCCTTTTTAACCTTGGCAGTGTGTGCCTTTTTAGGCATCACTGGTTTAGCTGGAGGTGCCACTCCCTTCTTTTTATTAAGGAGAGATGCCTTTTTATCCTTTTCTTCGTCGTCTCCGTCTTCATCCTCTGCATCAGAGTCGAGCTCCTCAGCCTATAAAAATTAGGTAAGCAACGTATCCTGTTTTATATAACGCCTCTTTTTTATTGTACTTACACTGGAAGCATAAGGATCACCTTCTTCATCACTTTCATAGGCCCGATTCTTTTCAAGGTCACGTACCAATTTGCGCATTTGCTATAATACGACATGAATATCTAAAAGAAGAAGGAAAAAAAAACTTTTTTTTTTCTTGCATCTTGATGATGTTATATGTACAAACCTTTCCTTCTGAGGTAAGCTTACCCATTTCATCATATTGATTATCTTCAGGTTCCTGTTTACCACTGATGGCATAATCTTTAATTTCTTTTTTAACACGATCCTATTCAAAATAATAAATAAAAAAAGGGCTTAGAACACCTATTATAAAATTAAATCTGTCTTCATACCTTGCTGTCCTTGATATCTTCGTCCTCGACCTCATGTTCTGCAGTGGCTTCATCGTCATCTTGGAAGACATCGTCGAAATCAAGATCATCCATATCAGAATCCTATAAATAGGAATTAGTCAATGACGGAGGAGAAAGGGGAAAGGGTTGATAGCACTTACTTGTCTGTTTTTGCCTTCATCGTCTGATCCAGCCTTACTAATAAAAAAAGAATGATATTTAGTATACATATGTAATAATAAAAAGATGATTGACGTACGCAGCATCATCATGATCAACAAGCTTTAATTTATTGGGACGCACAGCATCAGACATGGCTTCTGCTTGTTCATTCTCACGCTTCAACATCATCCATCTACCGTTTTCACGCTTTTGTTGTTTTTTCAACTGGAAAATATAAAAAATGAGTACTCCCCGAAAAAAAAAAAAAACCTTAAAAAGATGTTTGTCCTACCTGTTCTTCGGCTTCCTCCAAAGATAAAGTTTTGAAGTTTCGCTTTGCTTGGAACTTGTACCATCTGTCTACGGGCATGACTTTAAAACCATTATCCTACAAATTTTTTTTAAAAAATTAGTGGGAGGGTGTAGTATATATAAGGACAAGAAGAGACGTACGGATAATACAAAGAACATGTAATCGGAACGTTGACCACCTTCAAGAGTTCCGGTAAAACTATTGTGTGAGTCGTAATCCTCTAAAATCCAAGGACGATGTTCTTGTTCTTTCAATTCTCTTGTATCTTCCTTAGCCAGATAGATTTGCTTGGTTCTTTTCTTGAACAACATTTGCTTATTACGAGTAGCACCACCCAAGGGAGCAATAAGCGAAGTGTCGGCACCTGTTTTGGGACCATGTTGAGGTTGTGGGGTAACTTGAGGTCCATCGGGAGAGATTTCGTTGCCCAGATCCTCTACATTCTTATTGTTACGGTTACTCGTATCGTTGGGGATAGGTGTACCAGCCATGATGGCAGCCGCTTTAGCAGCAGCAACAGCGTTGGCAGCGGCATTGGCAGCGTTTTGTTCGTTCAAGTTTTGAATGTATTGACGGTAAGGAATAAAGTTGGTTTCTTTACGATGCAATTTAACAGGCCGGGCAAATTTGTTGACTTCCACACGTTTGTTAGACTTAAAATCCATCAAGTGATTTTGACCACGTTTTGAGGTAGACATTAATTGAAATTCATTAAACGTGAGAGGTTCTTCGGGTTGTTGTAATTGTTGCTGTTGCAATTGTTGTTGCATCAGACGGTGTTGGCCCATACCGGGTCGTAAAGGCCCGCCACCACGACGAAGTGGGGCACGGGTCTTACTTTTATCGGTACGTGAAGTATTATAAATGGACATTTATAAAGCCTTTGGGATCAAAAAGAAAGAGAAAAAAAAAAACAATAAAAAAAAATGCTCACTTTAATCACGCAACGCAACGCAAACACACGCACACACACACAGACATAAAAATTGTCACAAATGACGTCGATGTTTTAAGGATGGAAAGATCAAAAATTAAAAAAAATATGTTTACAACACTTTCAAGTAGGAAATCTATTCAAAGAAACATGGGGATGATATTTATTTTCAAAATTGACGTCGAAATAAAATTAGAAAGGAAGAGGTTTTTTAGCGAATTTACTATAAAAAGAAAAATGATGTGTGAGTTATTATAAAATAGGTATAGACTCATACAAAAGTTTAATTTTACCTGCTTCATGGCCTCCTTCTTACCCTTACGGTCAAGAATGGCGACACGGCTCTTGTCTAACTTGAGGTTGGTGATAACAACCTTGGAGGGAGAGATACCAATGGGGGCAGTGGCACCGTTAACCTTCTCGCGAGAGACACGGTCAATGTGGATAACCCACTTCTTACGGTAGACTTGGACAACCTTACCTTCACGGCCCTTGTAGGTACCGCGAACAACCATAACCTCATCATCCTTACGAACGGGGATAGCACGGGTCTGTAAAGGAAATTTTCGTTAGACTCGCCTTGCATGTCAACATTGAAGTATACATACTTGGTACTTTTCCTTGAGTTCCTTGGACAAAGGAGCACTCATGATCTTACGACGGACATCAGAGGTGGCAGAGAAGTGAGCCTTTCTGCTCTTTCTGCGAGAGGAGCTAACGTCTAGATTCAAATGTAATTAATACAAGTGTCAAGTGGAAGGGAAAAAAAAGAGAGAGGGTGGATGCGTTTGTTTTCAATTATAACGAGAGTTTTCCATAATCTACGACTTTGTGTTGTAATCAATGCTTTACTGTGGTTGAACCTGTTGTGTGTTCATTTTATGGCTTTCCCATGTCTTTTTTTTTTTTTTTTTTTTTTATACATATGTCTGTCGTCAAAATCGTATCGCTCTTGTAAAAGTCCATCTCTCTTATAAAATAAAAACAACATCCATCCATAAAAAAAATGTCTTACCAGCGGAGAACTTCATCTTTGTATAGTGTGGATGGAGTGAAAAAGGAAGAACTCTATGGATGCCTTACACTTAGTGAGGCAAATGGCTCTTTCGGCGGGTATATTGGGCCCAAATTGGATGGGATAGTGCACAATCAAGCCCCTCATATTACAATGTCCGAGCCGGACTTTTTTATTTTTGCCCCGACCGACATTTGATTTTTTCAACGTCTATTTACACCATGGAGGCTATCTTTTAAATATTATCAGTAACGCTTATGTGTTATTGGCTCTAGTTTGTTATTTATTTGAATTTGCTGTCTTTGTATAGAGACATATAATGTCTTTAATTTAAGTAATTTCTGATTGTCACAACTCTACCACTATTGCTCTCCTCAAATTTCTTCCAAGTTGATTAATGTTTAGTGAGCCTCCGAGAGACTTTACTGAAATATTTTTTTTTTGTGAGCTTCTGCTCACTAGATAAAGACACTAGTCGGGATGTATATATGAATAACAACATGTGTGTTTTACTTGCTAAAGTCATGTACTAGATGTCCTCACAAATATGTAGTTGTGCATTATTAATTAATATTACGAGCAGGACATGGCCCTACAAGGCAGGTACTGACAATTAAATGGTTCTTTTAGTAGTTAGTTTTGTTACAACTAGGCTTCCAGTATCATCTGCTAGAACCTCTGTTTTATTGCTTATAGCCGGTTCATTGTTTTGGTCAACTCTATTTTGGTTTCACTGCACTCATGTACATATTAGAATTCCCTTTTATCATATTTTCATACTAAAAATTATCCCATTGTTTTGTAAGATGTTAGATACTGTTTAAAGAAGATTTTTTACCTTTTTGTTACGTCTAATAAAGGATGTTTTAATTGGTGAAAATGTAAAATAACCGCCACATTGATATTAATTTTTTTTTTCTCGGTCGTTAAAGGCGAAAATCAACCGGCACTAGCTTAAGCAACAGACGGATTCAGCTGCCACCAGTCAAAAGTAGATTGCCGCTTATAAAAACAAGAAGAAAATGATGTAATTGACATAATAGATATTTAAATGAAAATGAAAGTGTTATTCCCTTTTTCCCCTTTTATAATTGCTTTCTCCTTCTTTTTTAAAAGGTTTTCTTCCCCTCACTTCTTATTTTTCTGACAGCATGGAAGACGCAACAAGACCAATATACTACGAATTTGATGACTATGATTATTTTGGTGACTTTATTACTAGCCGCTATGTAAAAGGCTACTGGGCGGCGTTTTACGTACTGTGCTTGTACTGGGGATTTTTTTGGTTTTGTAGACACATCTTTGGAGATGGTAATAACAACATGTTTCACCGAGAAGAAGCCGTACATAATTTGGAAAGTGATCGTAGTCGGAGTAGTCGAAGACACTTGATGTGGACAAATAGTACAACAGCTATTGATATCTTTGTACGTTTAAATGACAGCAGTGTATAATCATATCAACTAAAAAAAAAGGGTTTTTAGACAAGGCTTAATCGTACATGTAATCTCCTTCGAGACTTAACCTTATTGTTACTTTCGGCATTAGTAATCAATACAATGGCACGTGGAGGTAAAAGGTCGGTTATGATTTTGTCTTGGATGTAAGTCTTTTCTCCTGGTAAAAAAGACATCAATGCTTAGTCAAACCTGTTTTTTTTTCTAGATATTTAGGCATGGCTGTATTTTGGTCCATCTATGAAATGATATTCGCACATTATTTAGCAAGACTCAGTTCATCCATTATATTTTATGGAATATCCATTACAATTGGTGCAATTGCCTTTAAGAATGGATTTGATCAATACGATTAAAGCTCAGTCTTTCTTTAGGGTGACGTTGATTTTCTTGTGGGTAAAAAAAAAAAAAAAAAAATTTACGATTTAGGCCTCGCTTCCTTTTTTTTATAACATTCAAAATAAAAAATATTGTAATTTAACAAAATGAGTGCGGAAGAACAAGTGAATAAAGCAAAGAGTGCACTTAACACGGCCTTGAAGCAAGAAAATACTCAAGTAAAAAATTGGATAGACACCCACCTTAAAACGCTTGGTTTCGTTTACTTACAACTCTTTTTCATAGGCGTGTTTAGAAATTTTAGATACGTTAGGTAAAATTAAAGTGAATGGAGAATTATTAAAGGTAAATGGTCACAAAATTTACATGAGAAAAAAAAAAATAAGTATCAGGAAAATTTATATAATGGCTTATAGAAAACTGATATTGGTAAAACAATTGGAAAATTAAGAACACACAAGGACGCCAAATTATCGATTAAGGCCAAAACCATTGTAAAGAAATGGAAGGATGATGTTGTACGCCAAACAGATACTACGCCAACAAATAGACCACCTTCATTAATCAATATCTCACCTTCAGCGAAAAAAGTCTCTCCCGCCTCTTCTCAAACATCATCACCAAAAACACCCGCCACCGAGGGTCCCCCACGTACAGTCAAAACAGATGAAGTGTCCTTCAAATCAACAGGAAATGTGCCCCGTAACAAGACAATCGAATTGATGTATGCAGCCATTGGATTCGGTAGTGGAGCAGGTAAATATAAATAAAACGGGTTGTGTGTATACAATTGAACTGACATTGATGTTTTAGACTCTGATTTATTATTAAAACGCGCAATAAGTATTGAAAAGACGATTTACATTGAGTTTGGAGATATCAATCAAGATTATAAAAACAAAGTACGTTCATTGGCTTTGAATCTTAAGAATAAGAGTAATCCAGGGTTACGTGAGAGTGTAGTTAGTGGTGAATTATCCATTGAGAAACTTTGTAAGATGAGTGTTGATGCAATGGCTTCAGAAGAGGATCAGGCACGCGACCGTAAGTTGGCCGAGGAAGCACTATTCAAAGCAAGAGGCGCAGGCTCGGCTCAAGCTGAAACAGATATGTTTAAGTGTGGTAAATGCGGTGGTAGAAAGTGTACGTATTTCCAGATGCAAACAAGAAGTGCGGATGAACCCATGACTACCTTTGTTACTTGTGTAAGCTGTGGAAATCACTGGAAATTTTGTTAGATTGTATACTTTTCTTTTCTAATTACAATAAAGCTAAAAGTAACCTGTTATCCCCATCATTTCTGTGGCATTTTATTTTGCCTGTGCATTCTTTGATTTCAAAAATCCCAACTGCTTGGCATTGATATATTTATTCAAGTTACTTTTTTTTTGGGTATGATGTAGCGCGCATTACATATCGCAGTTTGTTTATCTTTAGGATATTTTTCCTACATTCTGCAATGATCTGCAATGAATTTACAAACTTTTACGCTCGTTGGTGGTTGGATTCTTTAAAGTTTCAAATTAATCAAGACAAAATGAATATCGGGAATATTTCTACTACAAGCACTCCATGGAAACATATAATATATAATTATTCTTTTTTAAAAACGAGGTATTGGTTGGCTGGAATGCATTTTTATTGGAACAAATAATGTGATTATTTTATAAATTATTTTTAAGGTTGTCTAAATATTGGGATATTGTGTAGTAGTAGTAGGAATATTAATGATGAAGAAAGGAAAAAATCGAAGCTAAACATTGAAAATGTTTACCACTAGAATGAAATATTAGTATGATGCTCTTTAGTGTCTGTATATTTAACTTACATCGCCCTTTCCACCCTTTCCTCCATAATCACCCTTTCCTCCATAGTCACCCTTTCCTCCATAGTCGCCCTTTCCTCCATAGTCGCCGTGTCCACCATGGCTACCGTGGTGGTAGTCATCATCACCACCGAAGGGAGGAGGAGGGAAGTTCTCGAAAGGAGGAGGAGCAGGGAAGTGCTCGAAAGGAGGGAATTCAGGACTATAATAAAGTTATGCTTAGCATAGATACAAGATAGCAACAGAAAATATACTTACACCAAGGTAGGCTTCTCAACAACCCATTTGGTCTTGGTAAGAGTCATGGTGTGAGAGAGATCAAGGTCATGACCTGGGTATTTTTGTTCGTATTCTTTATGATGGTAACCACCTTGGCCACCTTGACCACCTTGACCATGTTTACCACCACGGCCACCACCGTATCCACCCTTCTTGTGACCGTGCTTCTCATCTTCATCATCATCATCCTCATCATCATCATCGTCATCATCGTGCTTATAATGCTTATCATCATCATCATCCTCATCATCGTCATCATCATGATCCTTACCACCCTTCTTGTGGAAAGCAACGTTAGCGTGATCCAAGACACGGATAGCAGCAGTACCAGCTTCATAGGGACCCATAGCCTTGATTGTGATCTTGTGGGGACCCTTTGCCAAGTCAAAGACACCTTTACTGAAACGATCGTCCTTGAGAGCCTCCTCAGGAGTGGCAGCAAAGACTTGATCATCTTTCATAGCATCAACCTTGGTGGTCATACCAAGAGATTTACCATTGTCGAAGACCTCAAACATATCACCACGGTTCTTGAAGTCAGTGATTTGGATACGAGCGCTGGCATCGACGTTCAAGTCAAATGATTCTTGGGCAACGGCCTCTTCGCCCTTCCAGCGGAAAGTGACAAATGCATCACTTAAAGGAGCAGCAGCTACTGATTCTTCAGCGATGAAATTGACAGGGTTAAAATCGGCGTTGGTTGCATATGCAGATGTAGCTAATAATGCGATTGCAGCGGAAATAGCAAAAACTGAACGCATCTTTTTTGTTAGAAGATATCCTTTTTAGCAAAAAAATTAGAAGAAAAGTTAGACAACGTGAATACTCGACATTTATATATCTATCTTTTTTTTTCCCCGAAAGGCCCTATTGTTAGTTCCATTCTTAAAAAGAGGTCTTGATCAAAATTACCGTAGCATTCTTTATGAAAATTAAGCGGTATGGAAATATGTTTGGATCCCAATAATTACATACTCTAAGCTAAGGATACTTTTTTTTTGTAGAAACTTAATCTAGTTTATGAGCAATAGTTTAACAATTTTATTACTTTCTTTGTCTCATAATTATTATCTGTGCTTTTTTTTTTTTACATAACTGAAAATTCTCCTTGCAAAAGGTCGATGTAGTGCATGTAGCATATTACTAAAGCTGTAGCTGATTCGGGCATCAAACCACATGTGGCACGGGGGGAAATCAACCTTTTTTTCCACTACATACAACAATGACAATCTCGGTTGACACTTTAAAGAAAGAACTCGAGAATGGTAAACCCTCTAAAATAAAAAATAAAATAAAAGAATTGGCACAAGTTATTAAAGTAAACACAATGTAGTTCAGGATGAATCTGTCATTCTTGATTCAGTAACATCTTTAAACGACCTTTTAAAAGCTGATGAAAAAAACTGGGATTCGGGTACAGAGGCATGTAAGAGTTTGGCCAATGTCTTACGTACAGGTATGAAATAATTTTTGTTACGGGCAGAGAGTTTCTCAATACTGATGTGTTTCTTTTAGCATCTGTTCGTACACCATTAGGTGAAGCAAATATTATCGAAAGTTTATCAACACTCTTGCAAACCACGTCAGGGCAACAAACGGACTTTCGTTTACAGTCACTTCGAGTCTTGGGAAACTTGTGTTTTGATAATGGTAGGCAGTGTACCATAGTTTCCGACCCATAATAACCTTCTTTCCCCCTTTCTTTTTAAATAGTAAGCAACCGTAAGCGTGTCAAAGAGGCAGGCATTATTCCAATGGTTGCAACATGGTTTGAAACGGAACGCACCGATCTGATCCGTACTATCTGTGGTTTCTACTTGAACAGCAGCATGGATTATGGTAAGTGCTCATTGTATTTGCGCTACCCTTTTTTTTTTTTTTTTTTACTTTGCCTAATTATGCATGAATTAGCACCTATTCAAATCGAGATCGCCGAATGTGGAGCTGCAGATAATCTTCTTAAGTTAGTTAAATATGATGAAGAGGACGATGGAACAATTACCATGACGATCAAGGTATTAGATAGTTTGGCTTCCGAAGGTAAATAGAATGGGGTTATGGTCTTGGGACAAGATTTCTAAAAACATAAGGATTTTAGACACTGCACGTAAAGTGATTGCAAAGCCATCTACTGTGAAGATCTACCTTGATACACTCAAAGACTTGTACAAAAGTGGGGAATATACCGATGATTTGGATAATTTAGAAAACCTTGTAGACACTTTACTTCAAATTATCATGGACGATGGTAAATATGCATATATGGAAAACACAAAGAATGCGTAGATGGAGGTAGGGATGCTAAAAAGTGATATGATTTAGATAATCTTCAAAACGAAATTATCGATCTTGGAAAATTGAATTTCTTGTTGGACTTTTTGGAGAATACGGACTTGTTGATTAGTGACAAAGAAGAAAAGGAAAGATTAGAAGAAGTGCGCAAGACCGTAAGCAAGATTGCCATTTATGCCACATCTACAGATTCCAAGATGGATGAGCTCTATGACAATCAAGAAGTTTTATCGAGATTTTTAAATATGGCCAGCAGTGAGAATGAGGTCGTTCATCAATGCGCCGCTTATGCGCTTGGAAATCTTGCTAGATCAGGTAAGAACTTGCGTCTATCGCTAATGAGATGTGATACTAAACGTCCTCGTAGATCAACATTGTATTGAGTTGGTAGAAAAGTATAACTTATCAAAGTTGTTATTGGATTTATATCAGAACACCGAAAATGCTACATTCCAATATGCTATTTTGGGCTGCTTGAAGCATTTGTGTCTTCCCGTTCCAAACAAGGCAAAAATTGGACAAGATGATTGTATTCGTATTCTTACGCCAGCTCTTGATGAGTCTAAGGATATGCTCAAGAGAAACCAGTTCCTTACTATTGGTATCATTAAATTATTATGTGCCGGAAATTGTAAGTCTACTCACATACTTTATAATCCTCATACTAACTTTTAATAGATGAAAACGCTGTCAAAGTTATTCAAGAAAACGCATTTACATCAGTGGTTGCATTTATCAAGCGTGTAGACGATGTAGCCGCTAAAAGTGAGGCAACTCGTGTGTTGACAAATTTAATTAAAACCATTTGGGTCGAAAAGGATAACCTTGACATTAGAAATCAAGTGATTGAAGCACATATTATTGAGCCTATTATTGAATTAATCCGTACTTCAACACATCCCGTGTTAAAGAATGACGGCATTATGGCTCTGACTTTAATATTCTCGGATCCCGAATCAAAATCCATTTTAGACAAAGGTATGGTTTTACATATGTGTATGTGAATAATCTATTGACGTTATAATATAGCGCTTCCTTTAGTTATTGCCGACCCACCTGTTATTGATATCAACGAATCCGTTCAAAACGAAGATGAGCCCCAGCAAGCTCCTCAAAAGCCCGAACTTCGGTCATTTTTACAGGTTCTCGTTGATAACATCTGTTCAGAGAAGACTGATATGCCAGTTCAAATCAAATGCAATATGTGTGTATTACTTATAAAGATCATTACTGCTGCTAATTCAGGTATATAATATATGAAAAAAAAAAAACCAAAAACTAGTATACATTAAAACCAATTTTTCCGTAGTGGAAGGACATGAAAATATAATCACAACTATTCGATCATTGGCTTTGGAACGACTTGAAAGTGTGGAGGAGGACAATGAAGAATTGTACAAGTATTCACATGCATTGGCAAAGGCGTTGAGTCAGTAAGATCACTCCGCTTTGTCACATATTAATAAATACCTTTTGTTTTCATTTTTTTATATAAAAAAATGCCTTTTTATAATGATTGTTGTGCTGTGCCAAATTGGTGTAAATCATAACAATTCATTGACGCATTAGGCAATTTGCTAGAAAATAAACTCAGCAGGCTTTTCTTTTTAAGCTTTATTCTTTTTGCATCATTATTTAATATTCTCTCTCTTTTCCTTTTCACCTAGATATCTAAAAACAACCATAATAAAAATAAAAAATGACTTCTAAACAACAGGAAGATGGTGCAGCGGGTGGCTGGTTTTCGGGCTGGTTTTCGTCATCATCTGCAGCAAAAGAAGAAGAGATACTTCCCATGCATGATAAAGAAGATATACAAGAGACGAACTATTCCCGAAATCAACAAACATTATCCTCACTGCGATCACAGAAACAAGCGTCTTCATCACGGCCGGTAAGAGATAGTACAGCTACGCTTATCCGAACAGATGCTGAATCTTACTTGGACGCACCTAAAACCCAAAGCAATGATATTCGTCGAAAAGTGACACGTAGACTCCAGCTTACCAATAATAATTTAGTGATTGATTGTCCAATACCCGACAGATTATTGGGTGCATTGACATTTAATGATAACGATGAATATTCACAGCTAAGATATACTGCGGCAACATGTGAGCCTGATGAGTTTGAAGCCAAAGGGTTTACGCTTAGACCTAAAATTTACAACCGAGAAACCGAACTGTTTATTGTCATGACCATGTACAATGTATGTAAAGCGAGTCCCCCGATGAATCCATTTTATTGACACTTTTTTTTGGGTTTTTTTAGGAGGATGAAGTTTTGTTTACCCGAACAATGCACGGTGTCATGAAAAATATTGCACATATATGTAGCTTGAAGAAGAATACCATGTGGGGCCCGGATGGCTGGAAAAAAATTGTAGTCTGTATAGTGGCAGATGGTAGAAATGTAGTAAACAAACGAGTTTTAAGTGTATTGGCTTCTATGGGTGTATATCAGGCTGGAATTGCAAAGAATGTTGTGGATGATAAACCAGTCAAAGCTCACATCTACGAAGTAAGTATTGGAGTATTACGAGTCAAATATGCCTATTAATTGTTTTTTTATTCAATTTGATAGTATACGACACAAATCTCTATCGACTCTGACATGAACATTAAAGGGTCTGATAAGGGCATTGTACCTGTTCAAATCATGTTTTGCTTAAAGGAAAAAAATGCAAAAAAAATCAATTCGCATCGATGGTTCTTTAACGCCTTTGGGCCGATTATTAAACCCAACGTATGTATTTTACTTGATGTTGGTACGCGACCCGGAAACAGTAGTATTTATCAATTATGGAAGGTGTTCCATAGAAATCCTCTTGTCGGTGGTGCATGTGGAGAAATACGTGCTATGCTCGGAACTGCCTGTTGTCAGCTTTTGAATCCACTTGTAGCAGCACAAAACTTTGAATACAAAATGTCCAATATTCTTGACAAGCCTTTAGAAAGTGTCTTTGGATATATTAGTGTTTTACCCGGTGCATTTTCCGCTTATCGTTATGCAGCCTTGAAAAACAATGTGGATGGTCATGGTCCGCTTGAAAAGTACTTTATTGGGGAAGATTTGCATGGAGGCAAAAATGAGGTGCCTAGCAAAAACACAGGGTTGTTTGAGGCAAACATGTATTTAGCAGAGGATCGGATTTTATGCTTTGAGCTTGTAGCTAAAAAAGATGAACGTTGGTTATTGCAATATGTTGCCAGCGCTTTTGGTGAAACAGATGTACCCAATCAGTTACCCGAATTTATATCACAGAGAAGACGTTGGTTAAATGGCTCGTTCTTTGCAGGAGTGTATGGATTAATTCACTTCAAGAAAATCTGGAATAGTGGGCATGGTTTTAGTCGTACCTTGTTACTAATCATTGAAGGCATCTATAACGTCATTTCATTGGCATTTAGTTGGTTCTCTGTGGTAAGTTTTTTTATATAACAAGTATTACTAGTTTGTAAAAAAAAAAAATATTGATGTTTTTTTTCCGCCGTAGGGAAATTTTTATATTGCCTTTTACTTTATCACGAAAAGTTTATCTGCACCTGATGTCGATCCATTTGGGAATGATTGGGGAGGAAGAGTATTTGAGGTGTGCAAATATGCATATGCATTTTTACTGTTTGTCATATTTATTTGTTCTATGGGTAATAGACCACAAGGGTAATATTAAAAAAATTGAAAATGAAAAATTGTAAAACTAATGTAATGATATCATAGATCTAAAATATTGTTTATGGCCTGTCTTGTTGGATTTGCTTTTATTATGTGCTATATGCTATTTTGTTCTTCGTGGCTTATCTACAAAGGTATTCAACTTGCAGCTGAAAAGTATGAATGGACGCTGGATACAGGTGCAAACTTTCAAATAGCTATGGATGATCCTGGGTTGCGGAATATGGTTGTATCACTGGGATCTACCTACGGAATTTATTTTGTAGCTAGTTGTTTACATCGTCAGCCATCGCATATGTTTACAAGTTTCTTACCGTATCTATTGTTATTGCCTGGATATATAAATATTTTGAATATTTACGCATTTTGTAATACACATGATGTTAGGTAAATTAAATTTCAAAGAATTAATGATGCATGTACTAAAACTTTATTACAGCTGGGGAACAAAAGGAGATAATTCTGTCGCAAAAGATTTGGGGATCGTCAGGGTGTCTGAAAAAGAGAAAGGCGTCAAGACAGTAGAGATTGAATTGCCCGCAGATCAATATGATATCAATTGTCAATATGACGAAGCTTTATTTGCGTTGGACCAGAAACAAACTCGCAATGACGATATGGGTGGAACCATGACAAAAGATGATTATTATCGTTCGTTTAGAACTCATCTTGTTTTGGCCTGGATAGGTTGCAATGCCTTGTTGGTAGTATTTATTACTGCGCCTGACTACGAGTCCATATTCGATCAGTCGGTAGGGACAACTTACATGTCCATCATGCTTTGGATAAACTGCGGTCTTGGAATATTTAGATTTTTAGGATCCATGATTTTCTTGCTTTTAAGTATCTTTACATCGGGATAATATTTCTTTTATACTGTATACCTTCTTTTTACTCCCCCTTTAATACAATTTAAATATATATACCATTATTAATTACATACCTATATATTACGCATAGATTTAAAATTACAGGCCATTTTTTTTTCTTTTGAAAGGGTGTTATAAAATGTGACGTTACACTTGACTTGTAATACTAAAACCAGGTACGGTAACAGTGTTTGCTTAAAGGGAATTGTATGAACGCAGTAAGCAAGTTTCTTTGAGCCTCTGTTCGATGACAGTGTCAATTTTGAGTACATGTATTGCCTATGTTCCGTATTGGTGTTACCCTACATTAGGAAAGTTACATTGCCTACCCTCATTGGGACAGCTGTATTTTGGCCACCATTTTCTTGAGTTCTAATGGCGAAATCTTATCGTATACACTTCATGATAAGCTCCGTAATAATCTCCATACATCGAATTTCTTTTATCTACATCCAGGGAGTGGAATATTTGAAAGTTGTGCAGCTGATGATAGGACTACAAATACATTGTGTCTTTTATATAGTATAAATGGTTAGATAAACATATGAACTGATATCATAAGGGACATCATCCCGTTGTTGTGATCCCTTAATATAATATTGAAATCATGTTTGTTATCAGCTTTTAAATGGTTACAGCAAGTATCATGCAACTTGTATAATAGTATTACATTACTAGTACTGCGTAAATCTAAAGCGCTATTGAGAGAATTTGGTATAATTCATCTGATCAACTGACATAAGTAAATAATGAGTCGACTACACTAATTTCTACCCGTGGTTTCCCCTCTCATAGGAAAATCAGTTACCATCGTAAATATTCAGGTACACCCGTGTAACAATATATGTATATATATTTTTTTTCGCAGGGAGCTCTCGCTTTATTTTGGCTATAATCGGTTATGACACATGATGCGTTTTAATGCATAAGCTGATAAGAAAACAAGAGCCAGTAATTACCACGGTCTTTTAACTGAGACTTTAATTTTAAATGACAGGTAAATTATCAAGAAACAATAACAACCGAAAAAGGTACGAGGCGCGTTATGAAACAGTGGGCAGAGGCTGATGAAGGCTGCAAAAAAGCCATGTTTCATGTGCAAATAAGAAATGCCGATTTAGGTAAGCTTTTCCTTAATAATAAACATTGGATGTCTATTTCATCATTTTTTTTTTTTTTGTGACAGCCTACTGAAGAAAACGGTAATTTTTATTTGTTTTAACAATTCTCACGCTGCGTTCTTTCTTTTCTGTTCACTAGTCTAAAGGATGATAATGATGACATAATGAATACAAAGGGCGCTTGTATTTTGTAGTTGAAATGAGCTAAGGATTGTTTGATCCAGCGTCCCAAATCAGGAAATTATAGACAGGCCGTTTTGTTAAAAAACATGTGATGGTCCTCAAAAATTGGGTAAGTTGTGACGCTTTTTCTATCTGCATCAGTATCCGATTGGCTTGATTGGCAGCATTTACGACAAAACTTCTTAGTTTACAGCGAGATATTTTTGGCGTGGCAATAGCTTTATTTTATTTATTCTAAAACAAAAATTTCTTCTTCTCTTTTTTTTATCTTAAAAAAATAAAAATAAAGCAGTAATAAATAGATCAGGGGAGAAAATCTATTAAATTATGAGAACATCCTCTCGTCGTCAACATACTCCTCCACAACCTAAAGAATCTACCTCAACCTCATCATCAACTTCCTGTCAGATACGACCTTCAAGCAATATGGACGAAGGAGAATCTTATAGCCAAACTTACGTAGGCGAAAAATTTCACCAAATGGAAGAAGAAGACACGACCGGATTTCTTCACTTTATGGACGAGCAAGTTCATGACACATGGGACAGTGCTAAAGCCGTAGTGATTGGAGCTCAGCGATTATTACATATACATGAATTACCTAAAGAATGGCAAGAGAACGAATACGTTTTATCTGGGTAGGCATTATTTTCCCCTTTTTTGCGGATATCGAAAATGCCCCGCAATAAATATCCCGAAGATCCTTACTAATAACTTTAATTTGTTTTTGTTTATAGTTACCGCTTCTACCAAAGTAGTCATGCTTGTTTACGATCTATTTTTATGCTTCATAATGAGACATTGAATATCTGGAGTCATTTGGTGGGCTTTATTATTATGTCTGGGCTTAGTATATACGGTTTTAATGTAAGTTTATTAAAATGTTTCTCTTTCTTTTTGTACTGATTATTTTATGTAGTATAAATTCCCAGACGCTTCATTCAACGACCGTACTGTATTCGTTACATTTTGCATTGCAGCATTGAAATGTTTATTTTGTTCATCAATCTATCATACGTTTATTTGTCATTCGCATAGACAAGTAAAATCATTTACGGCAACGCTGGATTACATGGGAATTTCATTTCTAATCACAGCCTCAGTACTTGTGACAGAGTACTATGGTTATTATTGCAGACCCATGACCCGTTTAAAATACATGGTATTCACAACGGCAGTTGGAAGTATCGGTGTATTTGCACCATTTTTAGAAAAATGGGATACAAAGGCATTAAGACCACTTCGTATTGCAGTATTCGTGTCCATGGCCGTATCAAGCGCCGTACCAGTTTTACATCTTGCTTATCTAAATGGGCTGAAAGCTACATGGACATTTTTTGAATTAGCCGCTGTTAGCGTTTTTATGTATATTCTTGGTGTCATTGTTTGTATGTTTGCCTTGTTATATTTTATTCTTGTTCATGTATGCTAATTTGTTTTGTAGATGCTAATCGTTTCCCTGAAAAATTCTTTCCTGGTAAATTTGATTTTGCTGGTTTAACAAGTCATGCTATCTGGCATGTTTTTGTATGTTTGGGTATCTTTGTAAGTTTAGTCGATTTTTTTTTTTAAAAAAAATAGCTATTAATTCTTGTTTTACAGTTTCATTACCTAGCTTCTCTACGTTTTTATGCTGAAAGACACAATTATGGTTGTAACAAAAATTAAAACAATATACCTCCTTAAAGCTATTTATACATTCTCCTTATTCCATCATATTACACACCTCCTATCCTAGAAAGCGGGCTTTGTAGGATGTCCCATTTTTCATAGAAAGTAGATTTTTTTTATTAAATAGTTTTACGACTACTAAAAGTAGAGCTACTCTTTTCAATTAAATAATCAGTGCGATCTAGAAACATTTGAAGATCCTTGAAATAATCAGCGTCTATTTCTGCAGAAGCATTGTTTTCGTCGCAATTATCCACAACGATAGAATAATGCTCCTCGTCTTGATCAACGTTCAATCTCTTCAAGAACTCAACGGCCTCGGTTTTCGATCTTATGATGGCACAGGATGGAAAATAAATACGTAACTCAGAGTTGCGTGATACGACCCTGAATTTTTTACCACTATATCTTAGACGATCTAGCAAATTTAACACATGATGGATGTGCAGCTGATAGTTGTGTGCTATAATTTCCACAGAATCAATAAAGTTGGAATCTAAACTTTGCGTAGACCAACCAGACATAAATGGTGTGGAATCCAAATCAATTAAAATAAACGCATTTGCCTTGGGTTCTTGGCGGTCCGGCGGGTGTTTAATTCGACCATGTCTGATAGCTGCGGAGGAATGTAGCTTTCTTTTGTTGGAGACAATGGGTTTTCTGCTACCGTGTGAAGCAGATACATCGTCATGACGAACAATTGACTCTAACTTCTTCATTGAGCGCTTGTTACGACGGGTATTAGCAGTTTCACGTCCAACATATAATTTCTTTTCGGCTTTACATTCTTGAATATTGACCAAGTCTCCCATGCCCTTGTTAGCCTTATGTTGAAACATGCGGTTATAACCAAAGTCAGCAGAGCAAATAGACTCTTCATCGGAGGTAGATACATCCTTTTCCAATGAATAAAAAGGGACAAACTTGGGTTTTTCGTCAGCTGTTGGTGGTTGAGACATCTTGGTGCCTGCAGGAGAGAATATACGAGAAGAAATATGCGCAAAAACGTTGGGTTGTTGTGGTGCTGTATTTTGAAAAAAGGTGACGCATGTGGGTGACTTTGTAGTAGAAAATTGTCTGGTCGCATTAAAACCATTACTTCTACCAACACCAACCATAGCGGAGCGGGGAAGGCCCCATGTCATAAACGTAGCTCCCCCTCCACTTCCGCCGGAAGTAGACATCATAGTACGAAGCTGTTGGCTGGGATATACCGTCATCATGCTACGACCATGTAAAGTTGGGTTAGAGAACACTTTGACAATGGGAAAATGCTGTTGAATAACTTTCAGTAAAAGCTTATCATTAAGTGGATTTCTTTTCGTGGGCTGTTGAAAATGATAAGCCTTTTGAATCAAAGAACGTTGAATATCTGAAAAGAAAAGGATGCTCTGTTGCGTAGTAGAATAATTGTTTAAACGAGTAACTGTATTTGAAGGTTGTTGGTGAGATGTTGCCACCAGCTCCGATATCTTTGTAGTAAAGTAATGCCGGAGCTGATGAAAAGACACAAATATCTTTGATGGTCTTAAAATCATTCAAAGGCTATTGTGTTTTCATCAATTTAGAAAAGAGAAAAAGAATAGAAAAAAAAAAAAAAAATGACCCAATTTTTAAGCGCCATGTGACGGCTGTTGTGTAAAGCCTTAACCCAATCATTGTCATTTTAATGCATGATAGCAATTCGTTGCACTGAAAAAGTGAGTCATATTTTCCCTGACTTTTTCTCAATATCTCGTAGCTAACCTATTATTCAGCACCAAGTTTCTCTTGTCACCACCACTTTCGGAAGAAATTATCTTTCTTTGTACCAGAATGGAAATAACATGAACTCAATCATTCAACTTTAATTTTACATGCGTGTATAGATCTATACCACCTAAGTTATACTATATATAGTAATTTCCCTCGTAATATATCTGCCGGATCTCACTGGGGAAATCTGGCGCATATTTTTATGACGAACAGATCATTGGCAATGTTTGGATGATCCAAATCAAGGGAGCTAAATGCACCTTCTCCACCATCCATCCAACGCAATATCATTACTTTGTGCACGTTCGTCAATTTGACCTACATTTCCCGACGAGCTATTCGCTCATGAATGAGAGCAACAACAGTTTTATTCTACCTTTACTTGGAATGAAAGATTCTGTAGAGCAATTGTTTGTTGAAGTGGAAAACAAGTTAAAACGACCTACAAGTCACCCTCTAAATATTAATCATGTCATACTTCCAGAACCTACTTGGTTCACACCACCCCGAGGTGATACAGTCTTGTCAAGAATACCAAAGTCCCATGATTTCAATAGTGATGAATATTTCGATTCGAATGATAAACATGAATCAAAGAATACATCATATAACGAAGCCGATGAATATGGATTCGTGAGAAGAGGGGGACGATGGCTCAACATAATCACAAGAGATTATTAGGAGGAACATCCTTTCTTCACTTAGTTCATTATTTCCATTATTATCAAAAATAAAATATATATTATCTGCTTTATGATTTCTCTATTGAGCTCATTATTCTGAGCCTAGTTACTTCAATAACGCATGTAAAATTAGTTTTGGAATCAACATGAAAGAACGTGGCTATACCCGATTCATATGTATGACAATCTTGAGGCTGTATTCCCTTCGGAAAATTTTATTAGGTTTATGATGTTGCTTTTGTTTGCCTTCGATTTTTGTTCATTTTTGAAATCCGTGTGAAATTTTAAGTACATTACTTGTTTTTTTATTTACGTTCTTTCTTCAGTAGTCTTTTGGATGCATTCTATGCCAAACTATATCAAGAGCCAAGTCCGCTCTTAATAGTGCATCATGATCCAATAAGGCGCTTAATATTCTCCCTAGAACTATCCCAGTTCTTTATATAAATATCCATAGTTTTTTCTCATAGACCATCATACGTTTTTTAATTAATTTATTTTTTTCGTCCATAATAAAGTGGTATCCAAGTTCTAACAGTATCACTTTTGGTTTACTTTAATTTTGTTCTCCATGCAAAACAGATATAAACTCCTCCCCAGTTTGTACCATCCTCAACATATATGGTCGAATTGGTACAGCCACCAACAAATACAGCTTCTTTCGTGATCTACTAGACACGGACAACATACATCAGATATTACATAACCCTGTGAAAAATATTTTTATTATGGGAGATTTCAAATAGATAACCAAATCAATGCCAGCTATTTCTCAAACAACTATTTGTCATTAGCACTTGTTGATTTTGTCAACAAATTTTTCGCCATGGTGTCAAGACATTCTTTGATGATGAAGGGTTTGAAACAAAGCGTTCGAAATGTCTCATCCTAGTGATGAAAGTTTTAAAGGAAATCTATGGAGACACTAGACTGCAAAGACTTGATTGTATTCTGCGCGATCTCAATACGGATAATAATGTAATAGCGGCGGAAGAAAAGCCAACTTTGAAAGGCGTGAAAGTTGAAGTCAAAAAAGGAGGATTGTTGAAAAAGAACACATAGTATCTTTGATCTAATCAAGTTAAAAGTCATGTACTCATGAAGAACTAGAATCTATGTCCTGTCAGTGGCAAGGCACCAAGTTGACTGTTTACGAATCTTGTTAAACTACGTGAAAGGTTCCTTCCGAGTGCCAGTCTCCGTAAATCATTTCCCTATATTCTCCAAACTGTTAATGGCAGCAATGTCATTAAAGCGTGTGGTCAAACTCAGCTATGCCATGGTGTATCACATACCAGTTTATCCATGTCATCAAGGTCTCATATAATCATTTATATAGCCAGTCATTATGCTAATGTCTCAACAATATAATACGGAACATTCATAAGTAAAGATTATCGAGTGATAAAAATACCAGTGTAATATATATGTTAAATAAAGGATTATCGTATATTTGATTGAAATTGTTGTCTTACAGACATCGGATATTACATGCCGAATTCACTTTAATTTTGGAAAAAAAATACAAACAGGAAATTAAGAACTTGGTTTTCAATGATGACCCCTTCAATGAAATGAGATTTGTAAGCAACAGCACCGATTGTGACAATGAAGAAGGTCAAAATAATGAAGAAAAGAGTGAGAATAATATTGACGACTTTGTTGGCCAAAGTGAAAAACTTGAAGTTGGGTGAGGAAGGCTTGAAAAAAAAATTTGTATTATTAAGTCATCTATAATCCACGAACCTTTACTATTAGTAAAAGAATCCCCAAATGGCCCCATACTTACATAATATGCAAGAGATCTTTAACATGGCAATTGTCTATCATTGTTTCAATAGTAGAGTTTACGCTCATTAACATATTATATCATCATCTCTTTTTAGACTTATGTCTAAAAAGAATGAGGGTATACAGCATTAGGAAATATTGGTCGGTTTATTGGCCATTTTTATGTCTTTTATGATCTTGGTTTAGGATCTGTATCAAACTTCGTGATCTGGATTGGTGCAGATATAAAAGAATACATATAGTCCCTGGAATATTACCACTTGTACACTTTCTGAGACAGGGCCGCATTTTCAGTATTAACAGAAGAATCTAATTTAGAAACGTCGCCTGTAATGACTTTGGTCCAGCCTGTAATTTTACGCTCACACTCGTTATGAGAAATAGCATAGGAATATCCGAAATTGTTGTTTCCTTCCTTTTTCAATGATTTCAAAAGGTTGAAATAAAATGGTCTGAGTAGCTTTGAGAGCTAGTCGACTGATTATTATATCGCTTTATAACTTTCGTCTAATGTAAATGTAATTCAATTTTTTTGAAGAAATATCATGAGTAATGACTTATTAACCTTTCAACATTGTTTATAATATCCCTTTTGACAAGTCTTTGCACCATTCACTTGATATTATTGCTCACCAAACTATAAATGAATCTGGTATAAAACATGCCTTATTCTAAAAATTAATGTATTTTTTTAAACAACGTCTTAGGGTCATAATCAGATACGACAATGCAATTAAATACTTTCCCGGCTACACTCTTTTTTATCAAGTAGATTTTTCACAACTCAGACAAGTGAGCTTTTCATAATTTAAGCGGCTCACAACGGCCCGCTACCAATCCGATCCCGATATGCTTTATTCGGCGGTCTTTTAAAATACGCACCTTTGCCTGTGACAAAAGATAATTGAATTGTAGAAGACACGGGAAACTAAATGTTTGTATCATCTTTAAAGATATACACGCTGTGCTCTTCAAATATAAAATATTCCAAAACAAACAAGTTCACTGAAAGAAAGAAAAAAAATGTACTGAGTAATTATAATTGAATTAAGAATAGGCAAAAGACATGGTGGATTGATAAATCAACCCAAAGAGCGCTTCTGTGGCACGTTTTTATACCATTTTCTTTTTTAGCAGAGCGAATGGAAATTAGATGTGACATGAGTAGTCACCAGTAAACTTAATTAGACAGACACACTTCAGTCTTGTTTTTAAAAATACTTCTTTTGAAACGATATTACTTTTTTTTTTTTTTTTTTTTTTTTTGTAAAGATTTGTAGATACTAGTAAACTTAGTCATCATGGGTTTTAGTCAAAGTGCTTGTGTGTTTTTTAATCATAATATTTTGATGAATTTCCTTGTAGATTATCCTATTTAACACCAAATAATGCATACAACGTATCTTTTTTTTCAAGAAAAAAAAGCACGACATTAATTTTCAAGATTGTGCAATACGTTTTTTTATTTAAAAAAACACAAGCAGGGAACTGTTCTTTTTTTCTTGCGACATTATTTTCGCAAAAGGTGTAAAAAAAAAAAGGTATATTAGCATTTAATGATAAATCTTTGAAACTTAGCACGTCTATACTGTAACCTGGGGGGGGGGGCTCGAATGTGTGCCTGTGTATATTTTTTAATCCACTCGATAACCGAGTGGTAAAACTTTACCCTATTATTTCTTTATTACTTCTCTTTCGTGGGAGTTTTCTTATTGAAGAAGAAACGGTTTTATTGTCATGTTCTCATTGCTCACGGTTTTTACTTTGTGATGCAATTAGATGAAAAGATAACCCGCTTAAGAGAATTGAATAGGTAAATGAAATTGCTCCAACAAAGTGTGTTGTAGATTCATATTGATGATGGATATTATGTACTTCACATTTCTGGTGACGTACTTCTGTCGATACACTAATATGTTTAGTAGTTCAAGGGGTAAAAGCTTAAAAAAAATACAAATCCTTGAACCAATAGAAGGCTAAGATATTACTTTAATAAACGAATTGATGGCAATTCATGCAATCGATATGGGTTGCCTGAGTTGTCTATAGCGATTTGATCGGCGTGCCATAAGTGACATGCTACTGCATATTAAGACACCGGCAAATAGCTTAGTAATCAAATAGCTCTTAGTCTTATTAATGTACTTAATACTGAATCAAGTTGTTTGACTCTGTATCACTGAAGAGAGAAACAACAAACAACAAACAACAAGACAATGTTGTACACTTTTGTTTGAGTTGATTAGATAATCAAACAACAGAGCATATTGTTATTTCACATCAAATATAGCCATCTTTTCTTTTTAATAAAAAATAAAAAGCTGCTGTTTTTGGGATTTGCTATCACTTGACGATGTGAGTACGAAGAGAGACTACTTTGTTATAAGTGATGGGCTTATATAACCCAACAGATGTACGAAAAGTCTAAATACTCCCAAGGTTACCGATAGGTGTAATCGATTTAAATGTTAAAGTGTTAAAAAGATAACGAGACACGTTACCTTCAGTCTGCAGTGGCGACAATAAAAGATGCCTTTTTCATAGCAACCTCTTCCTTTCAGAAGTTTGAAAAATGTGCTCTAGACATATTATGTGAGTTTTTTTTTCTTCCATTGAGCAACCACAAAACGATGTACTCGGTGACCCGCAAAAGCGCGTAAATTGAGTTGAAAGGCCATATCAGCAGATCTTGTGTGTCCTCCGAAGTTTTTCCATACAGACATTAGGGTAAAATCTAGGTAGACAATGGTTTATTACATCATGTTGCGTTTTAAAGATGGTGTTTGATAGCGCCCTAGGCACAACAGTAATGTATTTACTGTAAGTGGTATGAGATAGTTTGTCAACTCAGAGTACCATATCAACGATAGCCCAAACAAGTAGTTAGGGGATAGACAATGAAAACGAGGAACTATTCGTTAGTTAATACATGTATCTCCTGACTTTCAAAGCAGTAATGTTTATATTTTGATCTTCATCCAAAATCCGGTAGCTCAAAATATGCCTGTAGAGTCTTGTGGAAGTAGAAGAAAACAAAGATAAACTGTGTGCATAATTTCATAAGCAGGTCACTTGTTAAGAGGGCTGTCTTCAGTTTGTTAAAGTACAATGTCGAATGTCATTCACAATGAAGCACCTTCATTAGATTCCAGCTGACACATTTTAGGTTTTCTAGGACGAGCAGCTTGTTTTACATGCATGTGTATACAAAGGAAGGCGCATTTGGATTAATAAGGGATCAGCCCTTAAGGCTGTATTAATGATGTCAACGGTTAAACCATTATAAATCCTATTGTTCTAAAATAAAAAAACGCAGTACCTTTTTTTTATTTCGTGTATTACTAAGCCAAAAAAAAAAAAAAAGGTTCTGATCCCACTGTGAAAAAAAAAAAAAAAAATACAAATAAAAATACAACATTCTCATATTTGCGATAATATTAATTATTCTTTAGAAACGTACATCAATTGTTTAATAGGTAATTCAAGGAAAAAAAAAATCAAATGTTTGATTATTCATATGACAAAAAGGGGGATGACAGAGTTGTCCCTTCTTACGTTAACAACGGTAATAATTTTTTTTTTGGATTTCTAAGCCAAATTTTCATCGGCCCGCTTAAAATTATCCTTAACCACAGATTGGTTAATCCCCAAAAAGAAAAAAAAAATTGATTAGAAATTCGCTGAATCATGCAAGGCGCGGCAATAGAATTTAGTATATATATCATTCATATTATATTTTCGTCCTTTCTTTTCACTTCTATATCTTTTTTTTTATCACTTGAAAATGAAAGTCGAGAAACATCGCAAAACCAATCATTTCGTACCTTGTCCGTATCGAAAACAGCAGCTGGAGTCGAATCATCCCGAAAAGCTGACTAAACCTCAAACCTTTGGATATAATCAAGCCTGCGCTTTATTATTAGCTATCGAATTAAATCGACGTACACGACTAAGCAAAAAATGTTTAGGTAAACACTCACTGTATCTTGTTGCTGTTGTATTTACTGATAAACAAATAAAAAAAAAATTAAAAAAATAGCACATTTAGCGTTATTTGTATCTCAAGCTTGGGAAGATAAACCCTGCCAAGAAAAGATCCAGCAATTATATTATATGATGAACAACTTGTTGGATACGACAACCATGGATACGACAGAACCATTTGAGACTTCACTTCAAAAGTTTTGTGAAAGTCCAGTGTCGACACCCACGATTTGCCCTAGCGTTACATTATTAATTGCAATCAGTTACGTCGAACGATTAAATAAGGTAAAAAAAGAATGTTTGAACTCCCGGCTCATTTTTTAACGCACCCTTTCACAGAGATATCGTGATTTAAAAGGAACTCCAGGATGTGGATTCAGAATGATTATGGTGGCATTCATCATGGCTTCCAAATACATTCATGATAGCCTTCGTTTAATTATATATACCAGTAATCGAAATATAACACCCAACATGATTTCTACACCCATTACACCACCCACCTCTCCCAAAATTCCAATAACTTCTACCACCTCTGTCATTCAAAGTATCACCAACGCTCTTTCTATCAACAATACGCTTGTTGAGAAAAATGACGATCCATCATCAAATATGGTAACACCTGCGTCATCTCCTCCTCTGGAAAAGATAGCACCCAAGGACAATGAACGAAATTTAAGAATAGCCAGAATGGAGCAGGAATTCTTATTCTTTTTAAACTATGACTTGTCTGTACAAGACCCTTCACTTCTTGTGTTATGGGCACAGAGCTATCAAGTGCCAGAAAAATCCCCAGAATCCGAACAACCATATACCTCTGCTGACGATGGAGATGATGAAATGGATGACGAAGATAATTAATCATACCCGCCACTCACATTGATATCACTTCATCTCTCCAAACTCTACACATTCATCGATACTTTTTCTTTTAAATACATATCATATAATAAAATATCCCCCCACACCCAAAATTAAAAAACTAATCTTTTATCCATCAATGCTTGTTGCTTCCATCTCGGCCAATTCTTTTGTGAACAACTACATTGATTCTTTCATTTGTAATGTATGCAAAAAGAGGAAGAAGAAAAAAGAAAGTGGTCTGGAATGCGGCAAGTTAAAATATCTAAAACGGGTTTTGTAGGGCTGTGACTCGTTCAAGAAACTCCCAATCTCGCCACCTTATATATTTTTTTGTTGTTTACCTATAACATAAACCTTTTTCTTCCCCCTTGTTTCAGTCATTAGAAGAAATGAAGATTTTTAGTGCAGCTGCTATACTCTCCTTGGCTTCAGCCGTTATGGCTTTTGAAGCTACCGCACCTTGTCTCATGTGGTCCCCGAGAAAGTAAAAATATAGAACCGCGCCCTTTATTATCTTTAGTCTCCTGTACTGACTTTCTTCCAAAATAGCTATATTGAAGCTCAAGTAAACACCGCTAAGCAGTTAGTCATTAGCAAGTCAGATGCCAATGACTTCATCATGTCCTCCTTATCCCCTGATATCTGTTCCGCCAAGCTCATTGCTTTAGTCAACCAACCCGAGGTAAAAAAAAAGAGAGGGAAAGAAAAAAGTCGTACATGACACGTCATTAAAAGTCTCATTTATAGATTCACAAAGGTGACTTTTCACGTTCTGGTTATGAGGATGCTTTCACTCACTTGAAGGTAGTGTTTCAGACTTCGCGCCTTTTTTTTTCATTGCTGAATTTGGGTATTGAATTACTTTCATCTAGGAACAAAACGAGAAGGCTCAATCTCGTTCTCAAATCGGATACGTTGCTGAAGGTGTTGATATCCAAAAGATTGCAAAGGATATTGCCAGCAAATGTGATTCTTCCATTGCTATTTTAGACGCTTCAAGTAAGCTTTATTGATTTTTTATCGCGTCATACCCTTTTTTATTTTATTTTGGCTGACCTTACCCTTTTCTTTTCTTCTTGTAGCTGTTACTTCTGACGATTTAGTTGAACAAGATACACCCATTGTTGCTGTTGTATATCTTCCCGCCGCAAATGATAATGTTGAAACTCTCAAGGCAAACGGTAAAACAAAAAAAGAGGGAGAGAGAGAGAGAATTGTAAATAGAGTATATCATGTATTTAACAGTAGATATTTAGATGATTTATTGGGCAAATTGATTCATGCTGTTGAAGAAAAGGTTGAGAATGATTATGTTGTTATTTACACTTCCAGCGATGCCAAGGTAAGCAAAATACAATGAAAGTGTAAAGTAGTAGATGCTGACTGGGATATACTTAGAAGGCATCCACCCACACCTTGCATCGTCGTGCCCCTCAACCTGTCAAGAACTTGCCTATTTTTGCAAAGTACCAATTATTCACACCTGGTGTATTTATGGTTCTTGGTGTTGTATTCCTCCTCTTGTTGATTGCAGGCACTGGCATCACTTGGTTAGTTGGTATTCAAACTCCTGTTCGTTTTGAAGCAAAGCAAAAGAAGAACTAACTTTCATATCCCCCTTTGAAATAAATAATAATAAATAAAAAAAATTATTTTATTGTTGATCTATTAAACGAATGGTTGATATGAATGCACTATGGTATAAGCCAACTTCAGTAAATTTAGCTACACTGACAACGGAGGTATCACAACTGGTTACAGCTAAACCAGCATATACATCACGAGCTAAAACAAATGGTATCGTTACCAAAGTCTCCCAACCATCTATATTTGCATCTACATGTTGAATTTGAGCCTCAAACATATCGTTCTCCTTTTGTCGGATCAGACGTAATCGATAAGGTGGTGAAGCTCTCATTTTCTTGATCAATTTGGTCGTTTGAAAGTTACCATATCGAACCTGAACAAAGATCCCCTCTGCTGGTGAAATACCAAGCATGATTAAAGGTGACCCGTGACCTAAATGTTCTCGAATCATGATACCAGCCTTGGCACATTTGGCAAAGGCTGAATGTGACCTGACTGTCGCTTCAATAATACCTTGCTCCGAAAACGGTTGGTAGACAAAACGGAAGGCATCTCGGTCATTGTCAATGTCGGCTCCCGATCCCCATAAAGTAAACGTACTGGCGGAATCGGCGGAAACGGTACCCGGTAAACCAACTCGACTCTCTTGTCCGACATCAATAGTTTGCCATTCTCCCGGTAAGTTGGGATTAGGTGGTGGTCCTGGCAACGGATCCCGAGGATGACTTAACTTAATTTGTAAGAGAGGAGCTAGCTTTTTGGCTAGTAATTCATGACCTGCGTCGTTCAAGTGTTTCTAAAATAAAAGAGTTTAGTTATATTAGATTTTAGGGTGGGGGCGGGGTAATATATTAAACTTTACAGGGTCATTGTAATAATTAGATCCATATCTCAGCCAAGCGGTGGTATCAATAAAATAAATATGTTGGTCTCCGCCATGTGTCATATCAATGACGGATTGTTGAGAAGGTCGAAACATATCACCAAGCGGTTCTGACAATATAAAAATAGGTGCTGTTTCATATAGCGTTTTACGAATTCTAGTTAAAAATCGGTTTAGACTCTCTCTGTATTCATTAGAAGAATAGTCGGTCTGATCGTCATTGGCTCCCAACAAAATAACAACACTCCATGGTGTTTCATTACTTTGAATGGTTCGGTCGAAATATCTATTTTCGATTCCTTTGACGAGTGTAGCGTTTCTATAAGCTACTTGTGCATGTTCTAAACCCAAAAGTTTACTTGTAAGCCAAGCAAAACTTGTGAATAAGGTACGACTAGAGTCAATGCCCAACGTCAAGTCATGTCCAACATATTCAACAAGTGGATTCACTGCTTCGGGTGGAACTGTGCTAGCTGTGTCGTCAAGTATAATATACGACAGACAAATCGACAGCTGAGAAGGGTCTACATTGGTGGCAATGACGACAAGTTCATGTGGACCATCGTCTACTAATCCTTGGGGTACCAAGTCTAACGGTGTTGTAGTCGAGATATTGATAAACTGAAACTCCTCCTTGTTGATCGTGACTAGAAGCGAAGTAGGCTGACTGAGTTGTAGTTTAATATATCGAGTCTGTTGTAAAGTCACTTTAAAGTAAGCACCTGGCCATCCACTTTGAATATCTCGAGAAGTGTTATGCCAACGCCCAACATATTGAATATTTGGATCTCGATAAGAGATTTCTTTATTGCCTAAAGCTATATTTGCAAACGTATAACACAGTAAAAGTGCATATATCAACTTCATTTTTTTTTTTTAAATATCTTAAAAAACAGAAAAAGGGACAATGGATAGGCGAGGGAGGGTTTTGAGTAAATATTTTAGAGTAAAAAAAAAATCTCGGCCAATAAATTTGCTTGTTGCTAATTATGGATCGCTGGACAATAAAGGGAAAATGATGTCGGGAACAAATCTTCAGCCACTGCATATGTGCTCCCATTGTTCTTTCCTTACATGCTTCCGTTGTCAGCGTATTCTGTAATCTATAAAATAGCCTATCATAAGAGCCCATTTTATTAGTCTGATTAAACCTAGTACCTGTGTATGTGTGTGTCCTGAATCTACACACCCGTATAATATTTCGGATCTTTAAAGCTTGAATTTTTTTTTATATGGAGAGGTATTTTTTATTTTCTATGGCCCTTTATTTTCATTAAATAGATGTAAAAATCAAAAAAAAAAAAAAAAAAAAAAAAAGCTTGGAGTCTAAACCACGATGGTGGAATAGACTTGGTAGTAGCGTTAGATTTTAGGGATATGATGAATAATTATAGACAAGCGCTCGGCTGCCCTTCCAGGTTGTTAAGACATAGATTAAAATGTTCTTTTACAGGCGATGATGATTCACCAAAAAGATGATTGGCTCTATGCATTTTAATGAAAGCAGTATTTTTTTCTGTAGGAATGGGTATTGATAGAGTAAGCCACGATGCAGATAAAGTTATATTCGGCAAGCTTTTTTCTATCTGATAAATATTTAAACTCCTTTTTTTTTTAAAGATTGTAAAGTTTCCCATGAATCAAGGTTATGTTTCAGTCACAACACGAAATCATAACAACTCTTATATGTATACATATATAAAAAAGAACACACATCGTAAAATAGAAAAACCGAAAAACATATTGTTGATTCTTACATGCTAAAAAATTTAATGATGAAAATAAAAATACCTAATTGTGTCGTCTCTTCTTTTCTTTATGACAATCATACTCATGTGATGATTCATACTTAGGTAGTCTAAATAATTTAGAGAATTAATAAAAATGTTGTTACAGACAAGCGAAATATAAAAACTTACTTGGCGGGGTTTACTGGCAAAGGATAGGAATAGAAGTAATCGTGATTAAGAGCTTCTAAAGCTGTTAATCGTTTCTTGGGATCAAGTACCAGCAGCTTGTCCATTAAGTCGGCAGCGAAATATCCAAAGCTGGTGTAATCAGCTCGGACATGTCGTGCGCTTGTTTGGAACTTAACTTTCTTAGCATCTGGTAACTTATCCCAGTTGGGCATGTTTCTCTGATTAGGCGATCCACATAAGCTAAATATTCTTTTCAATTGATCGAAGTCGTCTTGGCCTCGTAAAATAGGCATCGACTTCATAAGCTCGCCGAACACACATCCAATGCCCCACATGTCGATTGCACTAGTGTATCGTCTCTCCCCAAGAAATAATTCTGGTGGTCGATACCATCTAGTTACAACCGTTTTGGTATATTCCTTGCTATCATCTTCCATACCACGAGCAAGACCGAAATCTGCAATCTGTAAGACACCATCATTGCTGATTAAGAGGTTGGCAGCTATAAAAAAGGTAATTATGTCAGCAAACTTTGCCACCAAGTGCTATGTCCTTTGTCTTTTGTTAATACAATTTACCTTTCATGTCGCGATGAAGGATACCGTTCTTTCATAGAAAAAGATAACGTCAGTAATATGATCTTTCACGGTTTTCTATAAACTTTACATGATGCAGATATGCGGTTCCTTCCAATAATTGCTTCATATACGTCTTAATTTGCGATTCGGTTAATCGTACGTTTGGGTTATTCAATAAACCTGACAAATCGTGATCCATATAAGGGAACACCATATAAATATTCCCCTTTTCTACAAAAAAGAAACAGGTTTTGCTTGTATATTTAGGTACAAAAGTAAAGTTAAACATACCTCTATCGACCAAAACATCTCGTAATGGAACAATATTTTCATGGCTTAATTGTTTAAGAATTTTAATTTCACGTATAGTCGTGATGGGTATCTAATAAAGTGAGACCGACTCTTATATAATTTATTGTTAAATTTATTGATACTTACCCCTTCTGTTTTGTCGTGTATTAAAACTTTTTTCAAAGCAACCAAGTCATTACTTTGTTTCTCTCTCGCCTTATAAACCTCTCTGTAATATGGTTAAATGTACGTCAGCTTTCACAATCAAGATTGACAGGGAATAATAAAAGCTTACCCAAAGGTACCTTCTCCAAGCTTATCCAAGAATTCATAATCTGTTATTCTTGGAGGGTCCTTGAATCGTGTTTGATTCGTAGCTTGTGATGGTCTGCACGCTGGTCTGGAGGATGCTGCGCCATTCTTAGCTGGGGAAGACATGCTTGAAGTTGAGCCTTCATAACTTTTATTTAAATTATTTTGGCTTTTGTCAGCTTTGGTGTCGTTGTACGTTCGTTTCATTTGTCACGGTTGTAAAAAGGATTTTTTTGACGCGAACTTGTAAAAAAGAAAATCAAAACAAAGCTTAAAAAAAAAATTATTAAATCACCAAACAAAAAGCAGTCACATTCGTTGGTTTCCAATGACACTAGAAAATAGGAATCGCATGCTGTGAAAGAGGGAAATAACATCGTTACAAGGATAAACTAAGCCATCTCGGTTGACTATTACTCCTCATCGAATTATAAAATTAGGGATTTTAATCCCCCTACAAGAGGCAGGTACAGTCAATCTGCGAAATAGTGATCAAATATTAACACCTTGCGGTATAGAAATTGATTCGCACAGTTCTTCAAGGAAAAGCCGATTAGTGGATAGATCTATTAATTTTCTCTTTCTTCCTTGAAGATAGTACCGAGTTTCTGCAATTACGTCTGATGAAGATTACACTACTTATACAATCTGGAGACAATACATGGTCGAGTAAATAATTTCATAAAGGACGGAGACTAAAATCTACTACTTGGTACTATAGTTACTGCTGCGCCCTCCATAACAACGAGAGAATATTTGTCTGTCTATATTCCGGTGCCCTACACCCGCATGCTTTCTTAAAAAGCGCTTCACTTTTGGTTATTTTAAACTGAGGCTCAAATATATGACATACTGACATAAATCGGCTTTTTTATATCAATGAAACCCCTTTTTACTATACACAACTATATTTATCAAAGTAGCGTAATATTAGATGTCCTGGTAGTTCCAAAAACTTGGAAACAAAAATATCAAATATAAACGATTATAAAAAATAGCTGCTCATCCGACATTTTAATTTCCGTTAGTTCAACCTTCATGGGCTCGTTTTGATCTGTAGTAGTAAATAAAAGTTTAAACGAGTCATTACAAGTATACCATATATTTGTTACGATGATTTCGCATGCTGATGTAAGGGAAAAGCCAAGGTATTCGATTCTATGATGTGACTACACGCACCTTGTTTGTCTAGTTTTATACCTGAATTGGACTACTGGTTGAAGATTTTTCCAGTCTGAAGAAGATGCTGTGTTTTATTTGGTTGGGGGATTTTTGTGTATCCAAAGACCTTATAATCACCCTCCAATATCTTGGTGTATTTTAACAAGATAGTCAATTTAAGCAATGGAAGTTAGGTTGACAACATACAAGTAAATTATGCTGTGTCAATTCTAGTACACCCTTTGTACATACACGTACGATAGTCATAGCATTACACTATCTTCTTTCAAGAGACTGAGTAGTATGAATGTAATTACTTGAGAGAAACTTACTTAAAGAATGTGACGGCGGATTTTTTTTTATAACTGTAACAACTGCTAGATATTTATTATTTACAAAAGAGGGGTGTGTGTGTGGGGGGGGGGGAGGATAGCACTATAATTTCATTATTCCCTTTAAAGATGGTACATTTCATTCCACCCAAGCTCAAGAGAACCGGTGTATCCACCTTCATCGAGATCTAGTCCAACATCGTGAGTTAGGTAAGTATTAGTACATGATGACACATCGGATGGTGTGGGTAAGATTTCATCCTCATCTGTCAAGTCCTCCTCCATCATTGTGATATCTTCTACCATAGGCGATGGTGTTCTTTCGCTAGTAATATTGGCTCTATTTGCTGTGGCATTGGCAGATAATTTGAAATTAGGTTTGTAATCGGGTGATGCATATGTTATCCCAGGCATATTTTGTTGCTGATGTATCAAATTACTTGATAATGGGTGAATAAATTGAAAGCGTTTTGTAGATGGAAACTATCATATTGTAACATTAGTCAACTTTTAAGGTCCCTTCCATTTCACATACAACTACTGTACTTCTGTATTATCATTCTCAAACTTGCGCTTTGTTGCTGTGAAATCATTACTGTTTATTAAAACTGCATCATTTTGTGTTGCAGTAACAGTAGTAGTGTTGGCTGCAAAATCATGTTTAATTAACCCGATTAAACATATCACATTGTTTCGATGACTTACTAAAGTAATTCATTGATATTTTCTATATCGACAACTCAAAAAAAAAAAAAAAAAATTGAGCGCGTGATTAAAAGCGAAAAGAGAGAGAGAAGAAAAAATGTGGAGAAACCCAAAGCTTATAATAATAAAAAAAAAAACGGACTGTCAATAAAAAAGTCACTCACTAAACCATGGTTGACGAAAATAAGCCAATCATCAGCCAAACATGAGAGTCAATAATATCATGAATAGGAGATAAAACGTCAAAAAAAAAGTCACTGCGAGCTATTTACGGCATTGTAAACGGCGTTTACAATCAATTGTAATTGATTGAGAACCTTTTTTTTTTTTGGCATCGGCAATGAATTCTAGATATCGGATAGGGCTGATGTGTGTACAACTGAATGATCTGCAGCCATCGGAAATTCAGAAGGCTGGCCAAACGGATACCCGCAGCGTTTCATTACTCCTTTTTTTTTATATACTTGTCTTTATTGGAATACTTTTTTAATTAAAGATACTAACGATAATCAAACAGGCTCGTGTAGCCTATCGTAAAGTGAGTACACCTTTCTTTCTTTTTTTTTCTTTGTATTAGTAGCAATATTTAGTGTAGAAGAGTTAAAAACAATCTTATTGTGTCATTCATTTAACCATATTGTTGCTTTTGTGATACCATATCATGGCGAAATTACTAATTAAAGCCACGGCGCTCTCACGAATATAGAAGTGCCTATTTCTAATGAAACAAATATTGTTTTCACGAATAACACAACTAGTAACTTTTTGCATTGAGAAAATCTGCTTGTATCAAAACTGACTGTGCTATTGAGGCTCAGCGTACATGTTTAAAAAAAGAAACAACCAAAAAAAAAAAATCCGATTTAATTGTTCTGTAAAGTAGTGCATCAATGCATTGACTCTTCATGGGGGATTCACCAGCAGATATTTTAAGCTGTATAGAAGGAGTGATCCGTACACGCCATATGTAAGAGATAAACATACCCCTCTTTTGTCTGTTTAAATTAGCCAATCGGGTCTATATTTTGGCTAACCCATACTAAACTATTGGCCAACACTCAAAGGACCCTCCCCACCCTAGATTTTTTTTTCCTAAATGAATAAAACAAAAACAATTTTGAAACCGTACTTACGAAAGTTTATATTACAAACACACCCAGATTTTTTCCATAACGATTCATGCAAGAAGAAAGTAAATGCAGCTTCCTTACAAAAACTTTACAATGTGCTTCAACCTGATCAAGATCAAGCCATGACATCCTGTCAGTTGGAATTCTACATTAAACAACAGCAGAATAAAAAGAAGGAGCAACCAAAGGCCATTGCCAGGTTCGACCCCAAGGATTCTGAATGGATCAAAACGAGTGCCTTTCTTGGCCTCTGCAAACAAGTTGACATTTCCATATTACAGTCAGACATGGACATGGTGCAAGACATGATTTCAAAGGAGGCAAACAAGCATAAACCCAAGAATCAATACAAGTCGTTGACAAGAGAATTTGCAGAACGCCTTTATAAACAACACAATGAAGAGAAACCCACAACCATCGAATGGAAAGCGAGCCAGATATTGGGTCATAAACTTGTCATGTTTGATCCACAAGTCAATAAGAAAGCATTCTCGAATACATTTTCACAATATTTACCTCACTTACAGCCAGAAAATTGGTGGGGGAAGGTCCCCTTGATGGTGATATCTCCTAGTTCAGTATTACCGTCAAGAGAATTAACACAAGGCATCCTAGTCGTTAAAAGTGATATGGACTTGAAAGGTAAGGTTGAAGCACAAACATGAGAATCTCTTATTAATGTTGTTTTTTTTAGACTTGAAAAACTACATCAACACACACTTAGAAAGCGTGATAAAAAACCAACCTTAAATAAATTTGATGGGATCCCATCATGTCAGTTTATTTTTTTATATTTTGTGGTGGATTTAAGGGAAAGGGTTTTCCTCTTCAAACAAACAAGTGGGGGGTTTTTTTTCTGGCTGTCTCTCTCTCCCTCCCTCTCTATCTCTCTCTCTTTTTTCTGTCAGAGTTAATCGGCAAGAGATTTTATAGCAGTCATTTCGATGGGAAAAGATAACCAGCATACACAGGCCAACCTTAGACAGGCCCTAGTGGCAGGTGCATTAGCTGGAATAGCTGTTGATTCAGTGTTATTTCCATTAGGTGTGTGATTGCAATGTTTTAAAACCTCATTTTCAAAAACCCTTTGGAATTTACGCCATTAAATAGATACTATTAAAACACGCTTACAATCACAAGCTGGTTTTGTGGTTTCTGGAGGTTTTCGAGGCGTGTACTCTGGATTGTTGTCTGCATTCATTGGAAGTGCTCCTAATGGTAGATATATGTATACATATAAAAGACTTGTTGGCATATATATTAAATTTCTATACTGTTAGCGTCCTTGTTTTTTGTTACATACGAAGCCATGAAAAGGTTACTAGGTGCCTCCACAGATGGATCGGTTCAATCACCGTTTATATATATGACAGCAGCCTCCTGCGGTGAAATTGTACGAAAGAATTTTAATGTGTGTTTTTGCTGCATGTATTTAATTATCCTTCCTCTTTCACATAGTCTGCTTGTACTGTACGCGTGCCAACAGAAGTCATTAAGCAGCGTATGCAAATCAAACAATTTAATACAACACTGGGAGCCGTTTCCAGCGTCCTTAGAACAGAAGGTATATTGGGATTTTACAGAGGATTTTTACCTACAGTAGCTCGAGAAATCCCATTTACATGTATACAGTTCCCCTTATACGAATACTTTAAAAGCAGATATAGAAGGTACAAGGGTGCCAGAGTAGAACCATATGAGGCAGCATTGATGGGATCTTTAGCAGGTGGCATTGGAGCTGCCATTACAACTCCTTTAGACGTCTGTAAGACTAGGATTATGCTGTCATCAAAGGTAATTCACTAAACTTTTTAGGGTGATTTTAATGACTGACTCCTCCTCTATTAGACCGACACAAAAACCAAACCATACACTGGCATTGTTTCCACCATGAAGAGAATTGTGGCAGAAGAAGGACCCAAGAAACTGTTGGCAGGGATTGGACCACGGGTGATGTGGATATCTATTGGTGGAAGTATATTTTTGGGTGTGTACGAAAAAGCTGTAAAGACATGTACACAGTTACAATTATTGGACCGATAGACTTATAAAAAAGAAGAAAAATGTGTACATATTAAAAAATGCTAGTTTAAAATTTTTATTTATCATGGTTTTTTTTTTTTTTGCTGAATGTGTGTGTTTGTGTGTTTGAGTGTGTGTGTGTGTATACAGAATTTATTACGGGTTATAATAAAAATAATCTAAGAGGCTAATTGAACAAATTTACGTTTCTTTTCGTCGTCGGTGGGTTTACTGTCCGCGCTGTCGTCAAGGAAATCCGAAGTATTCCTTGCTTTCCAATCACGTTGAAGGTATGTCAATGCTGCTCTGTTATAACCCATAATATCTTTTTGACGTTGTAATTGAGCACGAAGGTGGAATCGAATAGAATCAAGCATAGGGCGCATCATACGATTGGCGACAATTTGATTATGATGAGTTTTCACAACAGAGAAAAGAACACGAGACACCAAAATAATATTCCAGTTCTATGTATACATATAATGTTAGATATCTTGATATCCTACTCTTTGTTTACAACTATTTACCTTCTTAGCCCAGCTCTCAATGTAAGAAAACAGTGACATAACCTTTGAGAAGGGTAAAATCATCAAGGCTTCCTCAATATCGTTAGCCTTGATCTTCTTGAGAACATCCAAAACATATCTATCAGGTTCAATATCACCCATTGCCATTAAAATAGGATGACGTTGAGGAGGTTGACCAGGTAAACCACGCTCCTTTGCATTTTCATAGGCTGCCCAACCATTCTTTTCCTCATCACCAATATCCATAGCTTCAATAAGACGTTCACCGGCCTTTAATGTGTCCATTGTTTGTTTACCAGCAGCATCCACTTCACCATCGTCAACATTTGTCTTTTCCATTTGACTCACTAATGTATGTTCGTATAACTCTTCAAGTTCTTTTTCGCGCTCTTCTTCCAAAAATAATTGCTCGTCAGTCTTCTCCCACACACGCATGGATCTATCGTGAGAACCTGTCACCACAAAAGAACCATGCTTGGAAACAGCAAGAGCCCAAACTTCTCCATGATGACCTTCCAACTTCATGATATTTTCAAATTTATCACCATCCCAGTATTTCACAGTCTTATCCTTACTGACAGTAAAGAAATAATGTGTACCCCAAACAAATTGAACTGCCATGACACTTTCTTGATGTGCAAAGAGAGATTTATGACAATCACCAAAATCAAGACCCCAGAGTTTGACGTTTTTATCAGCAGAACAGGTGGCAATCAACATATTATCGGAAGAGATATCCATGGATAAAACGGGTAACTTGTGACCATAAAGAGAGAGGAAAAATTTCAGTGTATCGTGATAAAAGACCTTGACAGTCGAATCCAAAAGAGAGACAGCCAGTAAGTTTTGATCGGGACTGTATCGAACACAAAGCACTTCATCAGACATCTTGAGAGTTCTCATATGAATAAATGTCAATCTTTTAGCAGGGCTATTCTTATCCTGCACCATATCGAAATCCCAAAACTTGACATCTTTATCAGCACTACCGGTACAGAAACCACGTTTATCAGGACGCACTTGAAGGGAGTAGATAGCACCATCATGGGCTTTCACAGATTCAACAAGAGATGAGGAGCCCACATCATAAAGTTCTAATTCACCTGTCTTGGTACCAACGATAATATGCTTATTACCCGGTAAAAATGCACTACAAAGAGCAAATCCACACTCAATGGAACGAATACAGGATCGTGTCTTCATGTTCCAAATCTTCAATAAATTACTTGACGCAGAAGCTAATAATTCATCATCGGAACTCAAAGCTAAACTACGGATATCGGATCGATGGCCGGGACCATCGATAGAATAGAGACGTGATGGTTCATGGGATTCTTCTGTCTTCTTTTCGGCTGTGATTGGAATAGTGAAAGCTTCAATTGTGTTGTTACTCAAGGAAGTAACGATTTGAATCTGACCAGCCTTTTCGACATCGACGACAGGAGCAAAATCAAAACTACGCACTTTAGCGGGTGTACGTACTAAAGCTTCAGTGACAAATTCATCTTCAGCTTCAATTTCATCACTGATATCGGTCTCGGCCTTTCCCTTCTCTCTTGCTCTCTTCTTTCTACGTTGAATCTTTTTACGAATTTGTTCATGATCACGCATCTTGAAAAGTTCGACTGATTTATCACTGGCTTGTACACCTAAATATTTACCAGAGGGGTGGAATTTGATGGTGACAATACGATCGCGTGATTGACGAGGAATTTGTCCATAGACATTGATGGCTCTCTGTAAAGTGGCAGGTGTAGTGATATCCACTTGCATATTATCATCGCTTGTCTTTTCCTTTTCACCAAGGGCTTCGAGAGAAAGACCCAATATTTTCCAATCAATCTTCCAAGCTTTTAATTGTGCTTCAGCACCACCGGAAATGATAATTTTCTGATCTTTTGAAACAGCAAAAGACCAAACTTCACTACGATGTCCAACAAGGGTCTCACGACAGTATTGAGCTGATAAATCCCATAATTTGATCAAGGTATCCTTGGAAGAAGATAAAACATAACCTTCTGTTGAAACACCCACATCGTTCTCTTCCATCTGCTTGGTGTTTAAAAAGGCCAAACAAGTAATTTGATCTTTGTGGCCCTTCAATCTATATAAACCGGATTCAGAGATAATATCCCAAATAATAAGGTCGGTGTCTTTGGATCCAGATGCAAGTCGTGTACCGTCTGAATCATATGCTAATGCAGTGACTGCAGCACGATGACCACTTAAAGTGACAGTTGAGGTGGATGATTTAATGTTCCAAATACGAATCGTACCGTCTCCATAACTAATAATAAGCATGTCAATATTGATTTCTTTTTAAGATATACACAAGAAGCTTTACCCGACAGCATAATCCTTCTTGTTGGGACTGGCTGCAATACAAGTAACTTCGGACTTATTGCCTGATTCTCTCCATTTGCCGACCTAATTTTTACTGTTTGTTAGGCTCGCTGTTTCGAAATTGACGAAAATATAGTTACCTCGACACCCTTCTTGAGATCCCAGAGAATGACTTCTTCGAGTGCAGGTGCAATGGCGATTTTTCCAGTAGGATCATATACAATGTTTGCAGTACTTGAGGCAATGATACCAAAAGTAGCTTGGGCTTCATAACGAAGATATGCTTTAACCATTTTTCTTTTCTTTACTCTCGCTCTCTCTTTTCTACGGTATAGAAGAAGAAGAAAAAAAAGGGTCTTTGTAAAAAAAAGAAAAAAAAAGCTTGTCAAATTTAAAGTGTGACCCTCAAAAAACTTTGGTGGCTTGTTTTATCCCGCGCACGCGCACACGGCCTCCCCTTATTTGTTGTGGGAGTTTTCAACTCAGTGTGAGATAGTAAGGGGGGGTGTATAGCCTGGCCTGACTACACACATTCTCTCCCCCCCTTTTAATTACAAACAGATGCCTCTTACTAAACCTCCACCACCAGCACCCAAGCCTGAATTCGATGAGCCTTCCACACCCAAAGATTTCAATAAAAAGTTCAAGTCCAAGGAAACAACCAAATACATGAATCCCTGTGCTGTGGAGGAAAAAGAAAGTATGAAGTGTCTTGACGAGAATAATTATGACAAAAGACAGTGCGATTATTATTTTATGCAATACAAGGAGTGTAAAAAGCAATGGGTAAGCTACAGTTTTCCCTTTAATGAACACACACTGAAACAACTCTCTCTTTTTTTTTTTCGTGACGCTGAAACATTTTTTTAGATGGAAAATAGGCGTACACTTCGTAGAGCTGGACAGCTTTAATTTATGCATAAATTCTTCAACACTGCTAATAAAATGAACAATTGTATCTTTTTTTTTGAATTTTGCGCAAGGAGACATGTCCTAGGCGAAAAAAGGTGGGGAGTGGTAGTTTTTATTTTATTTTTTTTAAAATAAGTGAACGATTGGAGAGATTTAATCGAAAAGACCTGTCATAAATAAATGGGGTTAGACACATTGTCACTTACAATTTTGTTGATTCATAAAAAAAAACTTACCGAAACCCATATCGTCATCAGACTCTTCCTTCTCCTCAACCTTCTCTTCTTCAGCGGGAGCATCGGAAGAGGCAGCGGCAGCACCAGAAGAGGCAGCGGGACCGGAACCGGGAGCACCAACGTTCATGAGAAGGGCCTTAAGGTCTTGACCGGCAAGGGCCTTGGCGTAGAGGGAGAACCAGATAGGTTCAACTTCAATACCGGCAGCGGCAACAAGGGTTTGGAGCTTGTCAGCCTACGAATTATAACAGCTTATTTAGCATTTTAAATTCTTTCTTATTCTTCCCTTCAACACATCAACTTACGGTGATTTCGACATTGTCATCCTCGAGGATGAGAGCAGCGTAGACGACAGCGAGTTCAGCAGACATACTAATGAATTGGCGACAAAAAAAAATCAAAAAAAAAATTCAAATCATGTTAAAAATCATATTGGTCGCTTCTGTTGGGATGGATGGGGATGGATGCATTATGGGATATCATGTACGTACGCGCAAAATAGATGTAATAGAGGAGGGTTCAATCGATAGCTGCTTGATTTCGTCTATTTGATGAGGGTTCGCCCCCTACAAGAGACAAGTCACACTTTCTCCCCACATTAAGTCCGACAACTTTTTTTTTTTTTTTTTTTTGACTGACAGTTTTTATGCGTCAAAACAATTTTTGATGGCTAACATAAAAATGTTGAAATTATCTCAGAACATTTTTTAATTCTAAAGATGTGGGATGAAAGTGTAGCACGCTTGGATGACTTTATGGATAAAAACTAGCTTTTAGGTAAAGAGGTTTGACACTGACTGCGTACCTGCATTAAGGTTATGCCTTCAGTCGGTGTCTAAAAGGAGTGATACATTTAAACAGTTCATCTTCAATAAATCAATTTATACAAATTAACAATGACCAATGTTTACATAAATACTTCTAAAAGACTTGCAAATTCTGGGGGAACTGAAAGCAAAATTTATCTTTTGAAAGTAGGGGTCATTTACTACTTACAGTAACTTGGGTTCGGTTCAAGTAGCCATAGGGACCATATTTAGCATGAAGCGTCTTGGCGCTCAAACTGGTATTTCTTTGAGAAGAAATAGTTTTTAAAGACCAATCAGTATGAATGATTACGTATCTCAACCTCTAAGTCGTGTTATCAGAAGAGATCCATTCCAAACAGTGGACCAGCTTTCAGAAGATCCCCGCTTCAAAAACAAGCAATTGCCAGGTGATGCCAAGAAGGAAGAGATTTAACTGCGAAAGAAGTTACAATTGCCTATTGCTAAAATAATAATATAACGGCTTCGAGGCACTCATCATTGCAAGAGCGTAGATGGCGTTTATCTGGAGTCATTAATAAAAAGTTAAAAGCATGATCCTCACGTTCATGACCATCGAAGTAGATCATTTTTTTGTTTTTCTGTATGAATGTATCCTTATTCATACAAGTACTTGCTTAGTGGTTCAGGAACATAAGTATCGGCAACACCCAAAAAGGATTGAACAACAACATCAATAAATTCTTAGTAGCTGATATAAGTGTTTCTTAAAATTATTCGCTAAAAACTAAGTATTACTCATACTAATGCAAAAAGATAGTTTGAGCTTTAAAAGTTTTTTTAGTAGCCAGTTGGAAATAGACTCATTCAATATTGTTGCTTTCTATGTCGAGAGACAAGTATTGTTCGAAAATAAAGAGAGTATGCTGCACACGTATCAACAAACTGAGTGTATCTTCGATTTTGTTAAATTAGTGCGAATAACTAAAATACTTTTGTTAAATGGAGATCCGTACGTGAAAAACGGGCATAAACCAACATAAAGCCATATCATGCTCAACTTACTTGTGTTGAATACCTAGCCGTTGATTTTAAAATAGTAAATCATGGATTGTACGTACGCAGCAAAAAAAAAAGTAAAATCACGCTACAGTTTTCAGTACTCCACTGCCTATAGATACTAGAAAGATCTTTCAATCTGTTGATTCTTACTATCTGAGAGAACCACCGCAAAAAAAATTATGAACATGAAGCAAGATAATTACAGATCACCGTACAGTGATGGAGATAATAAAAAACAAATTTGGAGGAACTAAATCTACCATAACCATTGTTGCTCGGATCTGCAGTTGCTGTCTCCCACCTTCCACCACAAATGAGTCCGCATATGAAGGTCAGCAACAAAGGTTTTATTTGAGCCGCCTACATGATTAACTTAGTTGTAGTTTTCTTTCAGTCCTTCTTTTTTTTAATATTGATATATATGCATTTGTCGCTCACTGTAGTCTTTGGTTTTATTTTATGATTGTCATTGTAAGAATTCGTTTTAAATATTATTTGTAAAAGATAACTATACATGTAGTTTTTGAGAAATATACAAGTAATATGTAAAGCAAATTGAATAGGTTGGTGACGATCAGTTCTCTTGACTTTGTGATATCAGAATCTAAATTATTGAGATCAACGTTGATTTTAACTATAATGAATATAACTTTTAACAGGGATAGTCAACAAAGTAAAAACGATCAAAAGTAAGGTAGGTTTACGTTTCTAATTCTTAGAACATTAACCTTACGTGACATTTGGTTATTTTCGAAGATTAAAATACATTTTATCACACAATATGACTTCTGTAGGCACTTAAAAATGGTCTTCCAAACTTTCATGTCATGTCTTCAATGTAAAACCTAATCCAGAGAGTATTTAAGCCAGACGTGAAGGTAGTTTATCTCGTTAACAAATTCATTAATGGCCATTTTCAAAATAGTTGACCGAAAATAAAAGGCGACAAGTATAATACATTAAATAAAACTAAGTTCGACAATATCTATGCGTAAATGCAAGTTTTATCAGCTATTGAATTGGTTTCTAGATAATGCATCAGCCCAAAAATTCCTATTTACCATCTTCTGCACAATACACTTGTATGCTTCTGTGACTGTTTTTAGAGGTTATCCAGTCTCCGAAACGCACCCTTCCTTTTTTTTTTTTTTTTTTTCTTAAATTCGTGGAAATAATAGCGCGTTTTTCTGTTGTTGTTTTTTATTATTTACACATTAGATCATGGAAAACTCTAGTCCAGAAAACACAATAACTGCCGTGAATAAAGCTACTTCTGTTATTGAAACTAGAGGTACTTTAGACGCCAATTTCCCTGACCTTCGAAAAACTTTTAGAGGTATTTTTTAAAATAGGACAAGTATAAAACATCAAGGGAATCTAAATAATTATCATAGCCGAATTCGTCTATAATGAAACAAAGCATGAAGCTGTTCAACCTGTTATCTTGAAAGAATCTATCATTTTACCTGAGGAAGGTCTTGAAGCACTTCAAACTTGTAGGTTCTGCCTTTCTTCCCTCTTAAAATTACACATGATTTACTTAATTTATACATAGTCAACCCGAGTGCCAATGCTGCTGGAATTGCACCATTTATCAACAAGGCTTATTTCACTATCAAGAACTGTCTTTATTTATGGGACTATACTGAAAGGTAACTTAACCTGTGGGTCCACTAAATAAGATAGCTGACAATAAAATAAACAAACTTTGTAGAAAAATGATTGTGCACGAAGAAGAGGATGAAATTGTAGGCGCAGCATTTGTTAAACCTAAAGCTGGAGTGTTTGCTGCCGAAATCAACCAATTACTCATTATTTCAACTATTCGACAAGTTAAGATCATCGCAGCTAGTTATAATCCTACCACTGGCCTTAAAGTATTCCAAACTGATTTGAACACAACTGCCTCAGGTGTGAATATGAAGGTCATTGTGGGTACCAACAAAGGACGTGTATTCATGCTGGGAAATGATGGAAATGTTTGGGAATTAGATTATAGAGTAAGAGAGATATAGTTTTTGTTCTCTAGGTGATACTAATACTTAATTCTAGAGTGACGAAACATGGTTTACAGGAAAGTGTTCAAAGAAATTGCATACAACTAGCAGCCCCTTGTCATTCATCATTCCAACCACCAAAGATCCCGTCATTCAACTTGCCATCAATGAATGCGGCAATGTATTATATCAACTCACACAAAACTCCAATATCACTGTCACTTATTTGGGCGAAGATGGAACATCATTCAATACTGTTTTACAATGCAAAGATGCTGCAAAGCTTGCTAATTCGAGTGTTCCTAATTCTCCATATGTTGCTTCGAAAGTCTTCAAAATCGTCTCACTTAATCCCACTTCCCCTTCAGAATCAAAGGACTATCAATTAGTAGCCATCACTTCAAACGGGTCTAGATTATATTTTACTCAATATGAAGGTAGTCAACACTTGTTAAATAATGGACCTCCCAACACTCTCCAACTCTCACACGTTAGACCCCCAAATTCCGATGTCGCACCTACCGATGTCTTTGCCCATACTTATTACAAAGATGGCCTCTTGATTGGTGTCAAGAACCAAAATGAAAAGAGAACAGAGGATAGAATTGTCACTTACAGTCCTGATTTGGCTGCCATCGCCAACCCTAACAACATTATCAACAGTATCCCATCTTATACCGAATTCAACAACTTTTTGGATGTTCCTGGAAAGATTATTTCTATAGTTGAAACCGCAAACACAGCTTATCAGATTAATGAATTGACCGCACCTTTCGAAACACCAGGTCGTACGTTCCTGGTTTTAACAACATATGGCATGGCCGTGCTTGTAAAGCAAAGACCCATCGATATGCTTTATAAATTGATTTGCAATGCCAATCAAGATACCGCTGCTCGTCTTCGTAATTTCGAGAGCTTCTTCCAATACTTTGGATATGTCAATAGTATCTCTCTTTGCTTGGGTATTCTCTGCTCAACTTCCTCCATCATGAAAAATGGTCTTACTTCAGTCGGTTCTGTCACAAATGATATTTCCAAAAGTATCACTGTGCTTCTGGAAAATATGGGCTCAGCTCCTTCTGCCATCAATCCTCAATTCAGCAGTAGACATGACGGCCTTGCTTTATTCGTCTATCGTGTGATTAACCCTATTTGGTCTAAACCATTTGTCAAGGCTTCTTCCAATGATGCAAGTGCCATTTATTCAAGTATTCTTGCACCAGCTCAATTACAACGTACCTTAACTGTCATGAGAAAATTAAGCAATTTGATGCAAGAGTAAGTATTAATTTATTTATTCATTTATTTAAAAGCGATACTAAATGAGATTTGAATTAGGAAATCCAACTACTTTTTAAGATCATCTAATGCGGAAGAACAAGAGTCTTTAAATAATTTAAATGAATTGATCAAGCACATGACTGAAGGTCTTTCATTTATTCAGTACATTATCAATACCGACCTTTCCAGTATTGTAAAGAGTATCAAGCCAGAAGCACAGAAACGTTTAATGACTATGACGTTGAAGGATTTACTGACGAGTAAAGATGGTCGTAAAGTTGCCAGTGATCTATCATACGCATTGGTTGATTATACCTCTAACAAATATCAGACCACGGGCCATGTGATTGATGTGTTGACCGAACATTGTGGTTCCTTCTGTAGCGCCAGCAATGTTTTCTTACACAAGGCAGCTCAACAGATCTTTAGTGCACGTTCTGCTACTAATGCATCTCAAGCCAGGGCCATGTTGACTGAATCATTAAACATGTTGAAGAAAATTGCACTCCATATTCCCGCCGATAAAGCTGCCGAGATTGCCCAAGATTTTGCACAACAAGGGTATCCTGTCTATGGGATTGAATTAGCTTTAGCTTGTTCATCAGCTCGTGATCCTCACAACACGACCAATGCCTACGTGAAAGCAGGCTGCTCTCTCAATCACCCTGCAGCCAAAACATTTGCCAACAAACAACCTTTCTATGATATCGTTTTCGATTTGCTTTACAAGATCGTGACAAAGACTTCAGCTTCCGTTTTATCCGAAAGTGAATCTAGAAATCAAGTCTTCAAGAGCGCATTTTCTTCTTGTATCGATCAAGCATTTGCATACTATGTTTTTGAAAAGTTTATACAGAACAAAATGGGGGAAGAGTTAATCAAGGTAACAAGTACATTTACATATGTAGTCCGTGTTCATTTCCATTTAATCCCTTATTGTTTCTTTATTTTGAATAGCAACCATTGCCTTACCTCGAAGAGTTCTTAATCAGTCCTCCTTTTGATTTCGAAAGAAACAGTCTACTCGCAAGTTTCTATAACAGTAATGAAAGATACGAAGAGGCAGCCCGTACATATTTTGAATTGGCTAGAGCAGCGTAAGTTATATTTATATGTGTAACATACCCGTCTAACTTGTTGATTTGTATAGTAAGGACATCCCTACACGCATCAAGAATCTTTTACAAGCATCTGTTTCCGCTAGCTCTGTTACATCGCCCGCAAAACAATATGAAATGTACCAGTTAACCGAAGCTATCAAGCAAAACTTGGAAAACGCAAACCGTCAATCCGTGACAGCCTCTCAATAAATATATATTTCCTCATCTTAAACCCTCAACAACGCACTTTTTAAAATAAACAAATAAGAAAAAGAAAAAGTATAAAGATATTTTGATCTAAGGATAAAAAACAAGAGAATTTTATTATGCTTAATGATTCCAAGGTTAAACTAAACAAACGCAAAGAAATATGTTTAATAAACCTGAGAAAGTGATAATATATAGTCAAACTTACTTTATTTCTTCTTGGAGACACCGACGACACGTCCACGACGACCGGTAGTCTTGGTGTGTTGACCACGAACACGGACACCCCAGTAATGACGGAGACCACGATGAGCACGGATCTTCTTCAAACGTTCGAGATCATCACGGTACTTGGTGTCAAGAACGTTGGAAATGACTTGAGAAGACTTGCCATCGACAATATCCTTTTGTCTGTTAAGGAACCAGTTGGGGATCTTGTATTGAGCAGGGTTTTGGAGAATGGTAACGATACGTTCCAATTCTTCAGAAGAAAGCTCACCAGCTCTCTTGTTGAGATCAATATCGGCCTTCTTACAGGCAATGTTGGAGAAACGACGACCAACACCCTTGACAGAGGTCAAGGCAATTTGAATCTTGACACGACCGTCAACGTTAGTGTTAAGAAGACGGATAATGTGTTGGAAATGATTCCTTTCGGGAACAACAAGAGACTATGGAATAAACAAATTTTAGTTCATCTGGAGCAAAGTTTTTTAAGGAACCATAAGAAATTCAAGCGTGCATAGTTTCAAGAGATGAGCTTTCCAATGTGTAAGCGGTTGCGTTCAGTAACAGCTTTCCAATGCTGCCCTTATAGTTGAAAATGTAACAGCATTCTTTTTTTTTTTTTTTTTTGATATGATGGATTTTTTTTTTACCCTCCCTACATCCATCCATCAAATATGATCCATCCATTCAATTTATTCACTGATCGATTCTGTAAATTATATCCATCTCTTTATCGCTCATCTTCTTTTCGACTATATGCATGTCTTTCTTATCGTATCCCATTTTCTATAGTGATTTGTAGGCATACCATTTTGACGGAAAAGGAGGATCCTATCGATTGCTCTCCTTGGACGACAATATGATTTAATTAATTCACAACTCCGATTTCTGGTGTCTGTGGCGAGGCAATGATTTGTAGCCCGAACCACTATGGGCGCCTCCATTACTCCGTGACTGTGCTTTGATGAAGGGTGGTTTTGACATAACATCTTGTACTAGCTTGAGTAAGTGTGTACACAATGTATTATTCCGTCGTATCATAAACTTGTAGTTTTTTTCTTGTCATTTACTAGAATTTGTGTTCTTTTACAGCTTTAGTGTTACCGAACCATACAGCCTGCTTTAAAGTGCTTGAATGGTTGTAGTATATTTTCAAGAAATGTAACAAGATATTAAGAGTTTATTAAATCAACTGGTTGCATCTTTTTTTTTTTTTTTCATTGTTTGAGATACGTTCTAGTTCCCTGCTTTATTCCCCAGTCGACGTTTCCGTAAAGTCTGGGTATCTAGTTTTAGATACAATTTAAAATGTTCATAACAAATTTTTCTTACCTTCATCCGCAGATGATCCTTTGTAACGATTACAATTATAGTGCATTTTGCTATCATAATCTTGTTATAAAATTCTGTAGTCGCGATCAAAAAATTTAATATGTAGCGAACTCTTCTGTATCACCGTGACCATATTTGTAATCAAGCAGGATCACAAATGATCGAAGATGAAACAAAAACCTTATTTCTGGGTTCGCCTTCCCAGATACTGACCAATTTTTGTGCAAGTCCTGCCATCATTTTGTTCAATTGATACGAGCTAGGTTACGATGCGACTTGACTAGAAAAAGTTATAGAGACAAAACTGACAGTTAATCTAAAAAAGAGAAAGGATACGATAGGTATTTATCAAATCCAAACGACACATGGATTAAACAATTTATTAGGAATGCTGATTTCTCGGTTTATAGTTCAACACCAGAAAAAAAGTCAGCTATTAATGGTTGAGAAATTTTGCTTCTGTGTTCCTCTTGGCCTTTTATTTTTAAAGATCATGACCATGTCAGATTTCAAAGAAGATAAAAATATGCAGGATGTCTGTGATCTATTACAGGCGTCTAGAACACATAAACTTTTTATCCCAGAGGTTGACAGGTCTGGCACTTTAACAGAATTGCAATCAGAAATGTTGAGCTGGATCTGGAACGTTGATTCAAGAGAGCATGCCAATTCTGATTCACCAACCGGACTCACTGATTTACAAAAAGAAATGCTGCGTTGGATCTCACATAGCAATTCGATTCAGATCGCTATGCACAACAAGCCCTCGACACCAGAAAAAATAGACGACGTTCACACTGTAACTTTAGCAAATATCGTGACAGTTGTTAAAGAAGATACGGATGGCTACGTTGACGTGGAGGAAATCTCTTCAAAACATGTGCATGATCAGAGTATTGTACTACAAAATCAATTAAAATGGGAGTTTCGACTGACATTAATTTAGGCGATAGTGATAGTTTTGACGGGGATAACTATCTTTCATTCCTCACAGGTACGGGTGTCAAGATCCAGTTTAAAGTCTAAAATAGGCTTAATCTTGTAATCACACTTCTAATTTAAAATAGGCGAATTGAAATATAGGGACATGTCACCGGCGATAGAAAAAGACATTGATGAAATCCCCTCTATAATGAGTCATATGGACAAAGTGAGACAAAAAGACATGGTATTAAGACAGAAAGCAGCTATAGCAATTGTCTTAGCCGACAGATTGAATAGAGAAGTGCGTACCGATGATCCCGAGGTGCAAGAGGCACTTTTTAAAACAGAGATAATGGCCAGAAAAATAAATTTTAAGATGATCACACAGCTTAGAAAGGAAGATACTGAAGCATCTGTCGACTTTAAACCACCAAGTTGGACTATGATCAAAAAGAAGGTTAAAATTCGGTACGCAAATATTTTAGAGAAGAAATTACGAAGAAAGTATGGCCTTAAGATTGAGCGTTGCAAAAAAAATTGGTTGGCACTGCAATTATTGCATGCAGCCCATAAAAACACAGTTTCAAGGATTAAGCATTATCATAGCTTGAATAAAGTGTAATTATTCTTTTAAATCAGTGTAATTGTAAGTAAAATAATAAGTGCGGATGCATGGTAGTGGACTTTGCTAGTTTTAGATACGTGTTTTGTCCATTGTCTGTACTGTGTAGCATATAAGTAGAGTAGATTTATCAGTGACTTTGTGTCAAGAGAATGGGGGTATTAATCTTTTTACAAATAAATATAGTATATCAATCTGGAGATATATGTATTGGTTTGAAGCTTGGAAACCATGAATGTTTTTGTGAAAAGGAAAACCATGAATTGCAAAGTGATACACACGTAAAGCAGCAAGTTTAAACACCGCTTAATGCTGACCAATTATACCGCTCCAGTTTATATGATGACGTTGCTCCAAAGCGATTACGCACAATTTTTTCTACTCTAATATTTCAAGAAACGCGTTTACCTTGTCAGGATTTTCTTCTTTTCCTCAAAAACTACAGTTTAATATAAAAGACATTTAATATAATATGGAAGAGATTGGGATCCACTCTAAACCAGAGGTATGTATAGTTGAGAGACACTGGATGCACGAGCTGCTAACAATAGTTACCCTTTATGGTAGGTTAAAGATTCCACTGCTATTCTTTCCAAAGTCGGTCAACTTGAAGATTTATCGGAAGGAGATTTGTATGTTAAATTGAAGAAACTTCAACGAGATTTAGAATTCATTGAACTCCAAGAGGAATATATTAAAGATGAGCAAAAGAATTTAAAGAGAGAGCTTGTAAGAGCACAAGAGGAAGTTAAACGTATCAAGTCTGTACCTTTGGTTCTTGGACAATTTCTTGAACCTATTGATCAACACACTGGTATCGTAGGCTCTACCACTGGCTCAAATTACGTCGTCCGTATTCTTAGTACAATCGACCGTGAATTATTGAAGCCTAGTTCTTCCGTTGCTTTACATCGTCACTCCAACGCTCTTGTTGATGTTTTACCCCCAGAGGCTGATAGCAGTATCTCTCTCTTGGGTTCTGATGAAAGACCTGATGTTGCATACGCTGATGTTGGTGGTTTGGATATTCAGAAACAAGAAATTCGCGAAGCTGTAGAATTACCCCTTACTCATTTCGATCTTTATCGTCAAATCGGTATTGATCCTCCCAGAGGTGTTCTTTTATATGGTCCACCAGGTACGGGTAAGACTATGCTTGTTAAAGCTGTTGCACATCATACAACTGCTAGTTTTATTCGTGTGGTTGGCTCAGAATTCGTACAAAAATACCTTGGTGAAGGTCCTCGTATGGTGCGTGATGTGTTTAGATTAGCTCGTGAAAACTCTCCATCGATTGTCTTTATTGATGAAATTGATGCTATTGCCACAAAACGTTTTGATGCCCAAACTGGTGCTGATAGAGAAGTGCAACGTATTTTACTTGAATTGCTCAATCAAATGGATGGTTTCGATCAATCTTCGAACGTAAAGGTCATTATGGCTACAAATCGTGCTGATACCTTAGATCCTGCCTTGTTACGTCCTGGACGTCTTGATAGAAAGATCGAATTCCCTACACCTGATCGTCGTCAAAAGCGTCTAATTTTCCAAACAATTACATCAAAGATGAATTTATCTGAAGAAGTCGATTTAGAAGATTGTAAGTGTTAAGGATATGTGTAGTAGATCAATATGTGTACTGTGATACTAAGTTTATATTTTGTTACCAGTTGTTTCACGACCTGACAAGTTGTCTGGTGCTGAAATCGCCGCGATCTGTCAAGAAGCTGGTATGCATGCCGTTAGAAAGAACCGTTACGTCATTTTGAGTAAAGATTTGGAGAAGGGTTACAAGGCTAATGTCAAGAAAGAAGACTCCAACTTCGAATTCTACAAGTAAAAGGGAAAAAAAGCGAATGAAAATTAAGACAATAAAAAAATTAAATAAAAAAATTAAAAAAATACCATTGACTTGTACAAAAACACTGTCTCGCTCATTAATCCTGAAAAAAAAAAAATAACAACTTTGACAGTAGGCAAATCAATTAGGGTAAAATATTTATGCAACCGCATAGGCCTACAGAAGTCAAATTTTCTTGGGGGCGCTTGCATTTTCTTCAAGCTACTCACAGTCTTAACACACCGTTCACTCGCAGTAAGATAACCTGAAGTGGTTCAGAAATACCGCAAATAAAGAATTGGCACCACACAGTGATTAATAATTTGTTTGATTTATGCAACTCACGGCAAACTTAATTCTTGTCCTGGAGATAATCATACTAAGTGGTTGTCAGAATGTATTATTTTGCTCCATAGGTTAACGATCAACGGTAAAATTTTTATGACTTCAAGATCTCATTCTTTAACAGACATGTTATTAATAATATAAAATACAAGAATAAATAGGTGGTTGCTTTATCTTATTTATTGTAAGCTTGGCTCGGTAATCAAATCTACCTCACAACAAATATATTCTTGATATAACAGTACCAATTTTTACATAGACCAGTATATTTTTTACGATCACCAATACGAATATACACAGAAACCAACGACCTATCTCACGCAACTAAAAATAATCATTACTTTAACTTCGGAAGAAAAGGATGTATCCTTTTGTTCACAAATGTAAACAAAAAGCAGATTCTTTGGGTGACACATCAATTGTTTTTTCCTACAGTGGTGATCACTAATGGCATAAATAAAGTTTGTTGTAAATTACATTGAGTCGACGTTGGTGCCTGATAAAAGACATCTTTTTTATTCCATAAAAGGCTATTAATGACAACGGACTCAATTGAGCACTTTGTTTTTTTTAAAAAAAACGTCAGAAAATATTATATCCGTGGGAAGAAAATCTATTTTAATACTGCTTCTTTCAGAGAGTCATTTTAGTTGACTCTTATATCGCTGTACAATCGAGATTTTTGAGGTAGAAAAAAAGTCCATCTCAATCGAAGTTAACGAAAAGAAAACCAACAATTTTTTAAGCCATTGTGCTAATTTGGAACGAAAAACTTAATTTATTACAAAAAGTAATATCGTTTAGTTTTCTTTATAAAGTACCTTTAAGATAATTATTCGGATTGCAATTTACTACGCGCTCGTATTATATTTTTTTGATTGTATAAACCATGGTGACACTTTTCACTCTCCACCGTTGTGCGGTGATATATACACACTATATATTCAGCCTATGATCTACTTGATACTCAATAGCAACCCAGCACCGAAACAAAGACCATTAGCTGATCAATGCATTAACGTCTAGTTCTAATCCATCTGATCTTCCCCGATAACAATCTATTTAAATCCCTTCATATAAAAAGAAGTTCCTTTTCCATTTAATAAAAAGCGATCTAGTTTTAGTTTCAAATAATTTAACCGTTTATTTCTTGGAATATTTCATACGGCTGACAATTAAAACCTGCCCAAAATTACATCTCGCTAAAAGTTTCTCCACTTGCCAAGATACTGTGACAATGTGCTTTTAAATTTAACAAGAACATAATCAAAGATGTTTAGTCCAATGTAAAAGTTAATTTTTAAAAAAAAAAAAAAAAAAAAAAAAAAAAAAAAAAAAAAAAAAAAAAAAAAAAAAAAAAAAAAAAAAAAAAAAAAAACCTAAATCAAATGCTGCCTCCTTTGGCTTCAAATAGGATAATTTGAGTATACAAGATCAAAATATGAAGATAAAAATAAACAAGTAAAAAAATGAGACCCTTTAATTCTTTATTATAAGTTGGAGAGTTTGTCATGATAAAAATAGAGGTCCTTTTATATTAAAGAACATTTCCAGAGACTGGGAATTGTTGGATTTGAAATATAAATTAGTAACGACATAGAACATAACTTCTAAAATATAATTATGTAAGCCTATGGTTGTATGTCCGGAATTTCTAGCAGAGAAATCATTTATTCATTTAGAAATATGTGCGATGATTGGATTACTTGATTACTCATCGTAGGTGCTAGAAGGAACCGCAGTAAATCATCCAACCGGGGTCCAATGTAGGGTATGATTTCCAGGTAGAAGATTATGAGAGCTGTTACTGTGCCTGATATAATATATGAAGTATATTATAACTCAAAACAGATTAAATAGTAATTGTATTCGATTTATTTAGGCGTCAAATACGACATCAATGACGCTCTTAAGAAACTAACGCTTCCAAGTATCCAGTATCACTCATTCGCCCGGAAACGATAACCTCAAACTTTTCGACATTCAAAACAACCAACAAGCGCTTATTTACACGAATATGAGGTATTCCATATATAATCAATACGATTCCTTAAATAGGGTTGTTTGGCGGCTATATGCCAAAGCCAGTGATCATGATCTTTAGCTCATACCACTTAGTATAATTGCCAATGTGGATAAAAAGGTAATCGAAAAAAACGGGCTACGTTTCAAGTTTTTTAAAAAGTTAGGCTCGGCGGGTTTCCATAACCAGTCATGGGTATCTATTAAATATCTCTCAGTTTGGCGATCAAATTATTCACTCTTCCTCAATTCCCATCGTATTATTATAAGTTTTTATAAACAGTAAAGGTAAATCTTTTCTCTGTCAAATAATCGAATAGCCCCTTTTTTGTTCGATTTTTTTATATATCGCTTTAGCATTATAGGTACAGAACATATATATACTTACCTTTTTTTATCAACCATTCGTATATTTATTAGATTAAAAAAAGAGATGAAACGACTTTGTTTGGGAGTCTACTTTTGCATTTTTGTTTAAGGGTTGATAAAAATGTCAAGCCTAATTCCTATTAATGTGTTAAGTAGATCATGTTATTTACGAGGAATTATTTATGGGACAGTATAAACCTCAATCTATTGAAATATTCTCGCTTACATCCAGGAAGCTAATCTTTTACTTTATTTGTGACTATTATGATTTCCAGAGACCTCGCAATGAAGTGTGGTTAAACATAAATTCTTGAATAATAGGAATAATTTAGTTTAACATTTTGTGGCGATATTTATGACAAATGATAAACAAAGAAAAAAAAAGTCTGGCATTTCCAAATGGAGTTATTATCAATGGTACCCCCAATTGTGCCAAACCTTGTTAGTCACTTTGAAAAAGCGATGTCAATGTTACTAAATATATATTTGAAGTCGCTAATTCTATTTTGTGTGATGATCAAGGTTGGCCAAATACTTTCAGCAGATTAATCGCCATAGTGTAAACAGCTATTGACTACCACTGGTTTACATACAAGTTTATCGTACATAGACCTCATTTGGTGGGAATAACGCATCAATTCATAAGCTTTAGGCATTGGTATTGTTGGCATGGTATTGTATATCGCCCGTTGTTACATTATTACCATGGAGCGTCTCGCCAATTTTTTTTTTTTTAATTCCAGGTCCCCAATTTGTAGAAAAAGAATTGTCACACGAGCACAATCGAAAGAATTTGATAAATAGAAAAAGTACGAGAAGAAAGTAATAAAAAAAAAAGCAGCACAAATATGTGAAGTTATTCTGTAGAACTATTTTAATCTGGAGCAATAGAAGTAAGGTCACCATGGAGTTATTTTTTCTTTCTTTTTCTTTCTTTTTTTTTTTCTTTTTTTTTCTTTTTTTTTTTTTTTTTTTTTTTTTCTAAAAATAAAAAACAGTGTATGTTAAATACCGCAAACAGTCAACCACAACAACCTCCTTTAATTGTAACATTCAATCGCTTTTACAATATTTTCTGTATCTATGTATGTTCAATACTCCTTAGTCTAATATTTTATTTCATTGTCTTTCATTATGCTTCTGCTACTTTATGGAGCAACGCCATTACATGCTATTTTTTTTTTTACGAAGCTCGTCAAATGATTTTCCGTGTTACTATAAAAAATTGTGTATAAAACCGCTTATTTTTTTTTACTACAGCTTTTTCCTCTATCTTTTCTTTCCATAATGACATCCGACAATTTAACCCCATATTGTCTGCCGTCACCAACGGATCGTAACATACCTTACAACTATACCCAATCTAAAAATAACGCTGGTAACGCAAAAAGTACCACCTCAACAACGTCAAACTCAAAAAATAGTTATATCCCCACTTCTCCAGAACCAGACAACGAAGGAGATCTCAAGGCGGGTTTAAATTATACTAAAATCAAAAAAGTATACCCTTGCAGTCAATGCACAAAGCAGTTCAATCGCCCAAGCGCTCTAGAAACACATTCATATACACATAGTCTTGAAAAGCCATTTCAGTGTCTAAGGTAGTTTTATAAAAATAATTAAAATGAGTTATTTTAACACGTTGTATCACAGCCCTAATTGCGGTCGAAAGTTCTCGGTAGTTTCTAATTTAAGAAGGCATTTCAAGGTTCATCAAAAACAATCCTTAAATTGCAACAAAATTACATCTCAGGAAAGACTTCGCTGTGTTCGACAATTAATAAAGAAAAAGCCCAGCGATGATGGATCGACATCTATAAATCAAAATATAGAAAGTAAATTGTCTGGTCACACTATACCTGGCTTAGATGAAGCACACAGTCAACATTATTTTCTTCAAACACCCATGATTGAGACAAACAATTTAAGAGAATCTATTCCTGTTGAGAAAGAAAGTTTTCAAGAAATGACTAGAACTCAAGTTGAATCTCCTTTGTACTACAGATTACCATACAGCTGGACCGAGCAATCAAGCGCTGTTGATACATACAATAATGAAGAAAAAACAATCGTGCACGACATTCACCTTTCGGGAACTGACAATGATGTCCCTTCATCAGTTTTAACTACATTTGGTGAATTTAGCTTTTAAAAAAAAATGAAAAAAAAAATGAAAAAAAAATGAAAAAAAAAATTAAAAAAATTGAAAACAATAAACATGAGAGAAAATACAAGGTTATTGGAGCAAGAGACGAGTAGCATATATTTCTAATATTTTCTGATATTTACTAAAAAGTGTTACGATGTTCTAACCTTTATTATCAAACATCACCCCCCCTTTTTTTTTTTAAAAAAAAAAAAGCATAATAAAAATAGGTAAAACGGTTACATCAATATTTGTACTGTCCGATTGCTTGGAATCCAAAAGTAATCTAGTTTGGTACATTTTAGGAATTAGCATCATAAACAATGATTAGGTTTATTCTATTGATTTTCAAATTATAAAAAAAAATACAAAAATACAATTACGAGCGGGGAATAACGGCTTGAAATAAAAGGGATGTTAAACAATTACAAAAAAAAAGAGAGAAAAAAAGCTGATATGAACATTATAATCTTTTAAATATCGGTAATTGATAACATAAGAGAAATATAAAAAAAGACCTGGCACCAAAATGCTGATGATGGCCGCACAAATAATTAACGCGTGCATTTAGTAAATAAGGCTCCGAGATATACTCGAGATTGCTAGCATGCCGATTTTTTTTTTCTTTAAAGTTATTGCCAAAAATACTATATTGGTCATCACATATAAATAAAGGCTCCAAAAATTGTATCCAAATCTATTATTTCAGCTATATTGTATTTATGGTGTACTCTAATATGAATGGGCCTTTGTCATTATGAGCTCATATACAATTTAGACTATCTATTATTATTCAATGAAACCCTATTTGACAGAGTCTACTCTTACCACTTTTTTTTTTTTTAAACAAAAACAAATACACGATATATGGCGTAGCACTAATACAACTATTCGACATGTCTAATGTACTACCTACCCGAGAAATACAAACCAAACAACAGATTGGTAAAAGCTATGAGTTTCTATTTTATATACATAGCATGATGGCATGCTCTTTGTTTTACAGACAAAATTTGCAACAGTTTGCATTTCAATACGTTTACTATGAGAAAATGTTTATAGACATTCTTAAAAAATACCCTGAAACTGACAACTGGTTTCACACAAGTATATTTGACACAAAAAATAAATTTTGTCCCATGTACCAAAGAAGCATTTTTGGACTAAATCAGCTTCTTGTTGTCCCATCCTATAATTATATAAGCATGAACATGGTTCAATGAATCCCTGAATGCATTAATTTATCAATACAATTATTCTTTTCCTTCTCTTTTTGATAAGAGTCCCCGATTTTATGAAGGATAGCTAATTTAGAAACTGTATATGAAATATGGTTGTGCAACAATGTGAGGGCCACATTTTATTTGTAACGGAAAAACTACTTTCCATAGATGTAAAATATCGAAAATGAACATGCGGAATAATCTACTTACTAAAAAGGCTACGCGTAATCCCATTATAAGAATAATAATATTCCATCGAACCATCAATAAAGTAATCGGAAAAATTTTACCCCAAAAAAATACATACAATATGCTATTCCACAAATATGAGTTCCGGGTCAAGGTTTTTTTTTTTTTTTTTTTTTTTTTTTTTTTTTTGAGAAAAAGACTTAATAGTAGACTGCCCAATTTTCCACAGTTGAAACAAGCTATTTCTAAGATTTAGTACAACATTTCGATCAAGACTGGAGGATTAAAACAGGTTGTCGGGTATCGGATCACATATATTCTTACAGTAAAACTATTTTCATCATATTTGAGCACATTTTTCTGAGGTCGTGCAAAATCATAAATCCTTATTTACTACATCCAAAGATGTTCTTATTCTGATCTATTTTTAATCTTAGTCTCTAATCATTTTTTAAGTACATTTTATTTTTTACAACCAAAAACCGAAAGACTTATAACTACATTTTGACATCGATTTTTCTAGGCCCTTTTTATACCTTTTATATAACATTTCGGAACATGTTTTTATAAAAGAAAGGCAATTCCCGATTTAAATCCACCAAAATTTAGTTCAAGCTCAATGTGGCTTATAAATCCATCCATCTATGGGCAGTAACATTATCATGGATAACTTTACAGAAGATGCCCCCTTTTTATTAATAGCACATATGTCTTAAACCATAAGCAAAACCCCAATAGTATTATTGGAAAATAAAAGAATGAAAAGGTAATAAAATCCAGGGCGATATGATTAAATGTGTTTTTTTTGATTTTTTCATTGTTATCGTTAGACACTTTGTAAACACATCATCTTTCCAGAGCTATAAGATTGATTTTAAAAACCAAGTATAACAAAATACTATACAAATGACCGGTGTTCAATCCGAACGGGTGGGGCCGAATTGGACCTATTTTTTTTTTTCTTGGCGTATATAAATAAAGCAAATACTAGATCAGTATGTGTCAGCGCACTAATAACAAGATCATTAAACATGTTTAAAAAAGAGTACATAAAAAAAATTAAGAATAGTTGCTATACAGCTTGGTCAAAGCGGCTTTATCAAATGTGATAGTAAAGTAGCCATTGGAGCTCAGGTTACACAGAATAGAACAGAAGTTGATATTTTAACTGGGTTTAAGAGTAATTCATGGGTAAGATACGTGCTCCCAAGTAGTAGTTTGTAAATTAGATAAAACAGGTAATTAGAACACTGTAAAGACACACAGTGAGCTAGAATGTATTTAATTAAAACATCATAGCAATGGACATGTTTAAAAAGATATGTTTATTGAGCCAAGTTGTCGGCTCAGTTTTTTTTTTTGAATGTCAGCATATCGCGGGGTCAAATGAACGCATTTTTCGAAAAAACTTGGATGAATCTATATTGCTGATAAATTTATGACCAACCTTTTAAGGTTAAAGTTTCTTTTATCCGCGCGCATCTTAGTATTTACTTTTTAGGAAATTCATACCGATCACTTTTTGCAGCTTGTACAGGGATCTTAACAGTACGATTATGCTAAAAATCAAAGGCTTAAACTTGGCTTGGATGTGTTATACGCCATCGAATAGTTCTTAAAAATAGTCATAGCATACAACAAAAGTATTTAATTGCCGTATTTTCAATAAATCGTATTTTGCGGTGTAAAATTATCAGCCAATCATATTTTTTTATTTCACAAAGTTTTTTCGAGAAGAAATTTTATTTCTTCTTCCAACTGGCAAAAGAAGTGAGCACCATACTATAAGGTAATAAATAAATTTTAGAAAAAGTACAGATTCTGGTTCATTAAGTAAAAGAAATAATAGAAATAAAATCATTAATAGTGAAGAATATGAAATGTGCGTTGGAATAAAGTTGACGGTTGATTTTGTATCACTCCAAAATCAGGCCATTACAACGGCAATTGAATAACCTTAAATCTGCAATATATTTAGTCCATGATATGCCATAAGGCTTTGGTTATAATTTTTGAAATTATTTTATAAAAATAGTTTATAGGCTACAGCCTGCGCAGATGAGGGAGACGGTATGATTGGTTAGTGAGTTTTCAGATGATTTTTGTATAAAGTCAAATACTCCCGAAAAAAGAGCAAACGAGAATCTTTTTACGCAGCCTCAAAGACTTTTTACGATGGAAGACCTTTAGTCATTATCCTCAAGATAATCAAAAGCATAGCATGAAACTAGGGACGACGTAGCCATTTAATCGATGGTAAGCGCTTTGTTATAGGAAGCGGATCCTTGGTTAGAAATTGTAAGCTGACGACCAACCATCCGTTTAAAGGATACTTTTTATTGATGAGAGAGTTGACGGTAAGAAGGAGTTCAGTCTTAAAAAAAGTCTCTACCCTACTTTTATTGCGAGTAAGCCTTTAATTTCGTGAGATAGTTTCACTCTCAAAGTCATGGTAATAGATGATCTTTTTTTAAATCTGCAAAGCTCAGACAGATCATCATAAAACCTTATAATTATGAGTTGAAGAATCAATTTGACAGTAGGAAGATCTTTTTGAATTAGTAGGAAACTCAATTTTCTCAGCTACGACATGACAGAATATTACATCAGACAATTCACTCATTGCTAGAGGAGCACTCAGTAATGTACTTACAGATCATGTAGAAAAAGCAAAGCTTAATAAGGAAATAACAGTTTGGAAAAGTGACTGCTTCAAAATAATTGGGGCGTCCCTTGCCTAAATTTTAAACTTTCTGTCAAGTTGCCTTTTACATACAACAATACATAATGGCATTACTGGAAGCTTTAACACAACAATCCCCACCAGCAACCGATACAACCTCTATTACGGGCAGCGATGGGATTACCCCAGAAAACAAGGGATTCATGAGCAACTTTACCGGCAACCCCTTATTCTCTGCTGGGTTTGGGTTAATAGCTGTCGGTGCCGCACTTTCAGTATTTAAAAAAGGAACAACAGTAGGAGCCAGTGTATTGAGAAGAAAAATGCTGGTCACATTAGAGATTCCTTCCAAAGATAAATCATACCTGTGGTTTTTACAATGGATGTCTCATCATGCACCGAAACGTCAAGTAAACCACCTGGCGGTCGAGACGAGCTTTAAACAACATGACAATGGTAGTGTCAGCACCAAGTTTGGACTTGTGCCTGGACCAGGTACACATTATTTTAAGTGGAAGAATATCTGGATGCAAGTAGAGCGTCAAAGAGATGGTAAAATGATGGATTTAACAACTGGATCGCCCTGGGAAACAATTACGATTACAACACTGAGTAGAGATAGAAACGTATTTAAGGATTTGTTGCATGAAGCCCAGGAAATGGCTCTTAAAAAACAAGAAGGAAAGACAGTGCTTTACACATCATATGGTCCTGAATGGAGACCCTTTGGTATGCCTAGAAAAAGACGTATGCTTGATTCAGTCATTTTGGATAACGGTATTACAGAAAGGATTGTGAATGATGTCAAGGCATTTATTGGAAATGGAAAATGGTATAATGAACGAGGTATTCCTTATAGACGAGGATATCTTTTATATGGACCACCTGGGTCAGGAAAGAGTAGTTTTATCCAAGCTTTAGCAGTAAGTAACGGGAATAAAAATGTCAAATATGAAGGACATAAATGTAATAATGTTTATGATTTAGGGTGAACTTGAATATAATATTTGCATTCTCAACTTATCCGAACGTGGACTCACAGATGACAGATTAAACCACTTGTTAAGTAATGTACCTGAGCGTAGTATTATGCTTTTAGAGGATATCGACGCAGCTTTTACAAAGAGAAGTCAGTCGGATAACCAAGGTTATCAATCCATGATTACATTCAGCGGTCTTTTGAATTCCTTGGATGGTGTAGCGTCAGCGGAAGAAAGAATTATTTTCTTGACAACAAACCATGTAGAGCAGTTAGATCCAGCATTAATTAGACCAGGTCGTGTTGATCTAAAGGAGTATCTTGGTAATGCAACAGATCACCAAATCAGAAATATGTTCCTTAGATTTTATGATGATGAAAAGCTGGCTGATGAGTTTGTTAAAAAGATAAGCGGTAAGGAGATCAGTACCGCTAGTTTGCAAGGTCATTTTGTATACTACAAAGATAGACCAAATGAAGCCATTGATCAGGCTGAATCTTTGTGGAATCAATTGTAGCACTAAAAAATAAAAATAAATAAATAATTTTTTTTTTTTCATTTCTTTTTTTTTTTATTTATCTCTTTATTTCTCTTACACAATTTTTTTTTGGTTATTTACAAATGGAGGATACGAATTCCAATTACACTTGGATCCTGTTAGTTGGTGTCGTTGTCTTTCTGTTTGTTATCGTCGTATTATTATGCTTTACAAAAGCAAGCGGAGAACGATTATTTTATACTGGGGAGGATTCAATATTCGAAGAAACTATTGTTGAAACACCTGCCATGATGGCTACTCTATCCCCAGATGCTCGTCTAAGTTATGAACAGGCGAAAGGTAACGAGTGGTTTTCAAACTTTGATTTTTCTTCGTTCTAACGGGAGGTTTATATTTACAGCATATCAGCAAAGACACCCTCCAGAGAGTGTACCCACTGATATCACCTTATCTCAATATGTCAGTATACAAGAAAAAGGTATTGCCGCATTCGAATTTGAATGGGACATGGAAACTCAAAGTTTCGTGTCTGCCAGAACTGAGATACAGTTTGTATCTGGAGAATCATGTGTACAAACAAATTTGCCTCTGCCAAGGAATCAAGAAGTTTATTACTGGGAAGCAAAGATGTTTGAAAAGCCAGTAACTACGACAGTGTCTGTAGGTGTAGCAACGAAACCTTACCCATATTGGCGGTTACCTGGTAATTTTTTTTTTCCTTTTCCCTAATATATCACACGCTAAACGGAAATTGGATATTATAAAACTACTAGGTTGGAACAGACACTCGGTTGGATATTTTAGTAATACTGGAAATAAGCACTTCAACAACCCTTTTTCCGGTAGACCTTATGGATTTACGTACGAGGAGGGTGATGTGATTGGTGTTGGATATCGTCATCGTACAGGTACAGTGTTCTTTACACGAAACGGAAGAAAGTTGGACGAAGCTTGCTTTGGATTACGCTACAATTTATTTCCTACTATCGGTGCCAATGGGCCTTGTCAGGTTCATGTCAATTTAGGTCAAATGGGTAAGCGGTGATTTTTTTTTCCTTTTTTCTTTCACAGATGAACAGAAGTTGATCTTCTCTGTTAGGCTTTGTGTTTGTAGAAGCGAATGTAAAGAAGTGGGGATTGGCACCAGTTCAAGGTACTTTAGCACCTCCACCTGCTTATGGTTATGAGGCTGGATCCTTATTATTGGAAAGAGGAAGGACGGGTGAGACAAGTCACTTGTTAGCAGGAAGAAATCACCAAACGATGTCATCAACAACAAGCCATTACGGATCAACAAATATAAATATACCCAGCATGAATGAACCAACCTTTAATTATGATCAAGAAGACGACAATGACGATGATGATAATACGCCCCTGATTCAGCAAGTCATATTGAATTCATCCATACCCATACCTAGCCCACAACGTCCTCGGGAAGGGTTTCCTACATATTCGCCGCCTTCTTACTCCTCTTATCCTAGGCTTTCTCTGTTAATCGGCGGAGAAAACACTTGTCAAGAAGAGTTGGAAAGAAATCGAATGGCTGGACTGATTTGACCTCCCAAAGCCATGAACCAATGAAAAAAAAAAAGAATATACCTTCACTATATTATATCCAAAAAAAAAAAAAAATATCTACTTGCATTCAACATCCTTCCCAATTTTGAGTAAACATGTATTTCTCTCTCTAATAAACTTTATCTCTATGTAATCCTTGCATCAAGTTTGTTTGGGTATAATCATGCGTTATATGAAGCCCATATTAAAATATGAACAGAGGTGGATGATCTCCTTTCTTTTTAGTGTTGATGCAGCACTGTGCATCAAATTTGTATGCCGCATAATAGGGTTCTTTTATTTTATTCAAATGATCTGATTCATGTCACCATTTAAACAGTAGCACGCTAAATAGAGAATAATTGGCTTGGGGAAACGAGTTCGACTTTTGATGATGCCACTTCGATATTCACCTCGTGGTTCTTCGAAATCTTCTGCATGATTATTTTATCATGTCGTCAATGCAAGCGCAACTAGAAAAACCTTACATAAACTCTACGATGAAACACAATAAATGCAACCCCGAGGCCATGAATTGACACTAGTTCAATTATGAAAATTATCAATCATGAATTTGATTTTGTGTTTATTTATAACGTCAGACAATAAGTGCTGGTTTAAGCTGTTTCAAGACAAGACATTATTGAGAACTATTAATATCAGCAAAAAAAAAAAAAATTCTGCAGAGTTAATTTATTTTTGCCAACCTTTGATTGTAATACCAAACAAGTTTGGACACTTTAAAGGTTTACGGTATTCATCCATGTCAAATTTTTTAGTATTAACCTTCTTGTCTAGACTTTCTATGACAGATATGACAGCAGGCGAGTGGATTAGAGGAGAGTGGGTTTGAGGTAAAGTAATACACAATTTCATAGAAGGAAAATCATGATCATTTTCATCTTCAACTTCATTATCACCATATTCGTCTTCAGACTCGCAGCTGCTCAAGCTATTATCCTCGTCCTCGTTTGCCACATTCAAAAACTCGTCTTCAACGCGAAATGATAAGTCACTATTTCTCAGACCTACACCAGGATTAAGGGGCGAGACAGCAAACACCAGCTCCAGCAATCTACCAATGTATTTACAAACAGAAACTCCTTTCCGCCCAACCAAAGCTTGGACTGAATAAAAGATAGGATCAGGTACGGATCCACCTTGACGGAAAGCTAATATTATAGCCAAAATGGCTCTTTCTCGATGAGTTAGTCCTGGTACGTTGGCTAAAGGACCACTGGCAAGAGGCATGTGAAAAGCAACAAAAGCTCTAGTCTCTTTTGGGTAATGTGATGTCAAATTTGAGAGATGAATAGCGGCAGGAAGTAAGCGGAAAAGTTGTAAAGGATGAGAACTTTCGAGATAGAGACTGGGAAGGGCGTCGTTTAAAATAGAATAGATAGCTTCAAATTTATTTTGATCCAAGGCGAACCTTGATTGTGCGGCATATGCTTTCACGCCTTCTAAAAGTGGATCTTTTTGCTTTTCTTCGGGCGACAGTAGCTGATAGCAAAAACCTTGTCTAACGCCTCCCTCACTAAAATAGACTCTTCTTACTTTAAACACTTCCAGAATAGCACATACAAGGAAACATGAAGCGGGAATCATAGCAGCTCTCCTCTTGGAGATACGAAATACCTTGAGCGTTTTCATTAGATCTTGAGGGTTCCTCTTTCGAAATGTTTCGGCCAATTCCTTTAACTTTTTATATGTCATTGAGTACCCATTAATGATTGGGATAGGATACATTTGTCTATGAGGCTCACGTTTTTCTCGAATTTTAATGTCCATCGACAAGTAACCAAGAGAACGAAACCCGCCTCCACTCATATACACTTTATAGCCATCCTTATGATATAAAGACTTTGGTAGCTTTGCTGCGTCATGGGCTTTTTTCAACTCTGAAACAACTTCTTGATACAGTTCTTCGACTTTTTCATCCGAATCGCAAATGGCTAGTCTTTTTTTCAAAGCCGCGGCACCGTAAGGGAGAGAGACAGGGTTTGGTGATACACGAATGTGTGACTCAGTGGTTTTCAAGATATCGTTAGAATTCTCATCGTCGGATACGGATGTCATGACGTAGCTCACTTCCACAGAACCACCACCAAGATCCATAGTCAAACCATTGACATGGTTAAACGAGCCTATTTTCATATTTAAATCCAGTTTAAAAAACCATAAATACTTTCCGCTTGTTTTCCCCTTTTTATCACTTACCGACAATGCCAGAGGCGGAGATTAATGCTTCTTGTTGTTTCGTTAAGAGAGTTACTGTCCATCCGGTCGCTTCATAGATTCGCTCTAGAAACTCCTTTGAGTTGGCGGCAATACGAGTCGCTTCAGTAGCGATAATACGGACATTCTCAACTTTCACGCCAGCGTCTTCACAAAGGATCTTGAATCGTAAGAAACTGGTAATAACTTGGTCGATGACTTCGGTCGGAATGGAACGATCGTCTCTAAGAGCATCGAGTAAAGCGATCGGAGCACGCTCTTCATAGGACACAGGTAAATGACGTGCAAGTTCACTTACAATACCAAACCGAATACCATTTGAGCCCATGTCGACAACACCAAAGGGCGCTTGAACATCGTCCGTAGTCATTTGTCAAAGTAAAAGTAGTTAGATAAAGAAAAAAGAAAGGGGAACGAAAAAAAAAAAAAAAAGAAAAGCTTAAAATAGGTGAAACGCCTCAAGTGCTGAAATGACGATTGAAATATCAGTCAGTATAGTTTATCATCGCGAAGCCCAATCGTTCACGTTTTAAAAAAAAAAACCGCCTAGACTAGCTTTCGCATAATAAAATAAAAAAATCGCCATTTACTTTATGCATTGCCATGCATGACACATGCGGGTTGGTGATTTTTGGCGACTTCAAAAGAATCAATAGATTCTCTGTGTAATTTTTAGTGCCCAGATCAATTTATTCACATAATTTTAGCATAAACAAGGTTACATCCGTAAAATGTCCACACTCGTACTAATAAAATTAGTTGAATACTGATTTGTTTTTACATTTAAAAAGAGAGCATAAATAATTAGAGACATGGAAAGCTCTTCCATCTACCCTGAAGGCTTCTTCGATACGCGAAATCCAATTGAAAATCTTACATTTGAAACAAATGTATACGCAATATCTAACACATTGCATCAATGACAATGAAATTAGGTTGGGTTTTTCCGGCGATGATGTAACCTGATTAGCTATATTCATACTAAGAAGACATGCAATAAATTTATTCTACTTACTATCACGTTTAAATTAAATAAGGATATGTGGTCTGCGGTACCCATTCACTGAGTGACTATACACATATGTCTTTGGGTAGTCTGTGCAATAAAAGGGCAATATAATTTAATTTAATGCCACCTTTTTTTGTAAAAAAAAAAAGACAAAATCAGACTGTGCTTGTGTTATAGATTGACATAATCATTTACTAGACTTCGGCGCCACAGATACAATAGTTGTTAACTTAATGTTCATATTGTTAGATACGAACAAAGGGTGATAGATGCCACAAAAAAAAAAAAAAAAAAAAAAAAAAAAAAAAAAAAAAAAAAAAAAAAAAAAAAAAAAAAAAAAAAAAAAAAAAAAAAAAAAACTCTGCCAACACTTTACCTTGTGGTGATCCACGTATCATTGCAATCAATCACATCATTAATAAACACTGAGCGAAATCTTATTTATCATCCTATATAAGTATTAAGATACAAAACAAACTGAATACTTAAACATTATATCATATTCATCTACAAGCTGTCGTCATCGAGGCCATATATATATGCAACCCTGTCAACTATTATTAATTTTTGTATTTGATAATCCTCGCTAGTTCAGATTAGAAAGCGTGTAGCTGCAGCTGTCAAAATATTTAATATTCAACTGGCTACGGTAGAACATAATAATTATGTTTGATTAGTGAATCATTCCATAGATTATCGTTATCTGAAATGAATGTGATATGATCCTATATGTATTATAACATATTATCGAAGTTTAAACATTTAATTGGCGGGAATAGTTACGCCTCTAAGGATTCATGCGATTTTTTAGTTTAACCACTTACAGTTCTATAACCTTATCTACATATAATTAAATAAACCATTTGCAGTAATAGTTGCGCTATTTCGTCAATGGGTGGCTTACACATTCAAGGAAATATTAATATTAGCTTTCTCTTTCATGTGCATACTTGATCTTATCCGGTAGAATTTTCTTTTATCCAGTCTGATAACGAACTCAGTAGTGCTAAGATTTTGAATCCAGCTGTCATTCTTACAGCATCAAGCCAATCATGCGACATTTTATATAGTGGTATGTGCTTGTAGTAGAGGACGGTGTGTAGCAGTATACATATGCATGATAATGATAAATATGTACTGATATTTTGATTTCATGTTTTAGGCGTTGTTTATTTAAGTGATTTCATCGGTTATTCTTAAGGCATACCCAAATTCAACAATTATAATGTCTGTCCCAACTGATCTCCAAAGTATACACTGGCTGTGTCAAGCTCGACCATAAAATTTTAAAACGCCTTTGCAATTTTGACATAGGGACCGCACATATCAGCTTACTAACGTGGAGATCAGTTGAAAAGGAATGGTCATGATGCTTGTCTTACTTGTCAAGAGAGAAGGCACAAAAGACCACCCTAAGAACTTAGGGTTAATTTTTTTATCACTTTGGTTCTTTCGATTTTTTTTGGATTTGAGTAAACGCATACAATCACTATGGCGGACACACGGGCAGCTGTGAATTAAATGGAAACAGACCTGCCATTTTTTTTTATTTGCTCGATTTCCCCAGCCAATAAGATTTGAGTAAAGGATTGCTACAAATGAAAAAAAACAAAAATGATTCAAAAACATTTCTGGAACCGTCAATATGTAGTTTAGATATTATAAAAAATATCTCGAAGTTAAAATTAGATTGCTATATGCCAAAAAATTGATGCAATATTGATCCGAATTCGATGGGTTACGGTATAAAAAATGATTTTTTGCGCCTGTGAAGCAAATGGTAACAAGTTGCCATTATTTTACTTGTTTTTTTTTAAAAAAAAAAGATGTTGCGCCTGGAAAAACTTGCGAATGACAAGGGATTTAAAACTTACCAATGTAAGAGAATGTGGTGTGCCAAAAGTTTGTTGTGGGAGAGCTTTAAAAGTGACAACCAAACACACAGAAGAAGGGTAACAGTAAAAGGTTCTTTAGCGGTCTGTTACATCAATATCACTAACAAAGTATAAAAATGTAAAATCAACAAGATCCCGATAGTTCACACTCTATCAATGACGCTTTAGAAGATATGGGTTGCGGTGAGTCTCCTATAATAGCAGACGTGCTGTAAGTTTTTTTATTGTTTTTCATGCATGATGTTTATATACTGTTAAGACACTGGTAATAGTTCTTAAAGGATAAGGTGGATATAGGTTATTAACACTGAAGTTAATAATAAAGTAGTTATGAAAGTGAGCACCAGACTGGAAGTAGTCAACTTAAGAAATCTTATAATATAAAGTTTTTAGGATAAGAAGATAATCAACGATGATTTTAAGAGGGCGTAAGTAATATAAATATAAACAAATTGCCAAGATTAAAAAGAAAAGTAATTATGTTATTATAAACAATATCTTATGTACGGTTGTAGTAATAAAGAGATTCGAGTCGAGTGTGAAAATATGAACTTTGAGTTAATTGTTATATGTAAGTAGAGACTTAAGATAAACAAGAAGTATGAAAGTTGAGGGAAACACAAAGGAGTCAATTACAAATTATTAAGAAACTAGATTTTTAGTTAATTACGAAAAAAAAGGGACGTATTTATAGAAAAGATCCTATCCCGTGTAACACCAAGTCAATTTAGATTGGCTGCAACAATACTCATATGCGATAATTATTTTTTATACGGTTCACCTCCAACAGAGGTGGCGAATGAACCTTCATGTAAAAGAACCAGAAGAATATAATATCCGTGTCTGGTCGACACGATTGGTCCATTCTGGGTGTTATCTCCTTTATTAGTGTGTATTTTAGCGTTCTTTTAGCTCACAATTTTTTCTCTCTTTCTTATACTTTTATTTATTTTAAAATAAATAGTCTTCAAATAACAATGGTAAAGATATGTATCCCCTTCAAAATAACGGAAAGTGTGAACAAATATGTTGGAACTGGGTATGCTTGCAATGACTGAAGTAATGACATGTAATATGTATAATAAACTAAAGGGGGGGGGGTTTAAGATAAAAATTTAGCCTATTTTTGATATTTTGATGAAACTTAAGTACGTATGTATAGTATAACCATTTTCTATAGATAATGGTCCTCATCAATTGACGGTCATATCTTAACGGGCAAATAGCCTTTAAACAGTTATATTTGATTTTTATTGATATATGTAGATTATTTCTTCTTCGTACCTTTTACTCAAATGACTACACATTAGGAACACAGTCGGTCAAATAATCATCGACATCAGAACTTAAGGCTGGTAATAAAATGCAGAATTAATTACAATATTACTGTTTTCTAACAATACCTTTATAGAGTGTTAAGAGAGTCAAAGGTAAGCTTAAGTAACTTATCCAAGCATCATAATGATATACAAACACAAGCCCAAATAAAAAGGTCCAAATCACATCAAACCCATAAACCACTAAAATATAAATAAAAAATCCAATAAAATGTGCTTTACTGCCAATAATAACAATAAATAAGAAAATGTGAGCCTGCCAAATATAAAAGAATGGGTCAAAAAAAAAAAAGGTTAAGGGTTTGTCCATTTAAAAAAAAATGGCAACTGTGAACGTTTTGTTATTATAGAATATCATAACTGCCACATTTGCAAGCCAGTAAAATGGAAGCTGTGAATGATTTGTCTTCATCAAGGTAAAATAGATGCCATTTGTAAAACTAAAAAACAGCTGCCGTGAACCTCTTGGCTTCATTCGACTGTCAAAGTCACCATTTTTGCCAGCCAAAAAATGGCAGCTGTGCCACTTTTGTTATTATAGAATATCATATCTGCCACTTTTGCATGCCGAGAAAATGGGAGTTTTGTGAAGTAAATGGCAAATAGTTGCCATTATTTCCGCCATAGTGGCGCAAGTTGCGATTTAGATGGCAGAGCCGAAATTCACTCACGCATTTACGGGGAGTTTTGGTTGTCGTCTTAAGGAAAAGCACCTAGCTGATAAACGCTTCCTTCCAAAAGCATTTTTTATTACCATCAATTTGCAGATTATGGTTGATTCGCAAATCAGATTTGAATAATTGTTCGAACATTTCGACAAATTAATAAAGATGGCATTTTTTTTAAAAAAAAAAGTTTATTCAAATAAGAGTATTCAATAATGCTTAAGTGAAGCTGGATTATGAGAATCTTTCGGCGTATCTGACTTGTTTGGTGTCGCCGGACGGGTTTTCGTTATCAAATATTTCGGTTTTATACCCATCCGCTTATCCTGGTTCGTTTGGTTCTATATTTGGCACTGATAATGTTTGTCGCAAATCATTATGGAATCGCCCGAGGTTTCAATTTTGGTTGCTGCTTTTATGAACGAATCGACAACTATGACAAAGCTGATTTGGGTGCACCGTTTTAGTTGATTGATTTTGTGCAGTTTATGTTGGTATGGTAATCTGCCCAGCACAGAGGTTTATATTTCTTTCTCTTTTGTTATTATTTTTTTCATTGTTTAACAATCATTGGCTTTTATCCAATCTAGGGTGACTTCTATCTTCCGAAGTTTTGATAATTGGTTGCAAGATATGGCTGAATTATTGTTTTGGTCTGTTTGTTTGTTCCATCAATTGGGATGACAAGTTTCGGTATTATATTTTGATAGAGCAGATTCCAAAAATTGTCGAACAAATCCATAAATGGAAGAATATGAGTGTGATTCAATCGGAAAAGACTTGTGTTCATTAACCAGCTGCTACCATCATGTTCACCATAAGTACAGTTTTCAAATCCATGACTGTCAGTTGGATATACTTGGGGCATATCCTGTTGTCCTTCTATTAGCCTGCCAGTTTTATAGAGAGCCTGTCCTTGATATACTTTTCAACGATTAAAAGAAATCGGATGCTCGGGGACGGCGAGAAGCACCACCAGAAGAGCGTACCACCACCACCTCCTCATCGTCCTCATCATCCTCCTCCTCTTCTTCATCATCCTCTTCTTCGGAGCATTCGTTTGCAGCATCCGAATCACTGGCAGGCAAAGATGCCAGAAAGGATTCCATCTCATCAGCTTCAACCCGCTCCTGGGTTACCTCATCATCCTCAGCTCCTACAGAAGGAACAAAAGCAGCAGCAGATCCGGAGTCCGAACCAGCCAACTCCCCGTCACTACCCTCTACTGAGGATAAGTCTGCCGAGACACGATGGATCTCAACAAAATTTTCTGACTCAACTGAACTGTCCGACTCGTATTCTGGAAGCACAGCTGATTCAGAACCAGAAGAATCGTTCTCATCAACAGCAATAGCACCAAAAGAGGAAACTAATGAGTCGATGTTACTTGATTCAACTGCAACTTGCTCTACTACCTGATCTGGAACATGATCGGTTTGTACTGTCTCAGGAGCAAAGACAGGAGCAAGACAAAACCCATTATCAACAACCTTCTCCGCTTCCATAGATTCAGTCACCCCTACTTCTACTTCCAAAGACTCCCCACAAAAGTCAATGTCCATAGGTTCAAAGACAACATCATCCATCATAGCCTCAGTTGGATTCAAAAAAACGACGTCAACGTCCATAGTCTCTGTAGCTTGAGAACAAGCAAACAAAGCAGCACGAAGACGAAGTTTGCCATAATAATGGCGTCGTGAAGGACTAGGTCTATACAAACCACGTCCAGCACGAAGACGATGATGGCGCATGCCAGCTGTACGAGGACGACATACCGAGGTATGACGACCAGCCCTCTCGAGAGAGGTTGTACTTGCTGGATACCAGGAAAAAGCCGAAGCAACTCCTACATCATCGTAATATGCGTTATCCCCATAAGGGAAAGAAACCGCATAAGAAGCGTTATCCTCAGAAGAGAAAGAAACCGCTTTAGCTGCGTTATCCCCATAAGGGAAAGAAACCGCAGAAGGTGTGTTATCCTCATAAGAGGAAGAAACCACACAAGAAGCGTTATCCTCAGAAGAGGAAGAAACCGCTTGAGCTGCGTTATCCCCATAAGGGAAAGAAACCGCAGAAGGTGTGTTATCCTCATAAGAGGAAGAAACCACACAAGAAGCGTTATCCTCAGAAGAGGAAGAAACCGCTTGAGCTACGTTATCCCCAGCGGGGGAAGAAACCGTAGAAAGTGCGTTATCCTCATACGAGAAAGAAACCGCACAACACGCGTTATCCCTAAAGAGGAAAGAAACCGCGTGGGAAGCCAAGTAGGTTTGCTTTCTTGGTCGGTTGACGACCGAAGACACTGGAGCAACGAAAACATTGTTTTCCTGCATCCAGGCACGAGTAATGTACTCACAGGCATACGCCCAAGAAGGGACAGAACTACGTGAAACAAAACCATACTCACTGGGAGGTGAAGGCACATAGTCACGGCCAGCACAAGGACCACCGACAAGGCAAGCACACCAGAGAGCAAGGCAACGGAACTCCTTTTCTACGCGTGGAGGAAAAGCGAGATAATCTCCACTTGGTCCAACCTCACGGAGAGAACCGAACGTTGTTTGTGTTTGTGTGGGAGCAATAGTCTCCAAAGAAACAACAGGAAAGTTGTTAATGGTGGTGGTGGTGGAAATGAGGGCCGGCACGAAGGCATTGGGGATTTCTCCCACAATGTCATTGTCAATGGGCAAACGTTGGCCTGTACCCTTAAGCCAGAAAAACGAGAAGAAGTTATCAAGCTTTTCCAACAGTAAAAACACAAACACTTTGACAACAAAGCAAAACATAGCACAGAGGAATCTATTTGTTTAATTGGTACATTAGAAATGTGCAAACATCTTTACTTGAAAATACTCTTTCGTACTTACACGTCAACGAAAAGCAGCTGAATCATTTTCCAATAATAGTTTCGCAAAGAAAAAAAGAAAAAAAAAATACGCGTTTTAAAAAATAATAATAGATGTTTTTTTGCTCTGGGGATGACGGTGACGTAAGTCCGCATGGAAACAAAAATTAAAATATCTAAGCCACAAAATAATATAGCTTTTGTGTAATTCTCCTAAGTTTGGTAATATTCGCCTCTGTAAAAAGAAGGAAGGTCTACATTCTTTTAATTTAAAGAGGGACGCTAATCATATGCATTAAAGTGCGTAAAAGATTTACTTCTTGATAGTATTTGTGGAAAAACGGTTTGTTTGACACGGAAAAATAAAAGATAAAAAAACAGGAAGAATAAGATTAATATTGCTTGTAGGCTTTTTTATTCTTATTAAAAGTGAATCCCCCTTTCATCTCTGAAAGAAAGGGGGGTATTTATAGTTATTTAAAGCGTGGGTAAAATTATGGCTCGTTTGTGTTCACTTGGTATTATTGGCTGTATTTACTAATGACTGATGAGCCTTATCAGTGTAGCCAATCTATTATTCGAAATGGGATCTTCTATTGGAATATCTAGTAACCCTGAGTTGTAAATGTATAACTCAGGATATTTTTTATGCTATTATTTTTTTATGAGTGTTATGATATTATGTACCTGTCGATCAAGGATCGATGGAATGATTTTATATGCGATTTTATATGTTAAATAGTGCGATTTTAGTACATGCTCCCCCACCAGCGTTAGCGCAGCTCGCGAAATAAGGAATTATTAATTGATGTACAACAAAATACAACTACTACTTTTTAAGTACCATTTTTTTTTTATACTTTGTAGTAACCATAATTATTATGCATGAATGTCAAAATCCAGAAAGTGGGACTGAGATACAAAATTGGGGCTTATACAAATTTTTTTTTTTTTTATACGCCTATTATTTGTACAAGGGGTTTCCTCTTATCAGTTCTTTCTTGTTTTACTTCTTAAGACACGTTCACGTAGTTGACTGGAACTATTTTTACTGTTGTGCTTTCTTTTTTTACTAGATGGTATGTTTACAACTTCATTGTCTGTTGACGATGCATTGCTAACCGATTTCCGTTGTTGTTTATTAGAATCCGCGACCAGTTTAGCATTTCTTTCTTGGTCTAATTTCTTTTGTTCATTTACTTTAACCCAGTATTTGCGAATTGTTTCGGGATCCGAGAATGCAGCTGCGTCAAGCCAGGAATTTTCTCGTTCACCATAGCCTACCCAATTTACGAGATATTGTCTATCGTTGACTGGCCCTTTATGCGTGCGAATTTCTTTCACTTCATATAATTTATCTTCAATGGCACTTTCGTCGATGGTAACAACTTTCAGTTCTGATGGTACGTAATCTCTGTGGAGCATCTCATTCATTTCATCTTTTAACACATATGTACCAGCTTTGGTTTTAGTGACGACGGTAAATGGTCCTTCATATAGAGGAGAGAGTTTGCTTGCTCGGGACGGTAATTTCACCATGACAGTTGATCCAATGGGAATATCAATAAGGTAGTGATTATCATCAAATCTTTTTCTCTGTAATTTCATTAATTCGTTCGTTCTTTGGTGTATAGCGGGAAAGACGATGTCAGCCATGTATTCAGCCTTTTTTATCAAGTCATCCACTGTAGAAACCTTATTTGGAAGAGAAGATTGTGTTGAAGGGTCGTTACGATCCTGTATAGTAGGGAACTGTCGAGCAAACATAAGTGAGAAAGGACTACTGCCTGTTCTATTGCGTATTTTTAAATTACAACACAATTGTGCTGCTGGTAAGATCGTGTCCCATTTGCTTGTATCATTGCCACACATTTTCCTAACCGTATTTACGATATTTTTCACAGCATTTTCTGCGCAACCGTTGGATTGAGGATAATAAGGTGTGGAGAAGCGATGAGGTATGCCGAGGGTCTTTGTAATCGACGCCATCAACCCATTCCGATACTCACACCCATTATCTGTTAAAATTGCGGTACTAGGTAAACCATAGTCGCCAAAGATCTGACAGAGAGCATTTGCAACAGTATCACTTTGTTTGTTCGGGAGAGCCTTTGCTACGATATAGCGAGTACAGATATCAACGACAATGAGGATGTAGACATTTTGATTAGCAGTTACACTGAAGGGTCCAGCCATATCTGATGCAATGTGTGCAAAAGGTTCGGCAGCTACTATAGACTTTAATGGATGATACCCTTTTCGAGCTATATTGTGTCGTGCGCAATCAATACAACTGCTGACCACTTGTTTAGCTTCGGTGAATATTCCAGTCCAGTGTAATCCTTCTTCGTGCAATCTTTGGACGATACTTTCTGTACCGAAATGTCCCAGATTATGTGCATCACGTAATAGTTTATGTCTGTTTTCAATCGGTGGAGCGATATAGTCGGTAGGATTTGTTTTGTACTGTGGAGAGTCTATTTTCACGGCTAATACATTAAGGTTTGCGTCTGTGCTCTTAATGCTTCGTTTGTAAATAAACTTATCTGTCGATGTGATTTTATCGGTAGATTTAAAACTTTCAACGGGATTTCGTTTTCTTCTTTCCAAAATAATTCGATTCAATTGTTTGATCTTTTTATCTTCTTCTTCAAGTTCTTTATCATCATCTAAAGGTGGATATAGTCTGCTGAGCAGGTCAGGCAAGACGTTATCAATTCCTTTGATGTAGGTGACCGTGAATGAAAATTGATTTAAAACATCCATATAAGATTGAATTGTTCGATTTGGAACGTGCGTGGTATAATAAAATGTAATAGCACGGTGATCGGTCCAGACTTCTATTTTTGGATGACCCAGTAATAAGGATCGAAATCTTTGGAATCCGTAATAAATGGCAAATAGTTCTCGTCGATTGACTGACCAGTTTTGAGCCGATGTAGGTAAAGATGTACTTGCCATAGCGATGATGATGGTTCTATTCTTATCATCACGTTGAGTTAAAACGGCAGATGCAGCATATTGCGAGGCATCTGTTTCAAGGTACATTTTATTTTCCATACGAGGTGTGTGCAACACAGCTTTAGACAGTAGTATTTGCTTGATATTATTTAGACGATCAGTATGAAATTGTGTCCATTTGTTTTTCACATCTTTATCATTTCGCAATTTATCTAAAGGAGCAGCTATGTCAGATATCTTTGGTACGTAATTTCTCAGATATGAGACGACACCCATGATTTTTCTGACTTGTTCAGCTGATTTAGGAATAGGCCATTCGTGGATATTAGACAGTCTACGTTGATCAATTTTTGTGATGCCAGGTCCAATAACGAACCCGAGCATGTAGATACTGGTTTTAAAGAATGTGCATTTAGCGTAATTAATTTTTAGATTAGCAGCAGTTAATTTATCGATTGCTCTCTTTACAATGCTGGCATGATTCTTAGCATCAGAGAATATACAACAATCATCAACGTACGTGGCTATTTGTGCTTCACCATTAAAAATGATATTCATAACGCGGCAAAATTGACTAGTGACAAATTTGAGACCGAAACAAGTTCCTACCCATTTATAGGTTTTATCATCAAACATAAAAGATAGTACTTCTTGACTGGCTTCATCCACTTTGAAGCTATTGTATGCAGACTTTAAATCAAGCCGACTAAATACAACTCCAGTAGATACCTTGTCAAAAATATCTTGGATATTAGGGACAGCAAAATCTTCTACCAACGAATCATCTATGTTCATGTTTTGTCTTCTGAGATCAAGACAGATTCTTGTATTGGTAAGATTGTTATTTTCATCCTTTTTTCCAATGGCTAATAATGGTGAATTAAATTTGTTACTTGGCTTACTCTCTACTACAACCCCTGAACTTAACCATTCGGCTAATTGTTTCTTTATTTCAGGTCGAGCATGATAAGGTAACGGGTACTGACGGATGTAACAGTTTGTGGCATCCTTCTTTATAGGTATTCTAACGATACTTTCAGGAATATTGCAAAACTGACCCGGTTTAATTTCAGCGTTTCTTTTTACAGAAGGTTCAATAAAATTCATAAATTGTTCTCTTTCAATCGCTGTGCCAAATTCAGCATTTTCAGGATCATATTTATCCGAAGGATCATAGTTAGCGTTTTCGAATTGAATATCTTCAGATTCTTCATCATCTGGATATTTATGTGCTACATTAGTTAAACCAATATTTAAATGAGTTAGGATATCTGTGCCTAACAATATGTCATATTCTGTATCAAGTGGATCTAAAAATTCAACCACTTCAAAACAAAATTCAAAACTTATATCATTAAGATATCTAACTTTCATAGGTTCAGTTTGACCGATTCTTTTAGCAGAGTTAGAGAGGAAATTTAAATTGCCTTTTGTAATATTTATTTTTATTTGAGGAAAGAGATTATTTAAAATGTATTTATTGATACATGTGGTGTCACTTCCTGTGTCTACTTTTCCTTTCAGTTTTCTATTATTAAGAATGAGAGGAGTGATTAATGATTTGTAAGGATTGAATACATTTTCATTTGCTTTCTTACATTCATAACTGTCATTTTCAAAGTTGTTGGATGGGCCGCCACGATCGGGCTTCTTTCCCTTACGATCTTTGTTGACAGAGAGGATTTTCTTATCACCAAATTTATCAAGATATTCTTGACAACGATGTCCGTGAGACCATTTCTTACCACAGTGGGTGCAGGGGACAAAAGAGGTAGCAGGCTTGGGTCGGTTCTGACTTCCAAGGAATTTTCGTTGATGACTGGGGCCATCGAAGGTGCGAGAGGTGTCATCGGTAGACTTACCTGCATACTTGCAAGTGGATTCATCATGGGAGTTGTTATCTCCGTGATACTTACAATAAAATTTAGCATCGTGGTTCGTACGTTTTTTAGGCGTACGATTGGCATCAGGCGTGTCGTACGACTTACGCTTGTGTCCAGAGGAGCTGCCATCATTATTAGGCGTTTTATCCCCAAATACATTAGTTGCAGCCTTATACACATCTTCGGCTGTCCAGGGGACATTTT